ACCAGGTGCTGGCCGCTTCTGCCCAAAACGAATTGACCGCGCGCGGACAAAGGCTTCGCACCGATTTGCAGACGGAGGTTAACAACCGTGTCAAACGAATGCAGAAGATGAGTCGCTTTGCGGTTTGATCATAGTATGCACTGTCTTGTATATCTGTCTGCCACCACGTGTACATAAAATACGATGTGTTTGACGACGATTGACTGTCGTGGGCCCGCGGCGCTGCGAGAGTTGACGTTTGGAACCAAAAACGAAGAGTCGTAGTATCGCTGAGCTTCATTCTGATGCTGCTGGGACAAAACATAAATGACCATGGCAAAGCCGTACGATCCCACCTTGTGAGTCCCAATAAAATGCGCAGACAAGCAACCTGGTCCTGAGGACAGGTATGCGAACGCCGTCGATTTATTTTCTTTCGATAATCAATTACAGAGGCAAGAAGGCGGAGCAATAAATGCGGATAAGAAAATTGGTTCGATGGAGATACACTCAAGACTTCCTCTGCCTCTTCCCACGGCCACGGCCACCATCATCACTCGGAGCTGCTCGTATCGCTCCTAGTACATCCTGTATATCTAGAGCTTGATCCGATTTATGTATGATTACTTTGTTAGTGCTACCGGTCGCACTAATGGCAGTTGTTTTGGTCATCGCCCCCAAATTCGCGTTGAAAACAGCGTCAATCTCGTCTTCAGGCCGGCCTCGTCGTCTCTTGGATGTCTTAGATGAATGAGAGATTTCAACATCGTCAGAGTTTGGCCTCTGTACTGTCGCAGAGGGCGCTGAAGGAAGAACCGAAGGAGATGTGGTTGATCCAGAGCTTGATTTGCTCTGTGATTGCAGTTCCCTCCATTCGTCTGGTCGTCGTTGTAGAAGATATAAATTGATGTTTCGAGCGAAGAATTTTCCGAAATGAGACGCTGCAAGAAATTGCTCGTGTACTATGAGAGAGCGTGCGATTTTTTCCTGCACAAACAATTCGTAAGATCGAATGCCAACAGTGGTGTGAACGACCTACTTTTAAATATGGGTCGGCGAACGCCCAACACCTATCGCCGACTCTGCTTCCGATTCGGTCATCAACCAGTATGTGGTAATGACCAATGAGAGACATGACAAGAGTACGCTTCACTTTAAAAGGTACAGTTTCCGAGTCAAAGAGTACGTCTATAACCCTAGAGCTTATCGGATTTTGAGATAATAAGATGAGATCTTCTATGGGGAGGGACTTGATGCTGTCATTCGCTTACGTCAATGTTATGGCTCGACTTAACGCCTAACTCACCTGTCGGTAACTATTGTACAATGCGGTGCACTGAGCCGAAGTAGACTTTGAAGAATTAAGGCACCCTGAATTTTTGGTTCCTTCGAATCATCCGCGTTCCCTTTTTTCGAGCTTTGCTGCGCATCCTCAGAATTGTGTTTTGTAGGCCTATTTGCCAAATATTCCTTTTGAAATGTGCATAAGTTCGGTGTCATTATGAAATAAAAGAAATCAGTCACCTGAAGAGGCTTTAGAACCAGTACACATGACACAAGGTGACTACGATCATTCGGTTGTAATAACTGGAACGCATTGCACACGGCCTATCAAGATTGTATTAATATCGCAAACTTTAAGAAGCGCTAAACCATACCTGGGTAATATCCTCTTCGTGAGCACGAAGCGTGCATGCTCTATCGATTATGGCGCGCAACACCCCAGTTCTTGCCGATCCTACATTCATTGGAAATGATAAGAACGAGCTAGTCAGGTGAATCATTACATACCAATGATCTTATTCCACGAACTCTCGAGCTCCTCAAGAGCACCTTTCAACTGCGTGGGATTTAACCTCTCTGCAGCTTTAGCTACCACAAAATTAGCTACAGGATGTGTAGTCAGCCTCGCAAGTTTCCCCCGGAAGTAAGTCGCCCAAAGTATCGTAAACGCGTCATCAGGACAACGGGAAACCATGGTTTCCAGTAAGTGAGAGGAAGTTGGGTCTCGAAGAAGTGTGACAAGGTAGTCAGATGCCTCCAGTGGTTCATCAGAGTTTCTGTCTGGCACCGCTCAATACATGATCGAGATACCCCAGACAGCGTGTCAGAAAACTCACGACAAAGTGTAACAATCCCAACCAGGACGTGATCCATAAGAGAATTGGGCAATGAAGACTCGCCGTGATCGGCTTCAATTTCAAGGATGAGCTGCGAAGTTGATCAATTTGCATCAGGTTGAATGCTGGGCACCATATACCTGGAGTAATGGGCTTGCTACTTTATTGGCAGCCAATGCTCGGACCTCGTTGTCGCTGAGTTCGTTCTTTAGGACGCGCACAAACCCGGTAGCGGCCTCGCGAAATTCGTTCGGTACCGATCGAGCAGAATCAACATGATCGTGGCTCTTATTGTCAGCAAATACAGACTTCATGGTACCCTGACGGGCTTTCCACGCGCTGCTTTTCTTCGACCGCATGTTCGACTGTGCTTTATGACTTGCAGCAGAATTTGTAGGCGATAACAATAGCAGTAGAGCACGGAGAACATGCGAGGCAAAAGGGTCCATCACAAGGGACGTGAAGACTGGCATGAGTTCCTGTTGCACAATTTATTGCGGCGCAGGATTTATAGGAAGATGTGACAAACCTCACATATGTCCAAGATGAGACGCATTAGAGTGCGCAGTTCGCCCTTGTCCTTGGAGTCGGGGACAGATGGAAATATTCCCTTAGTCTTGCAACCAATCAGGGCGAATACCAAAGGATCAGTGAGATAGTATGCTTACTTCGCGCGAGACGGTGTCTGCTGCTACTGTGAACAGTGTTTGACAGACATGCGAAGCAAAACGATGTTTGATGAGTGCCTCGTATCTACAAATTACTTGACATCTGAATAGGCAAACTACGAAGAACTGCTCCCACTCACGAGCCGCTCAAACTATCCAAAAACACCCTTCGAACAAAGTCATCCATCGAGTACGCCATGCGTTCTAGAACAACAGAACAGTCCGGGTCTGTGGCCAGTTGTTTCTCTTTTTCAGACATTTCACTGAGTGCGGCAACCAAGAATATCCGCTTTGCTAGATGGTAAGCATTGTCAAACACTTTCTGCATCGTAGCTGCTATTCCAACCTTCATTCGGATCGAGGTCTGCGGCTTGATCCTCCTCGTAGGGTCTCTCCTGCTGCCAAGTTCGAATTTGGTCGTCGACGGTTCTAAAATATGCCTTTATATCAGGGTCCACATAACCGAAGGGTGCCTCTGGATGGGGCTCCTCTGATTCTTGTGCAGGGACAATCCATGACGGCCGATCGCGATATTCGGCATTTTGAGGTGCTTGATTGGTGTCGCGGTGAGGCTGACTATGCTCCTGTGTTTTCTTATGCTTCTTGCCTCGTTTCCTGTTTTCGTTCGGCATGTCGACTAGAAAGATAGCTTAGAGCATAATAAAAAATAAGCATGGGAAGGACCCCGGAATTCGAGAATATGTGCCAGATTTGGACTGGAGCTTTACCTCTTTTGGACCCCTGGCAGCAGGTCACATTAATGATTCACCACACTCACTCAGGCTGGTGACAAGACCTTGTAACTTATACATGGCACCAACATCGTGCTCTCTATGCCGCGACGCAAAGGCAATTCTGAAACGCCCTAAAACAGGCCAGCAAATTTGCAAGAATTGCTTCTTCTTCGTCTTTGAGACGGAAGTCTATCATACAATCACAGAAGCGGAGCTGTTCAAGCCAGGCGATCATGTTGCAATCGGTGCTTCAGGCGGAAAAGGTGAGACTACGATTTAGAATCATCTGGCATCTTATCGCTCTTGTGGCAGACTCCACCGTCCTTGCGTACGTCATGAAGACCTTGAACGAGCGGTACAATTATGGCCTCGATTTATTTCTCTTGTCTATTGATGAAGGGATCACAGGTTATAGAGATGACTCCTTAGAAGTGCGCTATTAAGTGCGCTATATCGGAGGATCCTGCATATTGATTAAACCTCATGCAGACAGTAAAACGGAATCATCAGCAATATGATATGCCCCTAAAGATACTTTCATATGATGAACTCTATGGCTGGACTATGGATGCCATAGTCGAACAAATAGGAAAGAAAAATAACTGCACATTTTGTGGCGTCTTTCGCAGGCAGGCCCTTGACAGGGGCGCAGCTAGTTTGAACGTCGATCACATTGTCACTGGGCACAACGCAGATGACATTGCGGAGACTGTTCTCATGAATAGTGCGTTGAATTGTAATGTCTAAGGCAGTGCATTTACCATTTTTACAGTCATGCGTGGCGATATTGCTCGACTTGGGCGGTGTACCTCAATTTGTACCCAGGGAGAGGATACAATCAAACGATCCAAGCCCTTCAAGTACGCTTATGAGAAGGAAATTGTTATGTGAGTACTGTGACAGAGGTGGTTTTGTTCTGACTAGGTTGATTTTGTAGGTACGCTTACTTTAAAAAACTCGATTATTTTTCAACAGAATGTATATATTCGCCCGACGCCTATCGAGGACATGCACGGACGTTTTTGAAAGATCTAGAAGCTGCTAGACCCAGTGCCATCATAGATATCATTCACTCTGGTGAAGCATTTGAAGTTAAGGAAGAAATCAAGGCAGCTCAAAAGGCCCAGCGTCAGTGATGTCATTTTCACATAGTGATAATACTGATTCGCTCCGCAGAAACATGCAAAAGATGTGGATACATGTCTAGTAATGATCTCTGCAAGGCTTGTACACTGCTGGAGGGTCTGGAGAGAGGCATGGCGAGCTCTGTCATAGTAAGTTCAGGCTATGTGCTGGCTTCAATGACTGGGTACTTATTTTTGTCTAGACTGACCGTGCCCGCAAGAAGATGGACGCTATAGGTCGTGCACCGGATAACATACGAACAATTCCATTATTCCGTTCGACACCAACAATTGCAGTAGAGGTGCCATCGCAATCTTGAGTTGGCGGCAGTTCCCCCGATTTAAATACTATCACCGTCACTAATAATAATTCGCTCGATCGATCATACATAATTTTTGACAAGATATATCTCGTGGGCTCGTTAAGAAGGTAATGAACGTCCCTCCGCTTCACAAAATGCTGTAAAAAGACGCTCGCAATGGTCCATGAGGTCGTCACACTGCTTGTTGTGCTCTTTGGAACGCATCAGCTTCATTGTGCCAACACGCTCCTTGCCCCATCTGTCACATTCTGAGACATAACGGAAGCCCACTTCAACTGTAGCTGTAGGGTCTGAATCATCGAACTCTGTCGAGCTAACTGTAGGAAGGCAAGCCAACGGCACTAAGCAGAGATGTACTGCAGAGATAGCTGCCTTGAACCCGGTTATGAGATGATATGGAGATCCAAGAAAACGAGCCTAAGACATTTGGAATTGTTAGAAATGGATTAGCTACAGCAGCGCATAACTCACGAGATAGAAAGAAAAGAACATGCACATTGTTGAGAAAGTACCTAAAAGCGCGCTGGCGATGTTTGTGCCAGCTACACCAGGGTAGTACTATCAGGTGTCGCGTGGGTAACTTGTCAGAGTCTTCGAGCGACGCCTGATCCAGTTGATGAGCGATCAAGTCCATCTGGAATTTTGAGCTCTCGTAGGAATGCGCAGATTTGATCAACTGCCAGTCTGTAGGATCGTAATAAACTGGGCTTGATTCATGAGACTGACATCCAAATCACGCGGGCGCCAGTAGACATTTGGTATTTTGCTAGGTGAGATTTCAGAGCTCGAAACTGGAGCGAATCAACATATAAGATGAGGTCGAGATCGACTGCACGTACCAGGACATAGTGTCCAAAGACGTTACACTGCCACACCCACCCTAACCTGTCTTGACTGAGTTGTCCAACTTCTTGCGTGTAGTATGTAGGAGATGTCACGGCCTCAACCCAGCTCGTGGCGTATTGCTTGATAGCTAAACGCCAATTAATGCCGACGAAAGAAGCAACTCCTGCATTACAGATGAGATGCGAGACATATGGGTATCTAGAGTGCCGTCAACAATTTGCACGTCGCACACACCGAATACTCACGTTTTGATAATTTCGTCAGCGAATCGGAACACTGTTTGGATGTGCGACAAGTCTACGGTATGGACCACAATGGTTAGGTGTTTTCTAAAGGTCTCGGCATGTCCGTCGTAGCCTGGAAGTATCTCAAGGTGACAAACTTGTTCGTCGGCAAACTGGTATAGTTTGTCGCGAGCAGCTTCTCCTCGTTGTCTGCTACGACAAGCAAGAATTAGAGTCAACCCATCGAAAGAGGCGTCGTTGGTTGTCGTTTTTTGGACGTGAAAGTTGTAATGAGGTTGGGCGTCTGTTGGAGATTTGGATATTAGCTGAACAAGCAGACGCTGGCAAATTCCCAAACCGACGCCGCTGTGCGCATTTCAGTAGGAGAAACCAACTTATGAACAACTTGGCTCGCCGCACCTATTTGCACCTGTCACAACGATAACTGGCCACGACATGACACCCAGAGAAAGACGTGCGTGAGACGTTCCTCGTGTGATTACTAGCTAGTAGTTGCCTAGCGAATTGATAGTCGTTACGCCAGACTTGAAGGCGAGAATCTCCTCCCAATGTAAGTAATCCAAAATATTATATTTTAAGAAGGCGGCAATGTGAAGCAGTGCGAAGGCTAGAAATAACAACAGGCTACAACTCTCATGCCACGATAGACTACACCTCCGTCTTCTTTTTCTTCTTCTTCGGCGGGTCACTGTCCACTTGAGAAGCCGCTGCAGCAGCCGCAGCCTTTTCTGCCTTGCGTGCCTTCTTTCTGGCTTTGCGTTCTGCTTCCGTTTCTCCATCCTCCTGTAGTTTATTGATAAAATTGCGAAGATGAGAGTATGAATTGGCCTACCTTGGGAGCTTCGAAACCATTGACCTCGCTCTCTCTTCTCTTTCGTTTCTTGTCCTTGTGTCCCTTCTCCTCCTCGACGTCCATTTGGTCATCATCTGACTCCTCATTCGCCTTCTTCTCTTTGGCGGCTTTCTTTTTTGCACGTTTCTCCTCTTTCTCCTTCCTCTTCTCCTCTTTCACGTCGAGAACAGCTTTCACAGCTAGCTCCAGAGGGTCACGTTGTGCTGGAACCAAGTCCACAGCATCTGCGGCCGTATTGTATGTCTTGGTCTGACCCTTCATCTCAAAGCGTTGTGGTTGTTGGTTTTTGTCTGCAAATCTTCGCACACCAGACAAATCGTTTTGATGTTCCAGGGCACGTAGGCGAGACTCCAATTTTGCGCGATTTTCAAGACCTATTGAAGGAGCAGTTTCTTCTGATTTTCCATCAGCGTCCGTCAATGCATCGACACGGATTGAAAGTGCGGCTTTTGTGGCAACCATACGGGCCATCTCAATGGCAACAGGTCAGCCTGACGAATTCTGAGGTTTTCGAAGCAGGTAAATTACCTTGCCCTTCAATTTTGGGGGTGCTTGACCAATGAGGGAGGCCTATGTAATGTAAGCGGGTTGGACAAACGAGAACGAACGATCAGTAACCCACATGATAGATGAGTCCGTATTTTGGGGTATCGTGTTTGGTCTTGAGGGCACGGAACAGTGCCTTTTCTGCACCGAGAATTTGCACTGTACTAGCTGGGTGCTTTGCTAGATTCAATAAACTTCCAGCATGTGATATAAGTCGTGCTCCAACAAGGTCGCCGACTAGTGCAGTAAGATTTGGTGCCACTGCGTTCATGCGATTCCGTAAGTACTCTGCAAGTTGTGCACGATATGCAGTTATGGATATGACTTGGTCACATAGTGCATGTATATGCTGTATATCGGTGTCAGATATCTCGGTTCCCATGGATATTTCAGCAGCAGCTTTTAAAACAGCTTCAAGATCTTCTGGCAGTAGGGTTTCAAACGCTGTCGTAGCGGCATTCGTGCGGAAACCTGGACCAAACAGTATCGGCCAAACAGTGGACTGAAGAAATGCGCCAAACTTACCCATTGCCCGTACAACCTTAGCATAGGCAAGGTTATCAACGATAATCTTCCCCATTTCGGGAAAATGCCATCCATACCACTCCTAGACGCTAATGAGATTTCGGTCGTTGAGATTCGATGAACTCTCCTACTTTAACTCGCATGGAATATATATTGATTTCTTTATCGAGATCATCCAGTAGTGCAATGGCTTGCACAATCATTGTGTCAACTTTGTTGGGAGAGAACTTGAGTTTAAATCTGCCGGAATATGTCGCAAACATTGCCTTTCGCAATTTGACTTCATAAACTCACCGCGAGAGCGAATGGCTGAGACCTAAGCTCATGGTAGCAAGATCTTTTGGATCAAGGCCTTCAAGTAATGAGGCAACTTGACTTCGGATACCCCTCCACAAGTCACTATGATCTTCTGGTGGTGCAGGAGAAGTGACTTGGATGCTCAATTTTTTCGAGATGGAGTGAGCTTGTCACAAGTGTAAGATGGCATGCATGATGACACAGATAACGCAACGCACCTAGTTTTGGGTCGACTACTACCAAGGTTTCTTTCCGCTTTGCTTTCTCCACCACCTGTTCAGTTAAGAATTTCTTCAGACCCTTCCCCAGTTTACCTTCCTGCACAGCAGTAATATCTTCTACTGCATTTGCAGTAGACGTAAAACGGTGAAGCGCTTTCAACTTCAACCTTGTCCATCAAACCAGGTTGAGTTGTTTCCAATACATGAACATCTTGAACGTACAATTTTGTCGCCTTCTCTGGCGTTTCAAAACTTTTATACAGATCTGCTGACTCGAGCTTGGCCGAGTCCGACAGTTTGAACAGGCAGTAGCCCATCGCTGTCTCGTACAACACCAGCATTTTGAAAGAGTGGGATAACCAGAACCAATCGCAAATCTTTGCTGCAGAGCTCAATAAGAAAAACTAAAGTGTATAATTGCGCTTGCCGGAATTTGCCGGACCTCATTGGGAAATCTGCGATAACAGTGTCATCGTGTCACGCCTCCGCCAAGACTCTGGCCTACAACTGCTGTTACCATGTACATCCATGTCAGGTGCTTCAGTTTGACATGTGCAACTTTCCTCCGCTGCGTGGTCCGTCGGAGTAGTCTCGGTTCCAGATATTCACATAAATACCGTCCGAAACCGAGACTTCTTCGCTACATTCGAGACATCAATTAGACATGCTTATCAGGTCAGTGGCTCTACTTGCACTGGCTGTCGGCATTGGTGCTCGCGAGCAGCTAATTTTCACGGATGATAAGCTCCACAATGAAACAATTCCAAATACTCTTCCAATCGTGCCAGAAAGCCTGGCCTCTCTTACATCTGTAGACTCTTTCACAACTTTGTCTCATGCCCGCTTCCCTCACCACGCCGTTCGTATCAAAAAGTCAGACTTTTGCGACCCCACCGTATCGTGAGTACTTTGATTTGGACGAAATGTGAATGGAGATTCACGTGAACGTTTGTTTAGTGTGTACACCGGTTATCTTGATGTCGATCAGGGAGCAAAGCACTTGTTCTTCTACTTCTTTGAAAGCCGCAGAAATCCAGAAAACGGTGCTTAGTTTATTGTTTCGGCGTCCTCCGTATTAAATCGATGGTACTTTCTAGATGATGTGATGATGTGGATCAACGGAGGTGATGTGCTGTGTCGCTAGGTCCTTTCTTTTCCTCATCACAACTCATGGCAGGTCCCGGGTGTTCTGCCTCACTTGGCTTGTTATTTGAACTCGGTGCGGTCATCACTATATATGACGCGATTCATCCAAACAGTTTGAACGCTAGGGCCATGTAGCATCGACGTCGATGGTTCATCCTCAAATGGTACCAAATGGAACCCATACTCATGGAATAAGGAAGCCAATGTTTTCTTCCTGGACCAACCGTCAGTTCATGCGTTGGGTCATCTACGTTTATTATTGATATTGCGAACATAGAGTTGGGGTAGGCTACTCATACGCCGACTTTGGTGAAACAGTTGAGACGACGGAGGATGCTGCTCGGAATGTTCACGCGTTCCTCACAATTTTCTTCGAGGTTTTCAAACAATTTGAGGGTAGGCCATTGCACCTTGCTGGTGAATCCTACGGTGTAAGTAACATATTCATGATCTTGTATGATTCTGATAATGTTGGATTGAAGGGGCGGTATCTTCCTGTCTTTGCTAGCGAAATCTATGATCAGAATCAAATCGCCAAGGCAGAGGGACGACCGACCATCAACCTTCATAGCGTCCTGATCGGGAACGGTATCACTGATATCTCAACGTGAGTGAATGACTTTATTGTAGTTTCAACAGTTCTTCATGAATCCTAGTTTATACCAAGGGCGTTATGAGATTGAATGCGGCATTGCTGCCCTAGAAATACCATTTCAACAAATTAGCTCTTGTGTGCGCATGAGATCAGCGGTGGGTATTTATCCTAATTCACTGTCCCTTCGTTTCCTGATGATGCATCACACAGTTACCTCGGTGTCAAGCTTTCATGCGTGATGGGTGCATCAATCAATTTGATCACACGAATTGTGAGGCTGCTGTTGCCTTTTGTGACGCACAGCTTAGCACTGCAATGTGGGCAAGCGGTAAGTTGAACAAGACTCGCTGCAAATCGCCACTGAATTACTTTTGGATGTAAGGTCGGAATGTGTACGATGTGTCGATGGTCGGTGGTTCCTTAAAATAGTATGACGTAGCTTGCTTACTTTGCTCACTCAAAGACCTGTGAAGACCAAGACCTGTGCTACGCAGGAGACGCCATTATCCGAGATTTCCTTGATGCACCAGAGACACGGAAGATACTCGGTGCTGAAAGTCCCGGTGCATTTTCTCTCTGCTCTAGTGTTGTCGGGCGAAACTTTGTCTCTCACCTCGATAAGTGGGCACACCACACCCAAGACTACGTTGCAGCCCTCCTGGAGAGGAACATTAGGGTGTTGATTTACGCTGGTACTTATGACTGGCAGTGTAATTGGATTGCGAACAAGCTATGGGTGGATAAATTAGATTGGACGGGACGTTCTGCATACGCGAAAGAGAGCTGGAGGTCTTGGTACGTCAATGGAGAAAAAGCGGGTGAAACCAAGAATGTTGGCCCTTTGACATTTGTTACAGTGCTAGATGCTGGCCACATGATGAGTCTTTCGTCACTCTAGCTCCGCCTTCTTGCTGACCCTTTTTATACGTCCCTCATGACAAACCTGCAGAATCACAGGCTCTAGTTTCCAGATGGCTCGCCAATCAGGCCATCTAAGGTGTCAAAGACATGCACACAGACGACACAGCCGCTCAATGCATCGCTATTTTAGGATCGAGCCGTCGAGCCAAGGAATTGTCGAAGAAGATCTGTCCTTGTGTCTTAGTTGCAAATTGCAATGAATCTGATTTGAAATTGAAGTTTTTTTTGTCAATCATGCCGACGATAACAATATGATGGCAACGCAGTTAAACCGTTGTCAGGCCCAGACAGATACCTTCTCTGCAATAACAGTGCATTGTAAATTTGTAAACGGCACAGCTAATCACCTGTGCTTGAGATAAATCTTAAAACAGCATTTACCGTGATGGCGTACGGTGTTGCCCACCCTCTTCTGCAACCTCCGTTTATTGTTCGTAGGCTTTCCCTTGAGGTATGTTTGCCGCATGGATTCGATGAACATCGCTTACAAATTGTTGCACTACCCAGGATCCCCTATTCTATCTTCACTCGGGTTGCACAGGTGCACCTGACCTTTTCCTTCGTATCTTTTCTTGCGCCTTTTCGTAGAACTTCCATTTAATTTCGAGCTATGGTTTTCACTTCACTATACTCGCTCTGCGGCGCTGGCTTCGCCCTGCTTCAGCTGCTAGCTCCAGCCACAGCACGTCCAATAGCACGGTCTACAAGCTCTTCCACATTGGTGGCTCTTCGTGAGTGTTCTTATATCAGTTTAGATCAAGCGTTCATGATAGAACAGAGTTTGCCAACGTGCTGGAGCAGCTTGAGTCCACTTTTTATGCGCAGGCCCTTCAAAAGTTCAACCAGTCAGATTTCACGGCAGCGGGCTTTGCTTCGGCTCAGGTTCCCTTGCAACAGTTTCAGGCCATCTTCCAGGATGAGGCCATACATACAACTACATTACAGGTGTGTCAAATCATATGTAACGTCCATGAGAATGACATTAACACCCACTCAGTCCGCCATTAATGCGTTGGGCGGTCAAACAGTGTCAAATTGTACATTCAACGTTGCTTCCTTGCTCACCGATGTACCTACTATGGTAGCGGCAGCGAGACTAGTTGAAAATGTTGGTGTCAGCGCCTACCTTGGTGCCCTGACTTTGATCAACGACACGGTCCTCGCCACCGCAGCTGCCACCATTATGACAGTTGAAGCGCGTCACCAAACTATTCTTAATGTGCTGGCAGGGGGCACCGCGATCCCTCAGGCGTTTGATGTTGCTTTGAATCCATCTGAGATTCTTGCATTGACAGGGGGATTGATTTCTGGATGCAACCTTGGAATTCCAGGTACGTACCTGGTGTAATCGACTGTCCTCTCGTTTACATTAAAACACCCTCGTATAGCGAATGTGCCGCTCCAAGTTAATAATCCTGGTTCTATTCAAGCAGGAACGAAGTTGAACTTTACTTCTGCTGCACTGAACGGAACGATTCCGGTAGAGGTATGTCATCCATATAGTTGGCTTATCGCACAACAACTTACGCGTTACTTACGCCAGGAACTGTCCTGTCAATTCCTCGCCGGCGGCTTGCCTGTTGCTATCTCACAACCACTATCCAACTGTAGCGTCCCGGCCAATGTAACTGGTCCTATGTTTGTGTTCGTGACCAACAGTAGTCAGCCTCTCGCGAATAACATTCGCGACGCCGCGACTGGCACCATCGTTGCAGGTCCAACGATGATCTTCATCGACAATCAACAGGATGCGCTGGCGATTGCAGCACGTCCTGGTCTCAACTCCACTGTGACCACCAGTAGCACCTCAACGTCTTTTGCGGCACCAACGACAGTCACTTTGACTCCACCCACTCCCACTCCGAGCACAGTCGTGAGCGGTACAGTCACTTCAACCGTGCCGTCTACTTCTCTGCCCAACTCCATGGCTCCCAGTTGGACGGCTGTGACCAAAACAATCTCGCCATCTGAAGCTAGTAGTATTCTCGGGAGTGCTGTGCCATCTATGGGTTCGAGATAAATGTCGAGAATTGATACGAGATGCTGGATCGAATTATATTGCACAGATATCTAGAGTACATCAGGACTGAACTGACGACTTTAGGGAATATTGATAGAAAAGGACGATAATTCATAGGACATAAGTTGTACAACGATAGAATGTAGTGCAAGAAGTGGGCTTAATCTTCATCACTATCCTCACTGGATGTTGTATCGTCTTCATCTGCACTGAGTTGACCACCTGCGAATTGATTGAGCGACATGGGTCGTCCAGAGACATTTGCCACTGGTTCAAGATCTGGAGACATTGCTGCCGCCAATATATCATCGTCCGACTCTTCTTCGAGCTCTGCTTCCATCTCCCGCCCGAAGGCGTCAAGATCTATCTCCTCCTCTACCGGATCATTGTGGGTAACTTCATCCCAGTCTTCTTCAGAGTCCGATTCTGCTGCCACAGGCTTTGTGGGAAGAGCAGGAGGCACGAAAGAAGGCGTCGTCCCTGGCAAGGCCAATCCGGTTGAGACGGACGGCTTCGGACGTTTTGAAGGACGAGCGGGACGACCAAAATCAAGAACCTCTTCCAAGTCGGAATCTTCTCTATACGTATTGATTTCTTTTTTCGCCTTCGGCACTTCCTTGGGTTTGGGTTTTGGCTTCGGTTCGGACTCGTGCTTTTTGGGAGGTGGAGCGACAGGACGAGAGACTTTAGGTTTCGGAGGGGGCGGAGGTGGTGAAGGAGCTTTGCGAGGAGGTATTTCAATCTCCTCACCCTCTTCTTCCTCTTCCTCCTGCCTTTGCCCCGTGACCTTTTCCAAAATGTCATCGAAGTCGTCCACGGCCTCACCATCAGCATCTGAGAGCCCTAAGAGATCATTTTCTAGCTCTTTCTCCAAATCTCTTGTGTCTTGAAGCTGTGCTGCGGGAGGAGTTGCTGCAGAGGCTGAAAGTCGCCGAGGATAAATGACGATGCCCGATCAGGTACCAGGTAGACAACTTACGAGACTTTCGGGCAAAGCTGGAGCTGGAAGAAGAGACTTTCTTGTCGTATGTAAAGCCCATGAAGCACTCTACCTTTTCAAGAGTGAATGTCTGGAGGAGTGTCACAAGCTAAATCCAACAAGATACAAGAGAACGGTTACTCACACCCAGTTCCTCGTCATAAATTAGGACACAATCATACTCCTTCATCGACTGTTCATTCCCTTTGAAAAGATGGTTCTCGCCCGCCTAACAAAATCATCAAAAGAGGTTCTGAAAGCTCGATATAGCCCATGCGCCATACCTGCGTACTAGGGCGTTCTAAAGTGATGCTGGTAGAGTCTTTCCCGCGTTTGACTTCAACTGTCCCGGATCTGCTTGGTTCTATTGACTCTGGCTTGAAATTATCTGCCGTGTATCTTTCAGCGCGCTCAGAAATTGACAGTAAAAGGCCTCGTACACCTGAAGGAGTAGAAATCCTTGTCGGGGAGATTGGAGCGCTTCGGTGGAGCTACGCCCTTGCGGGCTTTGAGTGCGCGCCTAAGTGAAGTTCCTATTGCTACTGGGTGTCGGCCTGTTGTGGGCATCCATTGGGTATCTGTAGTCGCCATGACTTGACTAGGAGGTGAACGGAAAGACTGTCGCTTAGATCAGTAGTAACTTGAAACGGCGCTGAAGTAAGCTTGGCGGTGTTCATTGTTATTCTTGTTGTTTCCCGCGTTGGACGACGCATGGATCTTTCAAAACTAAGTTTTTTTCACACCCAGTACTAGTAATAATACAGCGTCTCCGATCAAGATCAATTGTCTTAACTCGATCACAAGCTCTTAACGACATGTCATCATGTTGGTTGAACAGCTTTTCTATCAGTGCTTCATGAAATCCCCCCTCCCGGACATTACGGCAAGGGACATTAAAGAACAAGGAATGGCTGAAACGAGTGTGGAACAAGAATCGAGGGTACCGGGATATCAACGGACTCGGTGAAATTTAGGTGAATGAAACTAGGTTGTGTATAGTCACGTGCCGGCACATGCCTTCCCTCCGAGTTACCGTCATAGTCAAAGAGTGTCGGATTTTCGCGACCTCTGCCATACCAAAGACTATCAAATCAGTAAAACGGGGAGGTCCACGGAACTTACACCAAGCGGTCTATGATCGGCAAAGAGCCTGGTGCCCTGCGGAGTCTGCAAAAGTGGTCTCCTCCCCCGCATTCAAGAGTTCCGCATCCACGTCCGAGCTCGAAAGGCGAGTGCTTACGCTACAAAATATGCAAGTACCATCAGATGTCCCGGAAGCAACTTCGGAGTCTGTCGCGCGCTCTCTCTCTTACACGGATGAGGAGCTATCCTCCATGTACGAAGACTTATTGGAAATACCGCGGACTCAAAAATGTGTAGAGGTCAGGAAGCTCTCTGAAGAAGACAGGGATACACCTGCCATAATTGAAGTAAGAGAACGGGTGCAAATTTACGTACGTTGTTCACTTTAGAAAGATGGAGTTACGCACTTACAGATCTTATAGATGCGCGATGGAGATTTTTCTAGTGCGGAAAGGGCAGTAGAGTCTTTGAAGGTAAGTACTATAATTCCATCTTGTTTTTTTAGATGCTCATGAACAAGTTAGCTTTCTGGTGTCACACCACCTGAAGACATCATCAACATCATGCTTAGACATCACGCACTGCACGGAAATATAGAACGATTGGAAGGATTCATGGTAAATATCTTAACCGGTTTGTATTTGATGTATGCGCTTGCAACTGTCTAACTATGTTTTTACACAGGCAAACCTTCCGAGACTCAACGAGATCTGCACATCAAGGCCTACCTGCGTGACCCGGCCGTCTTTGCGTCGCGCGCATTTCCCACTCGTGCCATCGACCTTCTGCACAAGTATGAGGCTTCTGGGCTCCATGCTCCCATGAAGTCTTATACGCGTATCATATCTTCGCTATTATCTGTCCGCCCCTCCCCTTCACCTCCTTCGATATCCTCAACACCGGACGTACCGTTGGGACGACTGGCGGCAAATTCACAAGCTTGGGACCTTTTCGCTCACATGCGCTACGTGGCGCACCCGACACCAGATGCTCATCTCTACGCGGTAATGATCCGTACCTGTGCTTTGACTCCTTTAGCTCCCGAACCTGAGCGTGCCCTAGACCTGTGGACTGAGATGCTCGATGCGGGGATTGTGCCGACCCTTGGGGCATACGACGCAATCATCCGCGTTTGTGCGAAGGCTGGAGGAGAATGGGTCTCTGAAGCCATCCGGTTTGCACGGCAAATGCGCGACCGCTTTGGAGGCAGTTCTTCTGAAGTCGGTGGTGGGGACCTTCAAGGGGTTGGTGGGCTGCGTACTTGGACGGCTCTGCTGGATGGCTGTAAGCGCGTGGGCGATTTGGGGCGGGCTAGATGGATCCTGGCAGAAGCTGTAAGAGCTGAGGGTTTAAATGAGGAGATGATGCAACACATGTTCCACGCTTATGCCGCGTATAGACCCCCATTCAAAAGGGGTGCAACCAGGATCTTGGACGACGGTGCGGTTGTAGCACGAGCACCAGCTGCTCCTCCAAAACAAGACGGATTGCTAGCAAGCGCTACTGACTGCTCATCAGACTTGCCTTCAGATTGCGATACAGTCCCGACCGATTTCTCGCATATGGGTACCATGCCTTCCTTTTCACACCTCCCGCCCCAATCATCAGGCGAGGTCATTGCAGAGGCTCGGGCTCTCTTCCAAAGAATTCTTCAAGATACCAACCCTACCTCTCATTCATCCCCTAACATGCCTCTTGGCCCTCTCGCTGGAAAATTCAATGTCAGACTCACACCACGCCTCTTCAATGCGTACATGTCCGTGTATTACTCGCATGCGAGTCTCGAAAGTGCGCGTGATGTATTTGAGAGGCTGTTTTCTTCTTTTGGCGTTGGCCTTATGGGTGATTCACGCACTTATGTCGACGCACTCGAGAAGTGTGCACTTGCAAGGCCGCGTGAACGTGACATTGCAGGAAAATGGGTTGATGAGTTATGGGCGCGCTGGGAAGAGCTTGAGCGCAAGTGGGTCGATGGGTTCACAGAGACGACAGTGACTGCCAGGCTGGTCGAGAGAGCGCACACTAATGTCAGAAGAGTTCACCTTTTGTCAGTCTTTTATTTTCCAACATTTATGGTCATACCAATCCACTCGTCAGAAATGGTGATGTTGATCGTGCAATTGCACTAATCCGCATGTTTATATCGCGGTATCCTCCGACCGCGCTACTACCTCTAGCCCGCAATCCATCGTCTGCTCATATAGATGCTCCCAGTCAAGATGCCATTAAAAAACGTACAATCACCCTCTTTGCGAAACCACCCATCCTCTCGACACGTACAGTTCTCAGTAATTCATCCGCTACGCCTCGCCCCCTTGTGCGCCTCACATCAGCCATTGGTACACCTGACGAGCGTGTCCCACCCTTGTTAAGTTTTTCGGATGTGGAATTGCTACATGCTCGTTTGGTAGAGCAGGGTAGGGGCAAAGAGGTGGGATTTCTCAAGTGGGCATGTAAGGCGTATGAGGGAGCACTGAGAACTCGTAGGGAAGCTGTTCTTGGAGCGCGGGTTCCGGTTGGGGAGGATGTTCGATGAGAGGTGACTATCGTCCCTAGTATATCTAAGTGAATTAATTGCGGTTCTAATTAGGGAGAGCAGTTCGAGTTGCAGATACCGATGGGCCGACTGCCTCGTGCATTACAGATATGATACCTTCCTACCGATTTTCAGAAGTCACACACAGTTACGACATTCATGCATTATGATGATCCAAACAGTCGATGGAGGTCACAAATGAGGATCGCTTTTCTCGAGCACGGCAATATTGTCCATACCACGACGCCAAGTCACATCCGCTAATATGTATCGTACATAGTTCGATTTCGAATTCAGCTGCTTCCTGAAGTTCTACGCAAAGCTTCGCGCTTCAAATCTCAAGCCTGGACAGCACCCAGGCTTGAGTATCGGAACAAAAATATCCTAGCAAATGCAAAGTTGCTCCGGCACGAGGGATCTCTTAAGAATGACTCGGACGTGCGCATAGAGTTTTGCGCCCCAGGGTATGATGCACCATTTGGATAGAAAGTATGGCCACACTTTGCTCGATCATCGAATTGGGGTCGCGCATTGCAAGCATGAATGCATGACGCCCGGTTATATTTTGTTCGCTTACCGAGCGCTTAGGACATTCTTCGAGTCTGGTAACTACCGGCTGGGCCGTAACTTCCTGAAGTTCCTGTGCAGCCTCGTAAGCGCTCATTCATCGATGCATCTTTCAACTTGACCGCATTCAACGTTCCATCGAGAATTGCACCCAATCGTCCATCCTACTTTCTAACTTAGCGTTGATATTTTCGTTGCTTAATTGTTTCACCCCTCAGACTCTTTTGACTTCAAACGAATTTACAGCTTACATATCGACTCCTCAGTTAACATCGTATGTCGTCCCTTCAACCATCGCGATCACGATTTCTAATTACTACACCGTCGAACTGAACTAGTGCGTGCTTCCCCGACTCATCCTATTCAAAATTGTGCGACCTATTTCAGATGCGAGGACAAGACTTCGTGATTGATGTACAGTTTGCTTGGGTCCGTGGTGTCTTTTGGCGCATTCATCCAACACTCGAAACCGAATCACAGGCATATTGCAGTCAGTAGCCTGGTCATTTGAACCTGTTAAACAGATTAGCGTGAAGAACATCCATGGCAACTTTTTCAACTCGCCTTGTTTCACATCCTGAAGGCCGGATCGACATTTAGAGGCACGAGGCCTATCCGCTGTGCAAGCACTTCATCGACGACTACCGAAGTGTTGTCCCAAATGTAAATTTATCGACCCAGATTGTTGGAACCTATAGAGTACATCAGACATGATCGCGCTGCAAATGAGAAACTAGATTGACTTGCCTCGGCGATCACTGGTATTGAACTACTGTTCCGGATCTGCTTGACTCTGACTTGAAATTATCTGCTGTGTGTCTTTCAGCATGCTCAGAAATTGACAGTAAAAGGCCTCGTACACCTGAAGGAGTAGAAATCCTTGTCGGGGAGATTGGAGCGCTTCGGTGGAGCTACGCCCTTGCGGGCTTTGAGTGCGTGCCTCAGTGAAGTTGCTATTGCTACTGGGTGTCGGCCTGTTGTGGGCATCCATTGGGTATATGTAGTCGCCATTGCGTGTCAAGACTTGAAACAGCACTGAAGTAAGCTTGGCGGTGTTCGGTGTTATTCTGGTTGTTTTCCGCGTTGTGGACGACGCATGCTGGATCTTTCAAAACTAAGTTTTTTTTCACACTCAGTACTAGTAATAATACAGTGTCCCCGATCAAGATCAATTGTCTTGACTCGATCACAAGCTCTTAACGACCGTCATCATGTTGGTTGAAACACTCGAGAAAGCCCAGTTTTTCTATCAGTGCTTCATGAGATCCCCCCTCCCGGACATTACGGCAAGGGACATGAAGGAACAAGGATGGCTGGAATGAGTAGTGGAACAAGAATCGAGGGTACCGGGATATCAAGGGACTCGGTGAAATTTAGGTGAGCGAAACTCCGCGGGGACTTACACTGAGCGCTGATACACTAGTAACTTCAACAAGTCAATGAAGTAACACGCAACGTGGTTGACGCCTTTCCGGACCTCTTATAATCTCGTCGGTGTTGCAATGCACAAGTTGTACATAAATCTCGCCAAGAGGACCTGCGTGAACGCCATGAATTCAGGTCGTTTCTGAGGTATTAATCATAAGTTTCTATCCCATGCCAGTTATAGTTAACTTCAAGCTAGTCGATGCGCCCATACACTGCCTCGATAGGCACCATCGTGATCAGCCGAAGCTAACCAAGCGAATCGCGTCGGTATCTTCTTGAAGGCTGGGACCATCAACACGATGCATCGCCGTGCCTCCACCGAAAGCTGTGTATGACGCAGAATGCAACTCGTGTAGGTTGCCTAAATTCCCATTTGTGCCAGCATAATTTACTTATTGCCGATTCCTTCGATAAACCTAGAATTTGTACATGCTTGATAGGTAATGATGAGAGACCACATGATGGTACACGATGCGGACTTCTGTAAAGCGGTGTTTCATCTTCCTTCTGGCGTTGCATGAGGCTGTATTTCATCATCTTGAAAGGTATACTCTCCTTCTATAAGCCCGCTTACATACTTATCTGCACAGAAGCCGCATAGCTCGAATCACATAACAGATCTAGATCTATGCGCTGGTCCCGTGTCCGTTTGTGGCTGCGGGATATATAGTACGGCGCAAACCTCGCTTTGCTGGGAACGGGTTCAAGCCTTAGTCAACATCAATGTCTTCCTCAACGCAGACCCTCATCCCACAACTTCACCTCGGGAGCACGTTCGGCGCACTGTTTCTTGGGGTCACCTTTGCAGCAATGTTAGTAACCTATCTGCTCACAAAGCTTAGTGCTTCATCGGGTCCTGTCGTCCTAACATATCTCACGGAAAAACAGTCTCTTTGGTCTAAGTAACGTTCAAGCTTTCGTCTACTTTCAGACCCACAAGGGCACAGGGATATCGTTCTCTAAGCTAGCCGTACGTCAATGCTTCCTCCCCTCAGTTCAGTCGTTGATGCTACATTAGGTCGCCTGGCTTTGGTATGTACTCTCGACTTGCCATCATCGAGCTCAGCGGGTTTACGCCCTTCCCTTGAATTTTAGGATACTCGACGCACTGCATCTGGCCTTGATAGTCCACTGTGTGTATTATTATTTAGTTGCCCACTACGCGGACATAGACGCACTCACAGAAATTGTGTGGAGCTTCAAAGTGAGTTTTGTTGGGACCTTCGTGCAGCCTCTGCTATGATACTGATGGACTCGTCGTGCAGCTTCAAATAATCATCGATGTAAGTGGTTTTCCCATGGCACTGCGATCCGCCTACACATCCATTTTAGGTTCTAATTATCTACGGGGTACATCTGTAAGTTAGAAGTGTACTGTTATCTCCGAATTGAAAGACTCATGTGATGATCGCAGTCTATATTTTCATCGCATATGCATAGGTATGTATTCCTCTATCGAGCCAATAGGTTTCTATGACTAATTCAATGTGTCAGTCGCCAAGGGTCGATCAAAGGTCCTCCCTATAGTAGTGGTGGGTTTAAATCGATAATCGCATATCATGGCATTGATTTTGATGATGGCAACATCAGGGCGTAATCGTCATTTCGGGTTCAGGTGGGTTTGTCATTTGGTATCCCTCTTCACTCGATCTTGATTTTTTCCCCTTCAGGTGTTGCCATCGGTGAGCGTTCGAAAACTCTGTACTTTGACAATGGTTGGCTCATTGTAATCCAATGACAGCCCTTATTTGGGCCATGTGAGTAAAACAACGTGCTCCCTAATTATATAAATCGCTGATAGCGAGTAGCTATCGGTGTCATGTGTTCTCGGATCTGTTTAAAATCGAGTGGTCGACGTATATGACTTTGGGCACGATGACTTTTGTCGATTTCATTATTGCATCATCGCTATGTTATCTCCTCACTGTTTCCCGCACTGGATTCTCTAGGTAAGAGCTGTCTATTTACGTCGTGGGATTTGATAACCAACATGGAGTACTTAGCACCGATTCCATGTTAACAAAGCTCATGGCTTACGTTATCAACACAGGCTGTCTGACGAGGTATTTCACCTTCCACACCAATCCACATCTTGACTCATATTTCATGCAGCATATGTTCAATGACAGCTATGATTACGGTAAGCTTCCAACAATTATACTGCCCCATCTTGTCTCTAAGCCCTTACAGTGCGCAATGATGCCGCAAAATTTCATCTTCCTCGGCATTGAATTTTTACTGGCGAAATGTATGACCCAAATCATTCTCAGAATGTCGTGCTGATTCACTGGCCCCTTTTCAGTATACGTCAATTCGTTCCTTGCCCTCCTGAACGCGCGATACTACTTGCAGTCCGCTGCAGAAACTAACAATTCTGTTGAAGTCCAAATGCGCCATGGTATCTACCGCCCCGATCTGAACGTTGTGGTGTCCCAAGACGAGGAATTCCAGGGATCCCAGAAAAATATGTCTAAACATCCCAGCGATGATGTTGTACATCTTACTCGATCTGCCAAGGTAAGTAGCTGTGTGATTGGCGAAAGTGGAAGGGTCCTGATTATCACACTTTAGCCACATCGGCCCATTGAGGTGACTGTAGAGACGAATTCTTTCTCATCGGTGTGATGTATCAGTACTAGTATACATTATCATGTATCGTCCGTCTCTTCATTGTATCAGAATACCGCGCAGCTAGTGTGAGGACAAGAATCTACATTGAACATATATAAGCGCAAAACGTTTGAATCCTGGGCCACGGAAGTAATTCGCGTGACTGTCATGTGTGTGCACCACCTGAGCTCAGCTGTTCACTGTGCTCAACCACTTATCCCTTCTTTTTTCTCTGCGTCTGTGACTGGGCGTGCGCCACCTGAGCTGCACTGTCAGTGTCGGTGGTCCCTGTCTCTCCCTCGCCATCATGTGACACCCAAAACGCAACACCTTATGCTTGAGAGTTACATCTATAGCCGACGACATATTCATCAAGAATGATGATCAAAGAGCAAGTTCGTCTACATCCTGACTTCTTGAAGTTCCAAGTTTCAGTTGTAGTGCTTAACTATCACCCCATTGATGACTTCTTGTTCCACACCCTTCTCTTCGCCATTCTCCAGTTTCGATTGGCCATAGGCAGATGTCCTCGCTTTCCTCCATTATTTCCATTGTTGGCGCCTCGCTATCGACGCAACGCCTGTGAATTCCAACTCTCTGCAGGACTGGACTTTCGGCCATCGGCACCAACTTGACATCGTCGTTGGGCATGACGAAGTAGAAGACTCCGAGGCGAGGGTAGTTTCTCTGATCCTCTGGAGGCTTTGTAACACGATGGATCGTGCCCTTGTAATACCCGCCGGTAAGGAAGTCCAATGCATCGCCTGCATTGACGACCTATAATACTTTCATTATGTAGTGCGTTGAGACGTAGAACATGGCTGCGTACGAGTGCATTTTTGATATGGCGGACCCAGTGCCATTTGCCTTCACGAGTCAGAATTTGCAGTCCAGCGACACGCTGACTCCACAGAATCGTAATGCTTCCATGGTCTTGCATTAACACTGGTGAGCACAGGCGCTAGTTTCACGATGATTAAGGTCACTAACCTACGTGTCCCTTCAGCCAAATGTTCCGTGTTTTGGTTTCCTCTTCTTCTGTCCGTGGGTAACTGAACTGCATAAACTTGTGAAGACTATGAAGAAGGCGGCACTTACTATTTCATGAACCTGACTGATGGATAGGTCAGCAACGATTTGGAATGTTTCAAAAAGTATGTACCAAAAGTCTCCCCAACGGCGTCATAGTCATGAATGTTGACCAGCGTGTCTTCGGGTAGCTCGAGGCTGCGTGCAATAAGCCTGATTGAAATGTAATCAGGTTGTCATCCTAAGTGCGACAGTGATATGTATGTGCCTCAGAATGGGATGTAACACGTTGAAGTGATTGTGTTTGCTAAACTCCTTGATTTCCGGGAGAAGAGGACGGAGGGTCTCCGGGTGTCCTCGTTTGGTCACATCGCGATTGACTAGAAGGGTGTCAGGCGAGTCAATGAAAAGACACAAATGCGTTCTGCTCACTGTTATAGTGCTCGATCTGGTCGTGGACCCCAGCATCAATATGCTGAATTCGATCGACTTGCGTAAACCAAACGTTCGTATGTCAGTCGAGACACGACGACCACGCACCCAGTACTGTCGTAACTTATAACCTTGGTATGAGCCGCTTTGTTTCATTGTTCCGGCATAAGTTTGTTTCTCGCTGTCACTAACCGCCGAGAAGGGTAGGTCTGCGATGTCAAATATGCGATCTGTCTGCATCGAGATGATATTAACGATCCACACGACATGAAAATTTGTTTCACCTGGTCTTGCGAATACCCGTGATTCACCACGTAGAAGAACCCTTGGTTAAGGAGGGCCTCCCTTACTTCAATTGCTAGCGCGGTGCGGCCTTCTTCAGTGTCGGCTTTCGGAATGTCAATGATAGCAAGGTCGGCATACTCCACTGTCAATTTACACCTCAGCGTTCGACATTAAACAGAGAACTTGACACAGACAAGTTTCTTTACTAGGAGGTGCGGCAACATAATGCGGTACGTAGGGTACAGTGAGGCTGGGCATTGTGATGCGATTGGGGGGGGGGGGGGGGGATTGTACCTTATCAGCCTAGAGATCTTATGACCACGCGGACCGCAAGGTAGGAGCAGCTGATCACCTCATTATCAGGGTGTATTACACACATCTTGACTAATGCACATTAATATCGAGGGAAATCCTGGCCACCGGATGCAAGGACAGGACTTCATGATTGATATACAGTTTGCTTGGGTCTGTGGTGTCTCAGGCTTTTGGCGCATTCTTCCGACGCTCGCAGTTTGCATATCGCAGTCAGTAGCGTAGTCATTTGAACCTGTTAAACGGATTAGCGTGAAGAACATCCATGGCGACTTTTTTCAACTAGCCTTATTTCACATCCATGAAGGCTGGAGTAGTCAGCGCTGAAGTAAGCTTGGCAGTGTTGTTGTTCCCCGCTTCAACACCAAAACCAAGATTTTTTTTACACTGCCATCACACTGATCACGATCGAATGTCTTAACTCGATCATAAGCCGCTTGATGTCATCACGTTGGCGAGAAACTCCAGCTTTTCCATCACGACAAAGGACACGAAGGAACAAAAATGGCCGGTTTGAGTAGTGGAACAAGAATCAAGGGCACCAGGATATCCACGGACTCGGTGAAATTTAAGTGAGCGAGACTCCGCGGGGACTTACACTGAGTGCTGATACCGGTAGCTTCAACAAGTCAATAAAGTAACGCGCAACGTGGTTGACGCCTTTTCCGCAAGTTGTACATAATCTTTGACACTCAATGGGCCTGCGGTCGTTTATCTCACCAAGAGGACCTGCATGACACCATGAATTTAGGTTGTTTCTGAGGTATTAGTCATGAGTTTTGGGGTAATGTTAGTTATCTCTAGGTTGGTCAGTACGCCCATGCAGTGACCACCTCAACAGTCATCATCATCATAGCAGAAGCTAACCAAGCCTCGAAGATCATGGAATAATCCGCATCGATATCTTCTTGGTAAGATCATCATTCAGATTTATCATTAAGTGCCACGATAAATCCCGGTGCTTCCACCGAAAGCTGTGTATGACACAAAATGCAACTTGTCTTTCGCCTTGTAGGTTGCCCAAATTCTCATTGATCCCACTTTGTGCCAGCATGATTTACTTATTGCTGATTCCTTCAATAAAATTAGAATTTCTACATGTATGATATAGGCAATGACAATAGGTAATGATGGTGTTGCATGAGGCTGTATTTGATCATCTTGAAAGGTATTGGCAATACTCTCCTTCTATACGCCCACTCACATACTTATCTGCACAGAAGCCACACAGTTCGGATCACATAACAGATCTAGATCTATGCGCTGGTCTCGTGTCCGTTTGTGGCTGCAGGATATATAGTACGGCGCAAACCTCGCTTTGCTGGGAACGGGTTCAAGCTTTAGCCCACATCCATGTCTTCCTCAACGCAGGCCCTCATCCCACACCTTCACCTCGGGAGCACGTTTGGCGCACTGTTTATTGGGGTCACCTTTGCAGCAATGTTAGTAACCTATCTGCTCACAAAGCTTAGTGCTTCATCGGGTCCTGTCGTCCTAACATATCTCACGGAACAGTCTCTTTGGTCTAAGTAACGTTCAAGCTTTCGTCTACTTTCAGACCCACAAGGGCACAGGAATATCGTTTTATAAGCTAGCTGTATGTTGATGCTTTCTCCTCTCAGTTCAGTCGTTGATGCTACATTAGGTTGCCTGGCTTTGGTTTGTACTCTCCAGTTGCCATCGTCGAGCATGACAAGTTTACGCCCTTCCCTTGAATTTTAGGATAATCGACGCTCTGCACTTGTTCTTGATAGTCCACTGCATCTATTATTATTTAGTAACCCACTACGCGGACATCGACGCACTCATAGGAATTGTGTGGAGCTTCAAAGTGAGTTTTGTTGCGGCCTCCATGCGGCCTCTGCGATGATACTGATGGACTCGCCGCGCAGCTTCAAATAGTCACCAATGTAAGTGGTTTTTCCCATGGCACTGCGATCCGCCTACACATCCATTTCAGGTTCTAATTGTCTACGGGGTGCAGCTGTAAGTTAGAAATTTACCGTTATTTCCGAATTGAAAGACTCATGTGGTGGTTCGCAAGTCTATATTTTCATCGCATATGCATAGGTATGTATTCCCCTACCGAGCCAATAGGTTTCTATGACTAATACTATGTATCAGTCGCCAAGGGCCGATCAAAAGTCCCCCCAATAGTAGTGGTGGGTTTAAATCGATGATCGCATATCATGGCATTGAGTTGATGATGGACATTAGGGCGTAGTCGTCATTTCGGCTGGAGGTTGGTTTGTCATTTGGTATCCCTCTTCACTAGATCTTGATTTTTTTTCCCCTTCAGGTGTTGCCATTGGTGAGCGTTCGAAAACTCTGTACTTTGACAACGGTCGGCTCATCAATGATAGTCATTATTTGGGCCATGTGAGTAAAACAACGTGCCCCTAATATATAAATCGCTGATGACGAGTAGCTATCAGTGTCATGTGTTCTCAGATCTAATCAAAATGGAATGGGCGACATTTATGGCTTGCGGCACGATTACTCTCGTCGATTTTGTTATCGCATCATCGCTATGTTATCTCCTCGCTATTTCCCGCACTGGATTCTCTAGGTAAGAGCTGTCTGTTCGTGCCGAGGGATTTGATATACCAACATGGAGTACTTAGCACTGATTCCATGTTAACAAAGCTCATGGTTTACGTTATCAACACGGGTTGTCTGACAAGGTATTCCTCCTTTCACACAATCCACATCTTGACTAATATTTCATGTAGCATATGTTCATTGTCAGTTATCATTACGGTAAGCTTCCAATGATTATACTGCCCATCTTATCTCTAAGCTCCCACAGTGCGCAACGATGCCGCAAAATTTCATCTTCCTCGGCATTGAATTTTTAGTGGCTAAATGTATGACCCAAAGCATTATTAGAATGTCGTGCTGATCACTAGCCCCTTTTCAGTATACGTCAACTCGTTCATCGCCCTTCTGAACGCGCCACACTACTTGCAGTCGGCTGCAGAAACCAACACTTCTACTGAAGTCCATATGCGCCATGGCATCTACCGCCCAGAGCTGAACGTTATGGTGTCCCAAGACGAGGGACTCCAAGGATCCCACGAAAACATGTCTAAACATCCCGGCGATGATGTTGTACACTTACTCGATCTGCCAAGGCAAGCAGCTGCGTGATTGGCGACAGTGGAACGATACTAATCATCACACTTTAAATTTAGCCTCGTCGGCTTATTGAGGTGACGGTAGAGACGAATTCTTTCTCGTCAGTGTGATGTATCAGTACTAGTATGCGTGTATCATGCAACATTCATCTCTTCATTGTATTTGAATATCGCACAGGTGCGGGGACAAGAATCTACATGTCCATTATACGTCTATTTATAGGTTTCATATATCGCCGTCGCTGTTACCTGGAGGTTAAAAATAGCTACTACTGCTTCAGAGTGGTGACTCACGGACTGGACAGAACTTTGCGTGATCTCTCCTCCCATGACAGCATCTAACTCGATGTCAATTTCTTGCCCAGGTCATAGTTTTGTCAGCATAATGTTTAAATTCGTAGGTGCAGGGTGATTGATACCGTGTGGCGTTGAAACTTTAAAAGTACAAAGACGACTCGGAAAGGATAAATTCACTCTTCCGAGCCGGCGTCGATGAAACATGCTACTGTGAGCTCTTTCAACCAAGACCCTTTGCGTTGCTAACGTGTCAGGGTACGAAGGGAGGGTCGATAGCTGTGGAGTCATACCTAACACCTACTTTGAAAGTACTTCGCATCGGCCTTACTGCGACCGGGACTTGGAAGGATAGTATGCTATCACAATCGGTAGTCCCATTTCCCGTCGACCGGCTTCGGATGAACGAAACGTGTTGTTCTACATAAAACTGCTAGTATCTCTTGAGTCTTTAACTTGAACCTCCCTTTCACTGCATCGATTACTCCGCGACTGAAAGATGACGACATTCGTTAATACCATTCCAAAAGTAAGTGCTGTCTGTTCAGCACTCGTCGTATGATCTAAATCAGCCGTGAAGATTAGAGATGCTCTTCAAGCAACCTTCCGTAGCGGATTGACGCGTCCCTTACCCTGGCGTCAGCACCAGCTATACCAGCTTGCACGCATGGCGCAGAATGAACGCGAGCTCATTTGCGATGCCCTATGGAAAGACCTCGGAAAGCCAAAAACAGAAGTCCTGTCGAATGAATTGGACAACGTCATCGATAGAGCTGTGAAGAGTGCAGAGCGGCTCCCAGAGTGGGCCAAGCCTGAACATCCTGAGGTGGTTGATCGGTAGAAATTATGGAACCCAACGTGAGTGATTGGATCATCCATTAATGTGACTGATAGTAATATGCGCATGTTCCAGGATATACAAGGCTCCGAAGGGCACTGTGTTGATAATCTCGTGAGGCAGAAAATACTGTCTCAATTTCACCTTCTGACGTCTTACTTAAACAGGCCATGGAACTTCCCTATGATGCTCTCTTTCTAACCTCTCATTGGAGCGATCGCAGCAGGTTGTACTGCCGTACTAAAACCCTCTGAGCTCGTACCTACCTTCTCACAGCTCTTGGAGGAAATCATGCCGAAGTACCTCGACCCGAATATGTACCGTATTGTTAACGGTGGTATCCCTGAAACTTCAAAGCTTCTGGAGCTTCAATGGGACCATATTTTCTACACGGGGAATGGCAAGGTCGCTAGGATCGTTGCCAGCGCTGCAGCTAAGCACCTGACGCCACTGACACTGGAATTAGGAGGAAAGAGTCCTGTCATTATCGACTCGGCCTAGCTGGTCAAGGCATTGCAAAAGCATTATAACGCATTCTTCCCAAATGCTGCGCTGGATTCGCCATCGTTTGGTAGTATCGTGTCACATTTGCACCACAATCGCCTCACTTCACTTCTTTCCCGCACAAAGGGTGAAGTCGTTCTTCCGGGTCGCGCTGACGCTGCGAGGAAGAGACTCGAACTCACCATTGTCAAGAATGTTGCGGACGGCGATTCCTTGCTAGAAGAGTCAGTATTGCCTGTTGTTATAAATACGTTCCTGATAGCATGGCATCTATAGAGAACTCTTTGGCCCGATATTGCCTATCGTGCCCGTGGATTCTCTTGATCAGGCAATTAACTTTGTTAATGCATGGTAAGCTCTTCTCTTAATATCTCACTCGTCGACTGATTTGTCGCACCAAGACCTCATCCGCTAGTCCTGTACCTTTTAGTGACAACAAGGGCTTGAAGCAACGGCGTATCTTTCACTTAGTTGATGACGGTCGGTTCATGCTAACAATTACAATTAAAATTTGTACAACAGTTATCTCGGAATCACGGAGCGGTGGTATTGTTTTCAACGACACCTTGCAACAGTTCGCAGGTATGTTATTGGCAGTATGGACGTCATGCTTGAATTGGCGCTCACCTGCTTTTATTGGCCAGTGAGTGAACTACCGTTTGCGGGAGTGGGCGAGTCAGGCTGTGAGATTTCCACTCTACCTGAGAATTCAGAGAATGTCGCTGACACTGAACCCCATGACAGACGGATCCCAATTTTCGAAATATACATACAATACGTTCACGCAGCTTCGTAGTTCTATCGACATGCCGAGAGAGTGAGTTCTCCTTTTGTTTTGGTTACCTTTGAACTGAATGTGATGACGATGAATGGCACTCCGCGTGTTAGTGTTAGATGTCAAACATTTGTAATGAGACAGGGACCGGAGGGCGAGATAAGTTGTCTTGTCTGTATGCAAATCTGTCCAGACGCTGCGAGTGTGCATAGGTGCACCTGAACTAAAGTTCCTTGCATGGATACGACTAGTCATATTTGCAAGACTCTTCATACTCTGATGTCCTCAATGCTCCACTTAGCGCGAAGGTCTATCGTGTAATCATCATAGTCACTAGCGAGGAACCGATGCATCGAAGCCCATGCAATCATTGCCGCATTATCTGTATTGAAGTTCAAAACCTGTGAATTGATCCGGCATGTTGTCAATGAAGCACTTACCTGTGCATAATTCCAGCGGGGGAAAATGCAGCGATATGCGCTCATCATCAGAGCTGTACTCGTTTAGTGCCGCTTGGAGTCTACGGAAGCTGAGTACGAGAGAGAAAACTAAGCATTGAAAACTCACCTTTCGCGTAAAAATATGTTGCTGGCGACCCCGCCGCTAACGACAATGTCCCTGACGTTCACATCTTTTAGTTTGAGTTTTTGAAGGCTCAATGTAAGCTTGGCACAGAGTTGACGAGCTGCAGCTGTCTGGAATGCCCGAGCCAAGGCAATTTTATGCGAACTGGATAGAGGTTCTTCCATGAGAGAAATGTAGCGCTCTACTGAAGATTGTAGGGATGCAAAGGAAAACGCAAGTTTTCCCGGCATCGGCACAGTAAACGGTTGAATGTCGGGCAGGGATTCCAGTTCGTCGTTTGTCACGCGGCAGAGCTCCTCGAGTGCTGCACCAGGGCCTCTGGTTCCCCAGGACAGGCCAAGTGCTCGAGCTGCCTTGTCAAACGCACGTCCAATGCTCGCGTCTGCCGTTGTTGCAAGGATCTGGAACGAGGTAAGGGATGAAGCCAAAAGTAGAAGTGTATGGCCTCCAGAGACGAGCAGCGTCAAGAAAGGAAACTGCGGGAGATCCGCGGCTGGAGTCGTCAGCAGGGGGGTCAAGGCATGTGCTTGCTGGAATTCAATGAATGAGTGTACTGCTCAAAAGAAAGTGTACTTGCGAACGAACCATGTGGTGGACACCGACAAGAGGCTTACCGAGGGCGGCGGCGAGTGACTTTGCGGCATTCGAGCCCACACTAAGGCAGCCTCCAATTCCTACAGATAATTTTTAGGTGAGGAATGTACGATACAGATTAAAGGGAACACATAGATACCTGGACCTCGTGTAAATGCAATGCCGTCGACGTCGTGAATGCTAATGCGTGCCTGTTCGAGAGCCATTCTGACAGCACCCGGCTAGAGACTTATTAGTACTTAAGTCGGAGTAAATGATCAAGAGAAAAGAACGCATTCACCATGTTACGCTGATGTGCCTCAATGGCTACAGATGGGTGAATGCCGCCGAAACCTTCGTGACTGATTGATTTGGGGTCAAGTAGACATAATACACCCAGCTGAACACAGAAGGGACTCACAGATCGTGCTGCTTCACAACAACATTTGAAAGTATTTGACGCGAGGATGTCACGACGGCTGCACAGGTGTCATCCGCTGAGCTCTCGAAGCCGAGAACAGTAAATGTACGCCTTCCTGTACGCGCTCGGAGCGTCCTATGTGCTAACGAAATTTTGTTGGTATTCAGCGACAAACAATATAAGGACATACCAGCATCCCTCAGTACTCGAGGTAATAGGACATTCTGTCTGCAAAGCCCACTTTCGAGAATGGGCATGAAAATTGGTGTCGAGAGCGTCGGAAGCAGGGTCGTGACCCCCCATGTGACGCGCCCACTGACGCGGATGCGCTTAGCGGTACATGTCTACATTTGACTCCCTGGTCAAGTGACTCAAGTCGCAAGGCTTCACAACCATTTCTTTATTCATTGCATAGAGACATCATGATGTACTACTAGCTACATCAGCCAGTGATTATTTTCTCTTCCTTCGAGCCTGTGGACCACGTTGACATTTAACGGGTGACCATTCTAGAAGCTACAACTTCGCATAAAGGCTAATTCTTATGTCTAAAACATGGCGAGATCATTTGCAGCGAAGGGACTTCGGCGTGCCGCACGCTGGTATCATGACAGACGGGCATGCCTCTTCCATGGCTCTTTGCATATTTCGCCAGGGTTGTCCTTGGCTTGAAGTTCTGATTGTTCCTGCAGGGCATCGTTCACGGGCGAGTATGCAAGGAGGGTTGGGAACAAATTAACTCCCTGGAAAGTCCATCATCTACGCTAGTACCTGTCAACAGTTACCTGCATCCTTGACGAAGTCGAGACTGCGCGGTTCATCTCGGAGGCCACGAGGTATTCATCCATGTATGTCTGTGGCGGACAGGCATGTCAATCGACAGACTGAAGGATAAGACTTTTCCAGTCTCCCGGTATGGTGAGCATATAAAATTCACTGATCATTCTGGGTAAGAGAATACGGCAGGTACTTCTCATTCGTTGCAGTGGTACATGAGTATCAGACTCGATATTCGACTTCGCCTTCCCAGGCTATTCCCAGATATCAGATCTTCAGAATGAAGTTGAGGGATCAGCGGTGGGAGCACGCGAGAAGCTGAACAATGCATCCGACAAAGGTCCTCGTACCATTATTATTGGACTATGCACGATCATTGGCCATGACGAAGGGTATCGAGACGAAGGTAAGTGTCGATAACGTTCAATGTCGTGTTTTTTCGAGCAGGTAAAGGTATAGTAGCAACGGTGCCATGTCGTATGTGGGTCTAAGAGGTATGTCATTATGTAATTACACATCTCGATTGAAACTCAGCAATCAGGCTGCACAGCCTGCACTGCAATGTGAGGACGTCCATCATGATCGCAAAGTCATGCACCCAGGCCCTGAGAAGCAGCTATAGCTATGGTCATATATTCAATCTGCGCGTCCATAATGCGCTTACCTTTCTTCTCTGCCTCTCATCATGATGCCAGCTTCTTCCAAACTGACAGGAAAAAATTGGCATCCATCCAGGCTTCTTGCATATAACGCACTCCCAGGTCACCAGGACTTTGATTCGACAACATTTGATGCGAAGTCCACTGCTGAAACTAGAACAGATTTCTTTGACCGCAGTCTGACAAGTCGCAGATACGCCCTTGTTGGAGTGACATGCTCAAGCATCTTCAGCTGCATATGCATCATTGCAGGGAGTGTCACTTTAGCCAATTACGGAATTTCGGGAGTGACTCCGCTCAGCATAGTCGAGTATCATGATGTGATGATCATGTATTTGAGGCCTATGGAATTATCGGTGCGGGGGGAGATATTAACCCTGATACTTGACTTAATCGTCACGTTATGTACCGAGTCCATAGGTTTCATCCACGGCATCTCATTGCGTTCTGCGCTAGCCTCAGAGTCACGGCTTCGTTTCAATACCAATCTGCGCCTTCTCACCGCAGCTCGTGGATGGTATAACCCTAATGGCGCCCTGCTTAACGGTATCTCGGCTGTCCTCCTCACTATATCCTACAGCTCGGCTTCACTCATTATATGTCAGGACTATCAAGTGACGCTAGCAGGTGGAAGTTTTGAGAGTATTAGCATCGCAGGGTTTCCTCTCCTTATTTTGGGTATTGCACTCCTCCTCCAAGTGATGATCGCATTATTGGCGATGTGGGCTGTCAAAATCTTGACGTGGAGCTCCTCACCTTTCGACTTGACTGCCGCACTCGTCCACCACACACAATTGACCCCTTCGACTTTGCGGTGCATGCGTCATGTGTCTGACCTAGATACGTATGGAGGTCCAGCGAAGCCAACAGAGACACAACCTTCGGCGTTACATGCTCATCCTAGCATCCGGAAAGTTGTCATTTCTCTTTGGGTGATGGTTGCAGCATGCGCTGTATGGGGCGCACTTGTCATGTATATCTGGGGCCATTTCCCCACTAATAAAACCTTTTCCCCCTCTCCGCTGACCTTACAAATGTGGTCGTTCCTCGGAAGCGGGTTGTCCAATTCTATCGCATATTTTATGCCAAGTATCGGTCTTAAGGGGTGGGTTCTGCTTCTTGTCAATATCGCAGTCGTCCAGGGACCGTTGACGCTTGGGCTGCACTTGCTCGGAGCTCATCGTGAATGTCATTCGAGACGAAAGACGGTGGAGATGCGCTACCAAACGTGAAGGACTTAGAGTGGCGACGAACCCGCTGAAGCCGATTTTCGCTCATCCGATCTGTCTCATACTCTTCATCGCAAAGCCTTTCCTGCGTGAGTCGTTCACGCTTAGTATTTTGTTGTCAGTGTTATTGAACACTATCCTCGACGATCAGACTGGATGTTTGGGCTTTCATTCTCCTTAGCTTTGACAGCTTTTGACGAGAATATAACCGCTTTGTTGGTAACTATGTACACTGCCCAGGTTCGCATTTACTGCCCATGTAAAAGTGCAGCAACATTCTTACACATTCTTACAGATCTGGAACTTATGCATTGCGCTCTTCATATTTTCCAGTTTCTTCACTTTTATCGCACTGCGCCGACCGTGTGGTCCTCAGCCGGCTGCATACGGCCACCTCCAGACACTCGCCAACCTCGTGGACGAGTGGTCACCTGTCATGTGGTGGGGACACAAGGAGGATGGAATTCCGTACTGTCATGCTGGTATGGTACTTGTATGCTCACTATGATACTGCATTGACAATTTTGAAAGGCACAAGCGATCATCCGCTGCCGGATGTGAAGATGGACTGCGTTTATGCTGGTTCCGGTGCTGGGTCTGCGGGACCCTTCTCGTGAGAGGTACTTTCTTTGTTTCTCTTTTCAAACAGAGAAGCTATACCCACGTCAGGTTGGGGATGCATTCACGGTGCACACATTCAGCTATGCCGTTAAGCGAGACATACAGTTTTTATGCTGTTTGCTGTATTATAATTGGTTCTCTTTCTTATACTATTCGTACGAGTCTGTAACAAATTTTAGCGGAGATACGTTCAATTTGACCTTTAAGCAACTGTCGAATTACTGTGATTTTGTTAGAGGACAATTCATGTCAGCTCACTCGCGGAAACTAGATCTGACACGACTCACACGAGCGTTATTTGAAATTGTGACCAAACCTTAACTTGAACATTTGAACGTTGACGAGCAATTTGCAGATCAGATGCAGCACTACAAGTTTCACATCCGAGTTTAATCATCATCAGTTTCCTGCTCAGTCCATGTCGAAGATACGATGGCTTCTCGTTAGCACGAGTACTGTGTCATAATATCACTGCCCGGACGCAAAATGCGACTCTCTGTGGGTTTTCCAATCACGCATTGATCTCATTTTGTGCCAGCATAGTTTACTTCTTGCCGATTCTTTCGATCATGACCTGGAATTTGTACAAGTATGATACAGGCAATCCTGACGGCCCAACAATAGCCAACAGTAATGCAAGACCATGATGGTACACTTCCTAAGCAGTGTCTCATCTTCCTTCCAGCACTGGATGAGACTGCGTCTCATAATATTGAAAGATATGCTCCTTATATCCTTCCACTTGGTACTGCACAGTCCGGATCACATAACAGGTCTAGATCTATGCCACCCGTTGACCGCGTGTCCTTTTGTGGCTGCGGGATATATAGTACGGCGCAAACATCGCTTTGCTTGGCATGGGCTCAAGCTTTAGTCAACATTAATGTCTTCCCCGACGCAGGCCCTCACCCCACAACTTAACCTCGGGAGCACGTTCGGCGCACTGTTTATTGGTGTCACCTTTGCAGCAATGTCAGTAACCTATATCTGCTCACAAAGCTTAGTGCTTCATTGAGTCATGTCGTCCTAACATATCTCACGTAACAGTCTCTTTGGTCTAAGTAACGTTCAAGCTTTCGTCTACTTTCAGACCCACAAGGACACAGGGATATCGTTCTCTAAGCTAGCCGTACGTCAATGCTTCAACCTCTCAGTTCTGTCGTTGATGCTACATTAGGTCGTCTGGCTTTGGTATGTACTCTCCAGTTGCCATCATCGAGCCCGGCGATTCAACGCCCCTCCCTGGAATTTTAGGATACTCGATGCACTGCACCTGTCCTTGATAGTCCACTGCGTCTATTATTATTTAGTGGATCACTATGCGGACATCAGCGCACTCACAGAAGTTGTGTGGAGTTTCAAAGTGAGTTTTGTTGCGGCCTTCTGTGCGGCCTTTGCTATGACACTGATGGACTCGCTGTGCAGCTTCAAATAGTCATCGACGTAAGTGGGTTTTTCCATGGCACTGCGATCCACCTATACATCTATTCCAGGTTATAATTGTCTACGGGGTACATCTGTAAGTTAGAAGTGCACTGTCATCTCAAAATTGAAGGATTCATGTGATGGTTCGCAGTCTATATTTTCATCGCATATGGATAGGTATGCGTTCTCGTATCGAGCCAATGGGTTTCTTTGACCAATGCAATGTATCAGTCGCCAAGGGCCGATCAAAAGTCCTCCCTATAGTAGTGGTGGGTTTAAATCGATGATCGCATATCATGATTTTGATAATGCAATATTAGGGCGTAATCGTCATTTTGGGTTCAGGTAAGTTTGTCATGTAGTATTTCTCTTCACTCGGTCTTGAAATTTCTCAGGTGTTGCCATCGGTGAACGTTCAAAAACTCTGTGCTTTGACAATGGTCGGCTCATGCTCATCTAACGATAGCTCTTATTTGGGTTGTGTGAGTGAAATAATGTGCTCCCCAACTACATGAATAGCTAACATCAAGTAGCTATCAGTGTCATGCGTTCTCGGATCTGAGTGAATTCGAGTGGGCGACCTTTATGGCTTTGGGCACGATGACTTTTGTCGATTTTGTTATCGCATCATCGCTATGTTATCTCCTCGCTATTTCCCGTACGGGATTCTCTAGGTAAGGAAGCGGTTTGTTGACGTCGAACGATTTGATATATTGACATGCAGTACTACTCAGCACCGATTCCATGTTGACAAGGCTCATGGCTTACATTATCAACACGGGTTGTCTGACGAGGTATTTCTTTTTCCACACTAGTCCGCATCTTGACTCATATTTCATGTAGCGTGTGTTCGCTTTCAGTTATAATTACAGTAAGCTTCCAATGATTGTATTTCCCATCTCGTCTCTGAAGTTCCTACAGTGCGCAGTGATGCCGCACAACTTCATCTTCCTCGGCGTTGATTTTTTAGTGGCTAAATGTATGACCCAAAGCATGCTCAGAAAGCTGTGCTGACTACTGATCGTTTTTCAGTATATGTCAACTCATTCTTCGCACTCCTGAACGCGCGATACTACTTGCAGCCCCCTGCAGAAACTAATCATTTTGCTCAAGTTCATATGCCCCACGACATCTACCACCCACTGGCAGAGCTGAATGTCGTGGCAGTCCCAAGACGAAGAATCCTAGGGATTCCGGAAGAGCATTTTTGAATATCCTGGTGATGATGTTATTATCTTACTTGAAAGTAGCTGCGTTACTGGCGATTGAAGAGTACTGATCGTCACACTTTAGCCACATTGGCCCGTTGACGGTAAAGACGAATTCCTTCTCATGAGTTTGATGTATCAATATGTACCATGTATCGTCCGACTCTTCATTGTATTAGATCATCGCACAGCCAGTACTATATACACCTCCATTTTCGGGTTTCATACATTACTACTACCTAGGACCACAAGGGACTTGTACTCGTAATCTGACTATGCGTCAATTTGGGCTGGTCACGAGCCTATATAGATCCAGGGTATGAGATGATTTGATATGAGTGTGCGATCGAGGACGACAGTCAAATTCAAAAACCAACCACAAAGTCCAACGCATACACAGACCATACTAGAAGACAGTTGTTCTGTTCAAGATCTCTTGATCGCTCGCTACCTGTGTCCACTGAGTGTAGAAAGCAAGGTAGAAAGACTAAGAAACAAAGGAGAGGCGCCTGCAGGGAAATGACGGTAACGTGCTCCAGCACAGAACTAGAGGGGAATTCTTGATTTGAATTAGAATCTAAGGACACTGGAATGATACGGGGAAGAGCTTACAAATAATACATCACATCATGCCTCGATTGAAACTGAGCAATCAGAATTCTGTTTCATGACAGTACTTGGCTTCCCTTGATTCACGCATGGCAGCTAGGCTGTGCACGATATGTGTCACACTGCGATACAATGTAGATCAACGCTGTAGATGCTGTGGTGCGCGACTACTCTTCTATCACGAAGAGTCGCATGATCAATGTACCCAGAGGCTATGCATCATTGCAGGTATTGTCACTTTAGTCAAACACGGAATCTTGGGAGTAACCAGGCTCTTCCACTTCAATTTTCATTTCGATCAACTGCCGCTGCAGGGTCAGATATTGACCCTGATCATTGACTTAATGATTACATTATGTACCGAGTCCATAGGCTTTGTACATGGCATCTCATTGCGTTCTGCGCTAGCCTCAGAGTCTCGGCTTCGTTTCAACACCAATCTGCGCCTTTTGACCGCAGCTCGTGGATGGCGTAACCCTAATGGCGCCCTTCTCAACGGTATCTCAGCTGTCCTCCTCGTTATGTCCTATAGCTTGCCCTCACTCATCGTATGTCTCGACGTCCAGATCATGGAAGTTGGTCCTGAGCCTGAGGCTGGAGGTGATCCCATCCTCTGGCTAGAAGTGTACTATGTTGCCATCACAGGGTCACCTCTCCTCATTCTGGGCGTCATACTCCTCCTCCAGGTGATGATTGCATTGTCAGCGATGCGGGCTGTCAACATATTGACATGGAGCTCCTCACCATTCGACTTGACTGCTGCACTGGTCCACCACACACAATTGACCCCTGCTACATTCCGATGCATGCATTCTGTGTCTGACCTAGACATGTTTGGAGGTCCAGCGCGACCATCAAAAACACAGCCTTCTGCGTGGCATGCTCACCAAAGCATCCGGAAAGTTGTCATTTTTCTTTGGGTCATTGTTGCAGCATACGCTGGGTGGGCTGCACTCATCGTGTATCTCGGGGACCGCTCAGGGCTGTCTCACCCGCTGATCCAAACGTGGTCGTTCTTCCACAACGAGAACTCCAATTCTATCACATATGGTATGCCATATGACGGACCTGAGTGGTGGATTCTGCTCGTTGTCATCGTCGCAGTTATCCAGGGACCCTTGACGCTTGGGCTGCATTGTTCGGAGCTCATCGCAAATGTCATCCGAGACGAAAAACAGTGGAGATGCGCTACCGGAAGGAAAGGACTTCAAGTGGCGACGAACCCGCTGAAGTCGCTTTTCGCTGATCCGATCTGTCTCATACTTTTCATTGCGAAGCCGTTCCTGCGTGAGTCATCCACACCTAGTATTTTATTGTCTGTGTTATTGAGCGCTATCCTCGGCGGTTCACAGACTGGATGTTTGGGCTCTCATTCAGCACAGTTGATTGGGCTGTTACCGAGAGCCTGAACAGTGCGACAGTATTCGTGTTCACTTCCCAGGTTCGCACTTACTGTCCATGTAAACTGTTGCAACAATCTCACACATTCATGCAGATCTTGAACTTATGCATTGCGCTCCTGATATTTGCCTGTTTCTTCACTTTCATAGCACTGCGCCGACCATCCGGTCCCCAGCCGGCTGCATATGGCCACATCCAGACGCTTGCCAACCTCGTGGATGAGTGGTATCCTGTCATGTGGTGGGGACACAAGGAGGATGGAATCCCGTACTGTCATGCCGGTAGGGTACTTGTATACTCATGAGGATGCTTCGTTGACACTTTTGAAAAGGCACAAGCGATCACCCGCTGCCGGATGTTAAGATGGGCTGTGTTTATGCTGGTTCCCGTGCTGGGTCTCCGGTATCCCTCTCGTGAGGTACTTGCTTTGCTTTTTTAAAAGTAAGTTTATTCATTTCTCTTTTTACAGAAGCTATATCCAGACTGGCGATGCATCCACAGCCCACACAATCAGCCACGCCATTGAACGAGACACAGATTTAATTATTGTACATCATACGATAAAACCGTTCCATACGAATGTCAAGTTCTCACGTATCTATCCAATGATCCAGAGCGAGTTACACTACGTGACTCCAACTGCATAGAAAACACTCAAATATACCTTCTCTCTGACACAACCCAGGTCAGGATTGCCAAGGTGTGCTAACAGTATGTCAATTTCAGAAAGTAAATCTGCCATGGGAATCTGTGCTTGTTTGACCCTGAAGCTTTGAAGCGGACGATGATGATGAAATAGATATGGAGGAAGGTGAAGACAAAAAGTTTAGCTTTCCGAGTATTTGTCATGCAACTCACTTTAGGTCACAGCTTTCATAATGAAATCAGGAAAACTTCTTTCCTAGTATGATTGCTCGATAACAGGGCTATGCAATTATGTACGTACTACTATATGGCCTTTTAACTTCCCTATCGGTTTGCTGATGGCCACATGCACGATCATAAGCGAAATATATTTAATCTGCACGTCTATAATGCACTGGCCACCTCCCATCATGAGCGCAGCTTCTTCCAAACCGATAGAAGAAAATTACCACCCATTCAGCCTTTTTGCATATAACGCACTCCCGAGTCACCAGAACTCAATATCTGATACTGGAACCGATTTCTACGACCGCAGTCTGACGAGTCGCAGATATGCCCTTGTCGGACTGGCATGTTCAAGTATCTTCAGCTGCTTATGCATCATTGCAGCTATTGTTACTTTAGTCAAACACGGAATCTTGGGAGTAACCAGGCTCTTCCACTTCAAATTTTATTTTGATGTGAACACCTCCAATGATCAACTGTCGCTGCAGGGGCAGATATTGACCCTGATCATTGAGAGAGAGAGAACTTCTATATTTATATACCGCAACAAACAAAGTAAACTGTCAAGACGCGGTGCCCTGTTAGGGCTGTACTGGGGGATATTGTAACAGGGTAAGGGGGTTAAGTATAGTACGAATAGCCAAGCGGTCCGCGTTTGAGAAGTTTCGGTGCGCGTATAAGTTTGTCCAGTGTCCAGGCTGAGTGTAATATGTTACAGTTTCTCTCCTTCCTCCTCCTTCTGTGCTCTTCTCGTCTCCTCCCTCCTTCGTCACCTCCTTTTTCGCCCTCACTCAGGCTTCTATCCCTCTCCTTTCTTCCCAGTCCCCTTCTCGTTCCAGTGCGACCTTCCTGAATGCGCTGGATTCTTCGATAAATTTCGCTAATGCCTTTATGCCCTTTTCCGTACCCAAGATTTCGCTGAGTACGATGTTGTGGGATACCTCTCGTAAATGGATGCGCTGTCGTGCATATTGCGGGCAGTCACGTAGGATGTGTTCTCGTGTTTGACAGTGGTTCTCCACATGGGCAGAGGGTGGGTTCGGTAGGGACGAATGAGGCATAGTATTCTCCAATGAATCCGTGTCCTATGCGACATTGTATAAGACGGCCGTATACTTCTCGGGGGGTATGAGTGAAGTGTTGGCGAGGTTTGAGCGTTGGTGGGAGTCGATTTGCGATAGCGAAACGTCCAGTCTGTGCTGCCACGTCTCTATTCCAACTCTCTGTCCATTTCTGCCGGATCCCTTCCTTGCTTCTTCGGCGCGCGTTTGCGTAGGTCGAGTGGGACGTGTCGTTACGTCCAGTGGCTTCTTTGGCAAGCTCGTCAGCACGTTCATTGCCGATGATATGGTGGTGTCCTGGGATCCATGCGATTTGGACATGGTGGAAGGGTGACGTGGTTAGGAAATCTTCGATTGAGCGTCTGATCTGTAACGCAATGTATTGTGAGGGTCCGGGTGCAGCTGCATATGCAGCCTGCACCACAGAGTTGTTATCTACGAAGAAATGTAAATGGGTCACCTGGGAGTCTTGCGCAAAACGAATAGCTCGTGATATTGCTTGAAGGAGCGCTAGCATCTCTGCATCATATACCTCTACTTTAGGACCCATTCCTTCCTGGCCCCAGAATACTTCTGTTCCTCTATGATAGCCGGCCCATCCTGCTCCAGCTCTTTCCTCCTCTCCGACCGATTGTTTCGACCCATCTGAGTAAACGAGAAGGTGCGTGTCCTCCGTTTGTAGATTCCGAGCGGTTTGTATGTGCGCTTTGGCGGCTTCTTTCTTGCCTCCTCTTTGTTTGTCTGTTATCGTTAGGCGGCTGCGGTACGTTTCCGCTGTGTTTGCCCAAGGTGGCAGTGCGAATATGTTGATGCGTTCCACGTCCGGGGATGCTCGTTTTGATAGACGGGTGAGTCTGGTCGACTTTGGTGGTTTACGGCTGCGGGGACGGTATTTGTCGGTAGGAAGAGCGGGTGGGGGATCAGCGAGGTCAAATTGTCGCCACGGTTGGTCGAGCCTCTGTAGAATTGGGTTGAATGAGGGGAGTTTGAGTAGTCGAGTGGCGGCGTTGTCATTTGCGTGATTGAGGAAGAGGTTAATGGGGGGGATTGATGCCTCTATTTCTAGGGCCTTTATTGGGGTGGTCCGGAAAGCGGCGCATACATGTCTAAGGGATTTGTTTTGAACGCGGGTGAGCATATTTGCATGAGTTTTCATGCCCGTCCACCAGATGGGGCTTGCGTATGTCATTACACTGCGAACACAAGCCGAGTATACAGTTCTCAATAGTGATTGCGAGAGACCTCTTACCGTATTTGCAAGCATTTGTATTCCTTGGGCGATATTTTCCGCTTTGCCTGCCAGTTCACGTACATTCCTGTGAAAAGAGAGTTTAGAGTCGAAATATATACCAAGCCATTTGATACAGTCACGGGGGTTAATTGTCACCTGTCCTTCGTCGCTATGCAGCAAGATAGGTGGTCGATCTGGTGCGCGACGCCACGTGAAATGGATGAGTTCCGATTTGTCGATTTCTGCCATTAATCCAGCTTCGCGAAGCCAATTGTTCATGAAAATGAACTCTTCCCTGAGTATTGCGACGTTGGTCTCCAAAGATGGGGACGAAACATATAAATTTCCGTCGTCGATATAGCACGCCAATGTGGTCGGTGTGGCATTGATTGGGCGTGGTTCATGTGCTCGCGCTTTCACATTGTAGGCTTCATTTAGTGGGCTAGTGCAGATGATCGAGAGGGCCGGTGAGATTGGGGATCCTTGAGGTATACCATTTTCGACTGGTTCCGATGGGGATAGTACTCCGTCTAGACAGATTGCCGCTTGTCGTTCGCTGAGAAAAGACTTTACCCATTTGATCATAGGGAGTGGTAAGTGTTTGTCGCGAAGTATCCGGAGTAGCCGTGTGTGATTAACGAAGTCGAAATACCCTTTGATATCGAACGTAATGCATGATGTGACGAGTCCGTGGTTGCGGGCTGCTTCAATATCATGAACAAATGATAGGGCTGCATCAACTGTGGAGCTTCCTGGGCGGCCTCCGAACTGTGAAGAGGGTACCAGTAGATATTTTGCTGTGTAGTATGCTAGTCTACTCGCCTGTACACTTTCAAGCACTTTTCCGAGACATTCCTCCAGCTGGATGAGTCTGTAGGCTCTCGGGTTCGAATAGTCTGGTTTTCGGGGCTTGCGTAGAGCTACTGCGATTGTGCGTCGCCAGGTGATGGGATGGTAGCCTACATTTGCACAGCGTGAGATCAGTAAGTAGATGTGTTCCGACGCAACTTCCCAGGCCCATCGGAGGGCCGTGTAGTTGATTTGGCTGGGTCCGGGGGCTTTTTTACGATTTGGTCGGTAAATACTGCTCTTTACTTTGGCGTACATTATGGGTTCCCATGGGATATCATCCGGTAGGTCCTGCACTAGATCTGGTGTAGCTAAGTCTAGGTTCGGAGGTGGTTGGAACAGTTCACCTCGTAGTGTAGCACATTTTTCCTCATGCGTTATTGCCATATTTTGATCGTTGCTTCGTCTGAGTGGTGGCGTGGGGTAGTTTCTTATCCCTTTGGGCCATCGAGTGAAATTCCAGACGTCGTCAGGGGTGGCTTTTCCCAGAGTCTCGTTTGCCCACTGATGTTTAGCAAGGCGTGTCTTCCATTTGAACTGATTGCGTAGTTGGCGTATCTGCTGGATAAGGTCGTGGTCAGCGAAACCTGTATCTATGAGATGTTGTCTAGCCCTTTCGCGAGTCTCTGCAATGCGCTTGAGTGATTGCGTGAGGTCAGGAGTCCACCATGGTTTCGCATATGCACTAGATTTGTGGGTAGGGATTGAGCTTTCTGTTGCGTGTACCATTGCATCTTGAAGCGCTGTGGTTGCTCTTTCAATATCGTCGATATCAGGAAGTGTTGAAACACGTAGCGGTATCCATGCATCTTCTCTATCCATCAGTTCCCTCATGAATGCTCCTTTCCATGCTTTGATTTTCTCTTCGTCGATATCTTTCCAATTGAACCGTTGAGCTGTGATGTTCTCAATAGGAACACATTCATGGTCTAGTGTCCATGTGAGCGCTGCATGGTCTGAGCCGTAAGCTTGACGGTGGTCTATTGACCAGTCCTTGATCGTGTCGAGTTCGTATGCTCTGTTATTGATGAACGTTAGGTCCAGGACCGATGAGGATTCACCATCGTGTGCAAAGTAGGTTGTTGCTCCGCGTTCATTTAGCATTATGAAACCCTGGTCAGTTAGCCAGTCAACGAAAGCTTCTGCTCGAGGATTGGGGTTCTCAGCTGTGTTTGACCACAATGGGTGGTGTAGGTTCATATCTCCCGAGATGATAACCGGCATTCCGTTTGGTAGTTCGATGTTGACTAGACGGTCTGATGACCAGTTTGATGGGTCCTCGCCTGCTTTCTGGTTGTACATATTTACAAGTATTATGGGCGTATGTGTTCCTTGGTTGATCTGTAAAATTTGTATGTCAGCGTCCATTGCGAGATCAGAGCGAAGGGTAACCGTAAAGTCAGGTCTGTTCTTGATGTATGCCATGGCTCGAGGGATGACGTTCGGGGGAACAGATGGTAGTGGCATGATTGGTTGCCAACCGGTCATTGATACTGGGCCCTTTGTGTTATTTCCAATATCACCATACCATGGCTCCGTCACGAGTAGGATGTCGTATTCGTGAATGGTGCTGTTGAGTAAGGCATGACAAACTATATTTGAACGGTTAGTGTTAAGTTGAATCATTTTTATGGGTTGCGTGGTATGGGGTATCATTGCCATCCAGTCATAGTGTCGTCAGGTCATTGGTTGTGGCGTTGCAAGATGGGTCTGAGATGTTGAGGGTGGGGTTGAAGTCCGAGTCTCTGTAGGTGTTATCGTATTGTTAGCGGTTCGAGGTTGGCGCGTGCGTCGTCCCCCTTGGACGCTTGGTCAAGGGTCTCTTGCAGAGCCTTTGGTTAGTATATGGATGGGGCATTTAGTAGAGTCTGCCACATGCGCTTCTCCACAGTTGGCGCATTTAACCGGTGAGTGGTCGCATCCTTTTTGTGCTTTGGCTGTGCTAGGGCACAAGTTGCAGACGTGAGAGGATTCAGCGTGGTCGCCTGCACATACTCGACACCTAGGGGTTTTGGTACATTTGGACGTATGATGGTCGAAGGACCAGCATCGGTTGCACTGACGAACGGGTTTCAGATCTTGGAAGCAGTGAGAAAGAGGCGTACCGTCCATATAAGAATACTCCACCGACGTGTTTGAGGAGGTAGTCGACTTCGTCCTGTGAAGAGACCGTTAAGAGCATGGTTGAGTGGTATTTGTGTTCGAGAGTCTCCGGCTTCGCCATCCATGAGGGTTCTGCTTTGAAGTTGATGCTGCGTACACTGGGATTGTTAGTTTTCATTTCGTAAATTACCTCTGCCCCGGTTCGTGGTTCGAATTCCATCATATCTTCAGCATCGGATTTCCCTGTGTCTACACTATTGAGGAGGACGCGGAACCATTCTTTGTCTGGTGTGGCTGAGTAGTTGGAGTTTCCGACAACTAAGTCTGCGAAAGCGTCTTTGAAAGGAAGCAAGTCATCCGCTGTGTAATCGGGGTGTGTGATAACGATACAGTTACCTTTATTGTTCCATTTAATGCCGTTGACCGTGACTTTCGTGACCTCCTTTAGTCTTTCATTGATAGCTTCTACTAATCCTCGGTCCTTCTGACGTTGTGTAGGATCCGGTGGGGTTTCTATGTGAAGGATGAGTCTAGAGGGGTGGTGTCGAGTAAGCGGGTTGTTTCGGCGTCGACTCTCTTGTTCCGTTATCTTGGTTGGGTGTGGCTTGGTTCTCGGAGTGGGCGTTATGGTAGGGCCATTCGCGATTTGTGTATGAGAGTCTCGGTGAGTTTCCGGATTGGCGCTTTGTCGTAGTTCTTGGACATCTTTGACGAGCTGATTGAGTATTGGCATTATGTCTTCGGGGTTGTTCCTTGGTGTTTCGACCGGTTTAGGGGGTAAGATGGCCTGTGCGATTCTTTGAGCAGCGGCAAATGTGATATCTGGGAACTTAGCGTGGATTGATATATTGTCTAAAGCCTCTGCCGCTTTGATGAGGTGGTGGTTCAGGTCAGTGATCCATCCTTGCTCCGAGCGTGTTTCACTGTATCTGTCCATGTTTCCATTTCTGAATCGTATTCGCGTTGGGTTAGGTCATTCGCCATAGTTATGTGTTCTGTAGGACGGCGTTTGGTCTGTCTCGCGGTGTTTGGTGAGGTCGATGGAGAAATGGTTGTTTCCAGACGACTGTTTGTATCCTAATCCTCTACGTGTGGGAGTGACTGGCGTGTAGTTAGCATTGGTTGGTCTGTATGGGAATTCTGGGGGTGGGAGGGGGTCATTGGGCTCTGATTCATCCCACGCCCGACGTTGCTGGAACTCCTTCATATGTTGTCTGGTATTACTAAGGGATGCTGCTTGTGAATATGATCTTGCTGATATGCGTTTGTCAAGGTTTCTAGCTATGCTTATACTGCCTCCTGGCTCGTCGCCCATGTTCTGTTGAACCGTGGGAGAAAAGCAGATGGTGGCGGTTAAAGGTTAAGAAGCGTTTTTACTGGAAGACTATGAGTAAATGATAAGTTCAAAGAAGCACTAATACTATCACTTCCACTGCAATCGGCACCCCACAGAAGTCGGCACTTTTACAAAACTCGTATTTCTAGCTACTTAAATACAAAATTCTTAATGTAGATATCATTCTATCTCTACTACAATTCACTACGAGGTAGAATGAGCATGATTGAAACAGAATTGAGTGAGATAGTTAAAAGTGCCAAAGTCACGCAAAAATGTCACCTGCCGATGTTGTGCCATGACGGAGCTTCAATATTGCACAGTGCACACGCCCGTTTTGGGAGTGCCGACTTCTGTTGGGTGCAGCGCTGCTGGTCATGGGGCTGGTCCGCATTCGCAAGTCCAGCAGCGGTAGACGAGGGAAGCTGCGAGCTTCGTCTGATCCAACTTACGAGTCACATATTCAGGCTGCAATTCAGGGAGTTGCAAATGGCCTGTACAAATCCATTGCAGCTGCAGCAAAGGAACAGAATGTGAGTCGTGATTATTCATGTGATTATTCACTCAACTGTGGTCTAGGTATCACGTCAGACACTAAGTGATCGACGCTTGGGAGTGCATAAGTCTCGTCGGCATGCCCACGAGAGCCAGCAATTATTATCTGCTGCACAGGAGGAAACTATTGTCGACTGGTGCAACCTGGCATCCACATCCGCGACTCCTATCCACCCAGCGAGATTGCGCGCATCTGTTAAGGAAATAACTGGTCGACTCCTGTCACGAAAATGGCACTATAGCTTTATTCGTCGACACTCATCCCTCCGCATATCTCGAGCAAGTGGACTGGATCCCAAACGTGCTCAAAATTTCAACAAGGATACCATCGGGGAGTTTTTTGAGATGCGGAAAAAGCTTGATGATGACTATAATAAAATTCCACCAGAGCATCATTGGAATATGGATGAGAAAGGCAATCAGATGGGTGGGGGAAGGAAAAATGCTGGCACGAAATTCATTTTTTCCACACAAGATTCAGATCGTTATCGGGTCCATAGCGATAATCTAGAGCTCGTAACCATTATCGAGTGCGTCTCTGCTGCTGGTGCTAAGATGCCACCATGGTTTGTCCTTTCAGAAGGGCCAGCCCCAGATATTCGGGATCTAAAAGATAAAGTGGGCGGGTGAGTACTAAGCTAGATAAGTGTAGCATTATGCTCTACTAACACTGTCACTCTCGACAGTGTTTCATTCTCTCCGATGGGATGGACAGATCATGAGATCGCAGATTATTGGTTCAGGAACCACTTTGTTCCTACAGCGGAGAAATACCGTGTTGATCCTGAGAAGCCAATTGTTCTGACTGTTGATGGTCATAGTTCACATGAACAAAGTGCTATCAAAAGGGCGGCTTACGATAATGGTGTCATAATTCACGCCTTTCCATCGAAAACCACACACAAAATTCAACCACTGGATGTGGGTGTGTTTTCTTCCGTCCAGCGTGCTTGGACCAAACATTGTGACAAGCGCCTTGCCGACGGGGTTGAAATTGATCGCTATAATTTTATTCACGAATACATGGCCATTCACCATGTCATCACTCCGCAACTCATCCAAAAAGCATTTAAAAAAACTGGTATCTATCCTCTTGATCCGTCAGTCTTCACAGACGAGGATTTCGCACCGAGCTTAGTTTATTCAACTGCTGCACATCTTCCTCCATCATATCCTGCCGAAGTCTCTCCTCCAATGGCAGCTCCTTCTGATGTTGTCGAAATTGACGAGTCGATTAGACTGGATGGTGGTGGAGAAGAGGATTCGGAGGACGACAACGATTTTTCTCCTATGGCCGTTGATGAAGACTTGGACTCTGGAAGTGATGACTCAGGACGAAGAATCTGAAAGCGACGACTCAGAGTTAGATTCGGAGTCGGAGGAAGAAGAGGAGATGACCCACGACGTGCAGCCCCCTCGTAACGATGCCCACATCACGCCGCGCTCGACATTGCAATTATCAGTCCCCGTCCCACATCTCGTCATCCCCTCGTATGTTCAGGCAATGACATTGACAAAGGAGGAACTTTGGCACGAGCTCCAGCGCATGTATGAGCAGAATGGGGCATTAATTCAGACAACCCAGGTCCTGACTACCCAGCTCGATGCTACAAACGTGCACTGTACAATGGCGCAGCGGGCATTGGCTCAATCTCGACTGGAGTTGGAGAATGTGAAGAAGAAAAAGCAGCCAAAGAAATCTGTCAAGTTGCGGGCCCGTTTTGTGACACACCCGGAGCTTGAGGAGGACTTCAACAAGGCAGAGGAAGTGCGGTGTGAAAAAGACAAGGCTGACGCAGAGAAACAGGCTAGGAAGAAGTCGGAAGATGAAGTGCGTCATGCCCAGATTGAAAATGATATCAAGTCGAAGACGTTCGATGCACTCTCAACACTCCGGTGCAAGGATGATTTTATCACACTTGCTGGCGCTCTCAAGATTTCGAGAGATGGGACGGTCGAGGAACTCAGGGCTAGAATCAAAGAGTTTCTCGCAGACACTGCAAATCGGCACTTAGCTGACAATCCACGTTTTTCTGTGCTCTTCCAGATGGGAAAAACACGTTCGAAGAATTCGGTCACTGCGTCATCAACAGGACAAGCCAGTAGTAGCACTTCACGGGACAATAGCGCTACCTCGTCCAACACCATGACTTCCAGCAATCAAATTTTCACTGCTCCCGCGCATTCTTTCAATTCGACTTATCCTCCGCACCTTACCAACCAGCCACATTTTCATCAATTCTACGCTAATCCAGCTCTCCACACGCCACCTTACCCTACAACGCAGCATAATTATTCATCTCGCGGTCCCATTGCATCATCATCGAACTTAGAAAGACAACCTCATCCATACAATGTACATGGCCTTCCTACACATCTCACTCAATTCTACTATAGTCCTAATGTTGGTTACCCTCGTAATTAGATATATCTACTTAGTAAATACCATACCTGCTCGCTCACGCCAGACCTTGCGCTCTTACCTGACCGCCGAGCTGGCTTTGAAACCGGCATGTGTGACATGTCGTGACTTACGGTGACATTTGCGTGACTGCCGACTTCTGTGGGGTGCCGATTGCAGTGGAAGTGATAGTATAGGAAAATACTGCGCCACCGTGATACACTATGGTCATCGCTTGCTTTAAAATAGTCTCCTTGAGGCTACCATCATGATTGCAATTGTGCCAGTGTTACACGAGTCTTTACCCGCGAAATACGGTAAATGTCCTACTCTTGAGAGCTCTGCTGCGGAGCTCAGTCCTAGGACTGCAAGAGAGAACATAGCCTTGGTCGGGGACAGTTAAAATGGTGCCACTAACATTGTAAGTTGTCAACAAGAACTCGCTCGAGGCTTGGGCCGGACGTCAATTGCGCTACCCTTTGCACCTCTTATTTACTAGCTCTATCATGTCGTCTAGTTGGACACCAGACGAATCGCCTCAGACAATACTCGCCGAAGTAGGTTGGTTGCAGAGCACAGTTGTCAGTGCCGTTGCCTATGGCATCGACGTTGCCCTCTACTTTATGTGCTTCCACCTCCTTTTCAAACAGATAATCACCCGCACAAACTACAAACAGCCACTGTTCTTGCTCATATATATTACCGTGTCTTTCATTCTTGGCACCCTTTTCATAGCATCGCTCGCCGATTTCACACAACTCGCATTCATCGAAGATCGCAATTATCCAGGCGGTCCAAGTGCATTTGAGAATCACATGTTCTCCATGCCTATAGACAATCTTGGAAATGTCACTGGCATACTAATAATGCTTCTTACAGACGCACTGGTAGTGAGTACTGAACTCCATATTGAAGATCTCATTGTCAATATCTCTCAACACAGGTCTGGCGCTGCATGATCGTTTACACTGGGTGCAGGTTCCCACTGTGGATCATCATGATTTTCCCCTGGTTGATGTTCGCTGCGTGTATCGGTCAGTTGCTTCCTTATGTATGCGAAAAATTATCTGACACTCAGCATCGCACGGCTTAGTTATGGCACTCATGTGGCTGGTTCAGGTAACTACCACCATCGCATCCTTCTGGAATAGCATCAACTTCACCATTCCCATTCTCGTACTTTCGCTCGCACTGAACATCATCATCACGATTGCCGTTGCACTTCGTCTTCTCACGTTCCGTTACTGCGTTTCTAAAGCTCTCGGCTCCAACCATGGCACTCGATACATTTCAGTTGCCGCGATGATAATCGAATCTGCTGCTATCTATTCCACGTTTTCAGTGGGATTTCTGACTCTCTTCGCTCTGAACAATCCTATTTATGAGACGTTCATTGAGGCGCTGCCTCAGGTTCAGGTGAGCACTGACAATTAAGAGGAGCTTATGACTCATATGAGGTGTTCCACAGATGATTGCAATGCTGCTCATCATTTTCCGAGTCGCACAAGGAAAAGCTTGGTCTAAAGATTCAGTCAATAGTTCAATGACCTCAGAGCCGCAGCCCAACAGTATAGGTAATATGGTGTTTGCATCACGAAACGGATGCGGAACCATCACCAGTTCCAGTCTCACCTTGGGTGCCATCGCAACGTACGAGACTGGTGAGAACAGCAACCAAAAATGTATAGCAGAGGGGAGCTCAGCTGCGTGAGCAAGGTCGCATGTGTATGTTTCGCCCGCAGGTGTTCCTTCAGTTTTATTCTTCTAACAATCCAGCCTCCAGATCCTCAATGCCACCTCTTCACCCACAATAGGTCAAGCGTCGTTGGGACTTAGTCCCTTGTCTACCTTGGCCTCGCTGCTTTCAAACCTTTGTGTACCTTGGCTCACTTTCACATATATCCTTTGTTTGACAGTTGAGTCACTCACTAATGTACGTAGTCTGGACATGGACCCTCGTAATCGATAGCAGATATTTCATTCGCTTCCACCAGGTTCAGTTTCAACCGCGAAACTTAACTCAGAGCTCTAAGTGCCGGACATAGCATGCAGAGGCATATGAAATTGAACACCTACCAGGGGAGCAACGTGACTTTGGAGCTAATGATGTTACCGCTCTGTTTAGGAATTTTTTTCTAATATTGTTGTACATGTGCTTATCGACTCAAACGGAGAAACAAAATAAAGACAAAAAAACAGATTTCGTAACGAACGTGTTGTGCCGCCGACTCGCTGGCAAAACATGACATGCTTAAGATCAGGAGATTGAGACAATTGTGTAATTGAATATCAGAGAAACAGTTACACGAACCGCTCGAGTCCTGCCGTCAAGGTCCCGATAGTTGTTAGTTGTATGGACGATGATTCCCTTGCGAAATAAAATTCGCGCATTGTAAACGGCGAACTGCAATAGTTTCATTCCTCTGTATTGCATGACTAGGTAGCAGCATCCTCACGAACTCTATGGCATATCGAACCTCACCTTCGTTCCACCCAACTTGAACATTTGCATATCATTCAGGAATACTAGTCGGTAGATAGGTCACTTCATCGGTCATAATTGTACAATTGGGCCACACGAACGTCGGTCATCCTATGCATCGCGCCCGAGATCCGTATTTCAAGAATTCTCGGTGCGCTGTTGTATTGGACCCTTGATCTTTGGGGCGCAACCTTGACTTGCCGAGGCTTTAGGACTAGAAACCGAGTGATTCTACTACCTGGGACGATACAAGGGGAGCAGCCGGGGTCCATATCTACAACTTCCATTCTAGAGAATGGAAGCAAAGCCCGATTTTCGAGAGTAGACAGAGACGTCTGAGAGGACCATCAAAATCGGATTCCTTAATTGTTCGAACGTTCACGTGTCTGGTGACTCTTCCAAAAGGTTGGAAATATGGAAGTTTATAATTTGTAAATCAAAATGGGGGTGAAGGGCCGCCGCAAGTTGACAGCTGTGCTATCGGTCCATCCATGGTTCTTCGACGCCCACACGCCACTCATCTGCGGACTTAGATCAGTGGAATACCCATCTGCGCAACTTTCGTCCTTGTGCGACGTGTGAAGTGTCAATAAAAAGACATATAGCAAAGGAAACCGCACCTGCTGCGTGCCAAAGGCGACCGTGACAGCAACAATCCATAATTCGAGGATGAGGCCTTGAGGGATGATTTTGCTTCTTTCAACCACGTAAAAAGATCACCGCCCGGTTGTTTGGGGATAGATATCTCATAGGAATATCAGAAATCGTCCAAAAGTTTGGTGAATACTATGATAGGGAAGTAGATGAAATCTGGGATGGTTGCCGCAAAAAAAAAAAAACTGACAGCTGCAGCTGAGCGCTGTGCTATCAGGGAGCCTATCAGGTTCATCAACGCCCACAAGCCACTCCTCCGATCAGTGAGATCCTTCTACAAAACTTTCTAAGCTTGTGCGATGTGCGGACTCCTGCAGAGCGTAACAACATGTTCGTTCCATGAGAAAGAGATCGTACCCAATAGATGGGCTAAAGGTAACAGCAGTGATCGCATTAGAATGTCTGTCGTGATGGCATAGAGAAGAGGGGCCCTACGACTGCTGCCAGAAAATTCAACAACTGATCACCGGATCAGGTGCTGACGAATCTAGTACAAGGCAGCTGTGTGCGCCACAAAATTAACCGAGAACATTGACCGATTTGCATCAACTTCTTTTAATTCAACTACTACCGGTCCAGTATCAGTACTTGTGGACCTTGACTCGAAATGTCCGACAATATTTCCTTAGCTTAAAAAGCCAGTTCTCCTTCAATTCCTAAACTTCATCTTTCTCTTCTATCTTCCTAGGAAGGCTTCATCATGACCAATAACGCTGGCACTGCTGCACCAGTGACAAACACACCTCCCCGCAACTCTGGCTTGGTTACCGACCTTAAGTCCACCCCACACGCAGTTGGCTCCGCTGTTGTCAGCGAACATATCAATACTGTGGGCGTCGAGTGCGTCAGATCTTCTGTTCCGGCTACCACTATCCATACTAAACTTGGTTATTCACGCAGTGTCAGTGATGTCCGTCCATGGATCGCGCGCGACGTCAGCAACTTTAAGCGATGTGGGGCAGACGAAATGCTGCAACAACTCCTTGAAATGTGCACCGATTCCACCGAATCCCTTTCTCCAAGTAAGAAGTCCACACTACTCGATACTTGCCTCGATGCTGTCCTGCACCTCTGCAATGGGTCAGGTGTGGCGCAGAAGATCAAGCAACATCTAACGAAATTGTAAGCCAGCACTTGAAAGAGCGTGAAACAAGACTAACGCCATCTTCAAGTTGTAATGTCGAGAGCGAAACCCCGTCTTACACTGATTTCGTCGAGGTTGCCAACCGTGCGCTTCGTGGACTAAGGAAGGTGAACGTACCTGGAATACCTGCCTTCCAAGACGACGGCGAAACCAACGTGCTCTTTCATGTGAATGATCCATCGTACATACACCAAGAACATCAAGGCGAGAAGTCCAGCCGCAAGCCTGATGTCGTCGTCGTTTCTCACCAGAGCGCTGCGGATATCATACCGGAGGGAAAATCTACAGATGTTTACCGGTCTGCGTGCAAGGCGCCCACCAAAGACCATCAGAACTTCCGATGGATGGAAGTTCGAACGACATTTGAGTTCAAACGCCCGAAGACGCGTCTGCCTCATCCCCCATCTGCCTACAATAAAGACTACGTGGTTCCTGCTGTAATGTATATGGAGTACATGAAGGACGCGGATGCGCCTGCTCAGCCAACAGACTCAACGTCTGACGATGGTCCTGCTCAGACCCCGAACGAGCGTAAGCTGCCTAGCATATATACTCGCTGCTTTTTCTGACATGCACGACGTAGTGAAAAATATATCCGACCGACTTAGAAGTAACAAACGTGGCTCTGATCATTTAGGCTCAAACGAGCCGTCCACCAGCAAACGATCCAGGCAGGACGAAGAGAGGCAATCCAAGCAGGAAGAGAGGGGGAAGGAGAAAAAGAAGAAGGAGCCGAAGAAACTTCATCCTGTGGTCCAGAATGGATTGTATGTTGCAGAGATGTTCGCGGCTCATACCGCGCGTCAGCACGCCATCTCGTTTATAGTAAATAGTAAGTGCATGCAACGCTGTTGTCCTGTCGCCGAATTGATCGCTCATTCCAGATGATATCGTTCATATCTGGTGGTTCGATCGTCAGCACACGATTCAATGCGCTGGCATCAACTTCGTTCAGGACCTTCCACGATTTGTTGTCTTGCTCTTCATCATACAGCGCATGGGCTATAAACAATGGGGCCTCCACCCGTTGTTCGAACCTGAACCTGGATATGAAGGCGAGATTATCGTCGAGTATGAGGATAGCGCGTACAAGGGAGGCAAGGATAAGAAGAAGCGCATCGATCTTACATTGGATTTGAGGTCTAACAAGCGCACAACTCATTTCGGTCTACGGGGACGCGCAACCACTGTTTTTCCAGTGAAGAGCAAGGCCTTATCGGCTCTTCCGCGGCGGTCCCATTTTCTCAACGAATCCACCGAATTTGTTGCCAAGCTCTTCTGGCCAGAAGAGGCACGGCAGAGCGAGCCTGAGATCCTCGAAGAGGTGTACAAGATTGCGAATGAAGATCCGGATGTGTTGGGTCATGTTCCAGAGATGGTTTGGTTCCACAAGTTTGAAGGGACATCCACGGCGACAATTAGAAAGGCACTAGGAATAGACGACGCGGGCAGCCGTGTTCTATACATTATCGTGTTCAGAAAGCTTGAACCAATCACGACGCTGAGCGGGGAGGAGTTCCTTCTCGCATGGTGGGAAGTCGTTAAGTGTAAGTGTCCTGTCCTTTTTATATCCTTTATCGTCCATTCACGGTTCGCACAGGCCATCGTGCCCTCTGGAAGAGGGGCGTGCATCACCGCGACATCAGTCCCAGCAATCTGATGGGATACCGCCTACGTGGTCGATTCATGAGCGTCCTGAATGATTTCGACTTGTCGTCGATCAAACGAATTTTGTCTTCAATTCAGGACTCTCCCAGAGGCTTCGAACGCACAGGCACGGTACCCTTCATGTCGCTACACCTTCTCACGGAGAAAGCCATCGCAGGAGAAGTCGAGCACCTGTACCATCATGACGCTGAATCGTTCATCTGGGTCCTCACTTGGATCTGCCTTCGATATGAAAATGGCGAGCTCCTCAGGAGGAACAGACCGCTCGATGAATGGTTGACAGTGGATGCCAAGGGATGCCATGAAAAAAAATCCAGCTATTTGTTAAGGATTGGCGAAATACATCCAACGCGATCGCACAAAGAAAACTTCGAAGTTGTCATGAGTTGCATGGACGTGGTTCACAGATACTCAGGCCCAAAAGCGTCCGTTCCATCGGACAATGAAGTGGTCTTCAAAACATGGCTCCTGGACCATATGCCCCAGAATGTACTTGAAGGCAATGTTTCTTCTGCGGAGTAGGTATTCTTGCAGTCAAGGCAGCGTACTTCCGAAATGTGATATCTCATCGATATTTCAATACCCGCGTACATAAAGCCATGTAACATTCAAATATTCAAGTACCATGACGATCTTTGCATTACTATATACCCTTGATTTTTGATTTATATTCTCGATTTGCATCGATTTCAACTATCCTTATTTGTGGGCTTTGCATTGAAGTTTCACATTGAGTATGATTGCGCTTTCCACAGCTTAATTACAGCTTCATGCCGTGTTTTGTTTTCAGGGTGATTTGCTTATATAAGCATTTGATTACCTTGATTCGCATGGTGCTTTGACTGCAGGTATAGCCCAATTGACAGGAGGTACATTTTTTTTATGACGAGCAAGCATATTTACTATGAACTTTCGCAGTCATGTCTACCTTGTTGCAACGAATAAGAACTCGGTCAGCGAGCTATTCAGAAGCAGCCAAGCTCCCTTTCGAGAGTGAAGTTGGAAAGGATCAGGACCAGCCGCAGGTAGTGCATGATGTGCAATTGGAAGCTATACAGCAAGCAAAATTGTTCGATGCTCAGATACACAAGCTCAAGGTATGTTCAGCGTGCTGTGGTTCTTTCAATGCATCATGCTAGCCCGCCCCAGAAGGAACGTCGGTTCTTCGTCAAAGCTCGTTTCTTGTTCCCTCTTGGAATCCTACGTATGTCATTTATATGCTATCTCATAAGATTTGACGACATTGTCGCATAGTTGGGATATTACTGGGCTTTATCTTCATTCAGCCTTCAGACTTGCAAGACATTCACAGCAACCTGCTTCTCATCATGGAAGAATACGACATATCGCTCAAAATACCAGACATTGATCTATCACGTGTCGAATCAGAATGGAGACGTTTTCGGAGCAATATCCCAGAGGTTTGGAAGCTGAACAATGACGGACGCGAGTTTCAGGTCGGGGAGGCGATGAAGGCGCGAGGTTTGACAGCGCACTATCCCATTGTGATTATTCCTGGCATCGTATCTACCGTAAGCCACACTCTCAATTTGCGTCTAATTTATGTTAATCACCGTCTAGGGTTTGGAATCTTGGTCTACTTCGCCCGAAAATCGAGCTTTCTTTCGTGAAAAAGTCTGGGGAGGCTTCAATATGGTCCCACAAGTGATTTTCAATCGTGAAAAGTGGATTTCAGCGATGATGCTCGATCCCGTTACCGGTCTCGATCCTCCAGGTGTCAAAGTTCGAGCTGCAGAAGGGATAGGCGCCGCAAGTAGCTTTATGACCGGGTATTGGCTTTGGTGTGTCTCTTATAACGCACCATTCTTTTGAGCGCTGGAAAGTGACTGCATACATTCAGGTCCAAGATCGTGGAGAATCTCGCTGTAGTAAACTATGACACGAACAACCTTCACTTGGCTCCATATGACTGGAGGCTCTCTATGTGGAACCTGGAAGAACGAGATGGGTACTTCTCGAAGTTGAAATCTACAATCGAACTATTCAAGTATGGTTCTGCATATCGAGTATCATGCCAGAAAAGTTCATATTCCATGACAGGAAACGACAAGGCAAGAAGACTGTCATTGCTGCACACTCAATGGGTAGCACAGTATGTCCTAGTTTCTCTTCTCCACTGCTACCTTATGGATTGTAGCACTTTTAGGTCATGCTGGTAAGTGGAGCCTCTCAGCTAGTTTTCCAGTGAAACTGACTATTCGATGAAAGTACTTGTAGGTCTCACATCTACTCGGTTGGCGATTTCCTTTTGACCTCTTGCTGTAGCTTCAAATGGGTCGAGTCTCCTAAACACGGAGGAGGTGGATCAGATTGGGTAGAGGTCAGCCCCTGACTCATTCATCATACAAAACCCTCCAAAAAACTATCCTCAGAATCACATTGAGTCCTACATTTCCATCGCAGGGACACATCTCGTAAGTTGTTCTTTTCCTCGAATTAACTACCACTAATTACATTCTCAGGGCGTGGTAAATCCTCTTATTGTTGTCAGCCGCTCATCGGTTTACTTTTTTGACTATAAAAGGCAAAAGCTATGGCTGCTTTCTTATCTGGTGAAATGAAGGACACCGTGCAGATGAATCCTGCTGGCGCATATGGTCAGGACCTTCTATGTTTCATCGTTGTAATAATCTTATGGTAGCCTGAAGTGCTCGAGCGCTTTTTCTCGCGAAAAGAACGGCAGAAGCTATTCTGTAGTTGGGCTGGCAGTGCCAGCATGTGGATTAAGGTGCGTGATAATGTTGTCTTTGGGCTGAGCGCCTCTGTAATAATTAACAGGGAGGAACGGATGTTTGGGGCGATGCCAATTGGGCACCTGATGACGAGCCCGAATCATCACATACACATGGCGAACTGATCGCGTTCAGACAAGCAGCCGTGCCACTTTCTGCGTATGACATCACCCAACCAACAAGAAATATGACGGCTGATGACGCAAGCACATGGATTTTGGAGCGTACTCCATCGACATTTCAGGTTGATGAGTGTCGTGTCTTTTCTGCGAAATAACGCTCACAAAGAGACAGAAAATGATTTGGTCTAATTACTCGTTCGGTATCGAGCGGAATGAAAAGGTGCTCAAGAAGAATGCCCTAGATCCGAGGAAATGGTCAAACCCTTTGGAAGTGCAGTGTGTTGTTCGTTATAAGCCTCTTGAGACAAATTGATGAATTTTCCTAGGCTGCCAAATGCACCTTCTATGAAAATTATTTGTGTTTACGGTCATGGAAAAGAAACTGAAGTGCCCTCGAAGGTTTTTTTGTTGCATTTTACAATACTGAATTCTATCGTAGAGATCATACTGGTATGCTCACGGACCACACGACTACGAGGAATCGTTCGTAGAAGTTGAGCATTCAACTTGCACTGACCCTACCGACAAATGCAAACATCCACTACGTTCACCATTAGATCTGTCGTTTTCCAGGGAAAATTGGATAGATGCTGATTACACGCAGGAGACTACAACGCCTAAGGTGAGTTAGTAACTTCAATAATACCCCACGCCATATGTAGGTCGATTATAGGTCCGTAATGGCGTGAAGATGGGTGAAGGGGATGGCACCGTCAGCCTATTAAGCCTGGGAGCGATGTGTGTAGAAGGCTGGAAGAGACCAAGATGGAATCCGGCAGGAATCAAAGTTACTACTGTCGAGGTGCGTCGGCGATGCTCTCTGCGATCCTGCAATATCCCTCATGCCCTCGAACACAGCTTCCTCATCAGCCCGCCCCCAACATCCCTCGGGGTGGAGCAAATACGTCAGATCATGTTGACATCCTTGGGTCGACAGGTCTGAATGAACTCATCCTGAAAGTTGCCACTGGTGCTGGTCATGAGGTCGAGGATCGCTTTGTCTCTCGCATTAGGGAGTTTTCTCAGCGGGTGCGGTGGGATTGAACACCGAGTGTTTTGTAGCTTTATTTTGCACATAATTTCATGTTCTTTGCTTATTCCGACGCATGATGAAGCATGGGGTTTATCATGGTGGAAGCTTTCGAGATACTGAGGGAGCATTTTCAGAGTCGAACTTCCTTCATTTCGCCTCTCCAACGAACCTCAGCATGTATCGCGTGACCGACGACAGCCATGTACATTGAGAGGTTGGCTTGGTGATGCGTTTACCCAGTCGTCCCTACCCTCAGATCAGCCAATTACGAGCATAATTCACTGGCGTTTTCTGTTACAGAGAATCTTGCGCTCTAGAGAGGATGAGGATGCGCCCGCCGGATGCTGGCTGTTCTATGTACTCTACAACCCTGGGCCCGGACATCGATTTCTGACTTACGCTCAACGTTCGTCTCGCAACAGCTCTAACTCTGCTATCCTGCCAACTCTATGTCCTTCCTGGCCCAGCTCTCCTGCCAACCTTGCCCCCCGACACTTACACTGGGCTTCCCGTTACATAGTCCTGCTACGGTGTCGACACATAATATTCGTCGTTTTCAGGATGTCGTGTCGACTGGAGCTTTATTTAATCTCCATTCTGGACTGCAGCGACCCCTCAAGCGTATCCGGTCTTCGATGTAGCTTATGCGTTGTTGCCCAAGCTTCCTTGTTTTGTTCGTAGCTTCACTGGGCAGTAGAAACACGGAGATGACTCAAAGGGTTTCCTTAGAGACCTGTTGAAACCTAGCGCATAGTCGCTGATATTCCATGATTTTATTGTCACTGAAAGAACCAGGATACTCTGAGAATTTCAGTAGAGACTCTCTACTGGAATGAAATGAGAATGCCCCCATACCATGAAAGCTAGAAACAGAATGTGGACGCAGCTAAAGGGATACCTTGTCGTGGATCGAGGAAAGGTGGACACGGACAGCTTCGCTGCCGATCACATGGCGGGATAATACGTAGCGGGATATATGACGGATTGGGTTGACCAACTCTTGTAAAAACACATCGTCACCAACACGGAAGGAAAGTCTTGGATGAGATGGATCATGGATGAATCGATGACACACCATTACCGGATCCGACAGCTTTGCGTCTGTTTGCTTTCCAGTTGTAGCTGAACTTGCTCCAGGCGCTTGAAATTGTCGTTAATCAGTGACGGCCTCCAGCATGCACCATCTTGCTTTAGGGATGTATTGTTGAATTCAAACTATATGTTATCAGATCTAAGCTACTACTCTCTGCGAGTCTGGAGCTTTACCAAGTTTTGCCACCCTCACGCCACGTACTAGTACGTGTCCTTTTCAATTGACTTGTGTCTCAACAAATCTTGATGAGTATCCTTTTTATTATTCAGGCTTCTTACCCAGCCAGTTTCGACCGATGCTAATACTAGTATTCCACACCGAGTTCTAAATTCTACTCCTCTCTGCCAACGACCAGCCTGAGTTCCTCTACTAATCTATCCTTGACTGACATTCACATATCCGGGGGCGATCAGCTATAGGTCAGTGGAGTATATTGATGACTATGACTAGTAGCTGATTGATGACGTGCAGAACCTCATAGAACAACAGGGTGGATGATCTCCTCTTGCTGATTATGTGCATTGCGAATGCCAGCGTCATGACTGAATCGAGATCTAATATGAATGATGAATCCATCGGCATTTCACCGGCACCCTATCATGAAATTGAGAGCCAAGGAGATTGATTCCAACTTCAGTCAGAAACGGTGGCATCCAACAAGTGCCAGGTTAGAAGTATCTCGCGCTCAACTCGGTGTCGGAAGTCAGATCTTGTGAGTAATCAGACTAAGTTTGACTTCAATCTTCCTCCGCGGATACCCATCGCTGGATGTCGTCGCCATGGGGAAGCAGCTGGGTGATGTATTTTGTCAAGGAATATAAACCCTGAACGACTGATCGGGAATCACGCACACTCCCAAAAATGACGGACCCGAATGAAGTCAAGGTTGAAGCCCTCTTGGGCATCATCAACTCCTCAGCACGCGAAGCAATGGCGGAATACAAGAACACCGGACACGGAGTCCCTGATATCGATGCAGGCACTTTCCACCCCCTCGACCTCGCGACGGATACACTTGTCCTCAGAAAGGCAATCAGGCTGCTCGAAGGTGCATGCGAGCAATTGAACACAATACTAGCTCCACCCCAACACACGGCATATAATGCAAGTGTCGATTATACATATGGCCTTGTATGTTTTGTTGCTCATCTTCCTAGTCTGTGAATAATTACAATTGGGCGTGCATGGACGTCGCCGCGCAATCATGCGTCGCAGACGTCTTGGAAAAACACCCGGAAGGTCTTAGTGTGGACGCATTGGCTGACGCAGTCAACCTCGATAAGATTAAGCTCGCACGCGTCCTGCGATTTCTGTCCCTCAGGGGTTGCTTCAAAGAAGGTAATATGCATACTGTCGGTTGATGTTTCTCTCTAAATCCTTTGGTATTTGACAGTCAAGCAAGACGTATTTGCAAACACGCGACTCTCCCTCGTGCTCAAGTCAACAAACAACGTTGGGTCTTGTATACGAAATCACCGAAGATGCCCCAAATATGCTGCGGTTCTTTATGAGACTATGATCGATCAAGAGTTTGCAAGATCGCATACTGTTGAAAAAGCCCCTCGAGCATTTCTTCTCAGAACAGAAGGCAAAACCAAAAACTTCTGGGAAATGGACGTGAGTTTTAGTCATCATATTGGCCTTTTATGCCTTACAATATTGCATAGGGTAAGGCACGCGAAGTACGTACGGATTACTCTGCTTATGACTGGTGGCTCACAGTTCACAGATATTTCACAGGGCCATGTTGGGCCATTCTGAGGTCCATGGTTCGTATGCGGTGCTGCATTGTAAGCAATCAGCTTTTCAACCGTCAGCATGACTGAAGCGAGCCATAAGATTACCCTTGGGACAATGTATCCTCTATGGTAGATGTTGGATCTGGAACCGGCACAATATCTATTCCTCTGGCGAAAATGTTCCCTCGCCTCAGAATAACTAATCAGGATCTTCCAGAAACTCTAAAGCTGTCAAGAAATGTGAGTCCAGACATCAGACCTACACACCCAGCGGGCAATGCATATTTATATTTGATCAGATATGGGAGAAAAATGCTCCTGAGGCGTTGCTCGACGGGCGTGTAGAGTTCGTGACATTGAATTTCTTGGAAGAGTCGCCCGTTGTTGGAAAGGATGTTTATTATGTCAGTGCTGAATTTGATTCCATTCAACGCGGCTCAATGATCTGATATAGTTAAGGGGCATCATTCACGACTGGCCGGACGATGAGTCAAGAGTAATTCTCCGTAATATTCGCAAAGTAATGAGACCAGACAGCCGAGTATTGATTCGTGAGTCACTGCGTTTCAAAGTGGTGTTTACTCCAGAATCGACGTCCTGTGATAGACGATTACGTTCTCTTGCGCAAATTCGAAGAGCCTGACGTAGGGGCTAACGACTTTAGTGAGGTGAGTTTTGAGTTTAGCTTGACGGCGTGATCATGCATTCAGAATCATAAGGCTCCCGATCCTACATTATTGAACTTTGGTAGTAATACAGCACACCAACATGACATGACTATGTGGCTTCTTTTTAATGGCAAGGAGCGAACCTTGAACGAATTCAAGATCATTGGGCAAGTTCCTTCTATGCCTGGATACGTTGACTGTGTTTGATTTGTTATAATTCGCAGGGCCAGTGCTGGTTTAGTACTCACCCAAACCTATGATTTCGTGGGGACGATGCTCTTGGAGTTCAGAGCCGCCGAGGACTGATGCTGAATACAATCTGTGGTGTATTGTTGTTGTACTTTTACCCTCAATCGACCATCATGATTTAACCGAGAACGACAAAGCAAACTTAGTCCTCTTTGTTTTCCAATTTCTGTCCTTTTCAAAGTGATCCTCTACGCAAATCCACCATTTTGTAATAGCATTAATCATATATCTAATCCAATACCTCTCAAGCATCATCCATATAGTTTTCGCGAAACAACATACACCTCCCGCAACTCTGGCCTCCCCATCGACCTCGAGTCCACCATACACACGATTAAATTTGCTGGCGTCAAGGAACATATCGATACTCTGGGCGTTACATGTGTCAGATGTTCTGTTCCCGCCAGTATAGTGCTGCCGCAGTTCGGTTCTGAACCTCGGTTCGAACCCGAACCTTTCCGAACCGGACTCAAGGTCCGGTCACAGGTCCGGCATGGCCCCTGGACCGAACCTTAAGTCCAGTTCGGGGTTCGGAGCTAACCAGAACCAGTTCGGACGAACCCCACCAAAACCACCATCTGTCAGCACCTACACTACCTCAATTTCGCTGCTGCTGTTGCAAGTCCCTGACTCCTATTGGCTCATAGTTTTGTCTCGAGGTACGTTTGTAGAAGCTAATGAACGAACACACTCAGTGTTTGGAACAAACGACTGAGGTATGATAGAAGGAAACATGAAGGTTTAAGTACTAACACACGTGACAGAACAGAAAAAGGAAATATGCTATATGATGACGACAAACGATGATGCGAAGTCCATAACTCAACACACCCCCACAACAATATATTGTTGATGCTAATGCATTACGAGGGATAGGCCTGCTTGATGATGAAGGTGGAGGGGGCGAGGTAAGCACTTTGTGAAAATGTCGGCGATGTTCTTATGAGTAGAGAGCCACTCGGGTTGAAAGGTGCCATTTTCAATGTGCGCACGAATGAAGTGATATCTTAAGTCGATATGTTTGGTGCGGACATGATTTGCTGCTTCCTCGGATAGAGCAATAGCCCTGGCGTTATCTGCGAACAGCCAGAGGGGAAGAGTCAAAGGAATCTTCAAGCATTCAAAAAATGATGCGAGCCAAAGTCCGTCCTGAATTGCAGCTGTCAAGGCCATGTATTCAGCTTTGGTGGATGACAATGTGTGAGTGAGTTGTTTCTTCGAGGAGTGAGAGATCGGTCTGCCATTGAAAAACCAAACATAGCCCGTGATGGATATACGATCTTCTGGGCAGCTCGCCCAGTCTGAGTCACTGAAACTGTGTAGGTCAGTGATGGTGGTTGCACCCCCATAATGTGTGCGAAGGCTGACGGTCCCCGCTAGGAAGCGTAAGACATGTTTGGCTGCCGCGTAATGATGATGTTCCGGAGAACTGTTGTATTGTGCTAATTTCATGACAGCAATAGCAATGTCGGGACAAGTGTACATGGCAAGGTAGAGTAACTCGCCTACGAGTTTCCGGTACTTGGTAGCGAGGTTTTCAATATGAGGATGGACATCGGTATCGCGGCCAAAAGGAAAATGGGGGTCCATAGGTAACGTGACTGAGTTACAACCGACCATGCCGTGTTCCTCAAGCAGATAATTGATATAGTCCATCTGGTGCATCCACAGCTCGCACATCGTGTGGTTGCGTTCAAACTGGATGCCGAGGTGTTTGCACACTGGACCAAGATCGGTGATGCTGAATCTTTGTGCTATCTGGCCCTTAATCCACACAAGGAAGGGACGATCACTGGCAGCTGCAAGTCCATCATCGACATGCCAAGCTATGATGCAAATGATGTGTTCCCCCTCGCTGTTGGTGTGATCATAGATGAAAACAGCGTAATCAGCTTCAATGCGTAGAAAACCCAAGTGAGTGAGAACTTCGCATAAAAGTTCATACCAATCATAGGCTGCCTGTTTCAGTCTGTACAAGGACGAGAGAAGGTGGCAAACGAGTGACCCAATGTTAGGTGTGAAGCGTTCGAAACCTGGGGGTTGTCGCATGTAAACTGTCTTCCGTAAGTTTTCCCCACAAAAAGGCGTGTTTGGCATTGACTGCGTCAAGTTCCCAGTTGTTGCATGCAGCTAATGCAGAGATAATGCGAATGGAAGCAGCTTTGGCAACAGGTGCAAATGTTTTGCTGAAGTCGATGCCTGGCACTTGGGAAAAACCTTGAGCAACTAGACGCGCTTTGTAGACTGATCCGCCCTTCTGATCTTCCCTGAACTCAAGTACCCACCGACAACCAATTGCCTGTCGATTCTCCGGTAGTGGGACTAGCTCATAGACGTTCATTTCTGACATCAGGTTCATCTCTTGTTTCATAGCTGCTAACCAGAAGTCCCGATCGGAACGACACATTGCTTTGTCATAGGTGTTCGGTGGGATCTTCATATTATAGCCAGGTGCTTGCAGGTTGCAACAAGAGTCACTATGGATTGAAAGGCAAGCTTGCTCCACAACAATGAGATTGGCCAGAGTGTGGGGAAAACCTACTGTCTCAGGATCTGGACGAATGGCTGTTTCATCATTATCATTGTTGTTTGTGAGGGGATGAGTAGGAGCTGGTAGAAGGGCAGGACGAGGCAGGATAGGAATAGGAGGTGCAGGAACATCAGGATCTTCTGATGGAGGTACACCTTAAATTCGAGCTTGTCTTAATTCATGTTGACGACAGAGGCGAGCTGCATCATTAGTGAGCTGCTCATGATATTGCTGTCTGCGTTTGGTGGGATTCTGAGTATGATTGGAACATCGTGTAGGAAGAGATGGAGGAGGAGGTGCTGGCGCAACAAGAGGAGTATGAACTGGGATTTGAGGGGTTGATGAGTGTGTGTTGGCATTGTCATCATCCTCGTCATCACTATCAACAGCGGGAAAGCCGCGACTAGAGAAGGACTCATCAAATATGATGTCTCGTGAGTTAAAGAAAGTGCCAGTGATGGAATCTCGACACCGCCAGGCTTTGACTCCTGGCGGGTATCCCATGAATACCACTTCACATGATCTAGGTCCTAACTTCTCCTGCAACTCAGTGGGAATACGTATGAAGCATCGAGCACCAAATACTTGAAGATGCTCGACATTTGGCTTTGAACCGTGTAATTGTTCATATGGTGTGACACCGGGTGGAAGGGAGTGTGATTCTGTCCAGTTGAATAGATATGTGGTGCAAAAAGCAGCTTCACACCATAAATTGCGAGGTAGATGAGCATGGTCCAACATTGCATACATATGACCCTTGATGGTGCATATCACTCTTTCTGCTTTGCCATTCTGTTGATGTGCGTAAGGGGCTGATAGTTGCTGCACGATTCCTGCTGATTCGAGTTCCTTAGTGAACATTGCATTCAGGAACTCACCTCCGTTGTCAGAACGAAAGACCTTCACTCAGAGTCCTGACTGGTTCTCCCAACGAGCACGTGCTAGACGCCAAGTGTCTAGAGCCTGGTCCTTTGTGGCTAGGAGTTGAAGATTCAGGACATTTGTGTGGTCATCAAGAAAAACGATGAAGTATCATTTATTGTGGGGAGTGACAATGGGAATGGGACCGCAGAGATCAGTGTGAATGAGATTGAGGAATTGTGGTGCTCGAGTAGATTCTGATGGAGGGTGAGGACAACACGGATGCTTCCCCATGATGCATGACTTGCATTTAGATAAGATTGAACCGGCTGATACTGTTGCTCCTGTTGCAAAGAGAGGGAGACGGCAAACAGATTCTCCACCGATGTGTCCAAGACATGCGTGCCACAAGTCCAGGTGGGCGTAGTGTGGGTGAATGCTGTGAGATTGTGAGGTGAGGGTGGTATATTGGATGTGAGTGATGAGGATTGGTTCACAGGAGCTGGAAGAAACTCCAGATTCACATAGCATAGATTGTTTGCCATGGAGATTGCGCCTAATTCAGTTCTGCAATAGACCAGTTCACAGCGAGGAGGTGAGGCTCGAAATACACAGTCCCATCCCTTGCTTAACATCCAACCTACCGACAACAGGTTCAACATTGCTGACGGTGCGTGTAAGCAGTTCGAGAGTCGAACATGACGTTTGGTGCCTCTGATGGAGGGGATTGCCATACAGTCACCTCAACCCGAAGTGGAGAGGCTGCCATGATTTGCTGTATGTGTTACAAGAACATCTAGACGCTTGGGCCCCTACCATTTTTCTCCTCATGCTCCTCGTATCAGCCATTGCGTCATACCCTTACCCCGACCTTACCCTTGTCATCCTCGTCATCCTCGCATTCCCTTTCACTCTCTACCTGTCGCTTCAGCAGAGCCAGTACATCTGGCTGGATCCTTTCACTGACGAAGCATACCCATGCTCTGTTCCACCACCTGACTGATCCTGTGGACAGTCCCCTTGCCCTTACCGTCCGGACGGTAACCTATGATATGATGCACAATGCATCCCTTTTGCCCTTTTCCCTTTCTTGATCTCTGACTCAGTGCGCAGTCGCACATGCGACTTATACTTAGCTCCGCAGCTGCACGATCGTGCCCCTGCGCGTTTCACTTCTTATTTTCGATCTTTGACTCACTTTCTTATCCAGCACGTTCTACCTCGCCCGTGTCTCAATGCAAATGTGCCTTCCTTTTATGGTTATACCCTTTACCGATTGCCTCTCTTGGTAGTACGAGTTATCATCCACTAATACACTTCCTGTCCTCTATATAAACTCGCTACCATGTAACATATTCCCTAACTTGAATCTACTTGGTTCTTGACCTCCTACTCTCACCAGAGTGATCCCTTTCTGCCTTGCCAGTGTTACGACTTGGATGGTATCTGTTGGCGATGCTCAAACAGAGCGTGTGTCGTCAACGGTCATGGATGTCCTTGGGCTAGCCCAAGGTTAGGGGTCTTACTTGGCGAGGCTTCGGCAAGTAAGATTTGACGCCTATGTCCAAATCGGGTAGCTTACGTCAAGCGGATGCTAGACGATGAGCTGTATCTGCCAAGGCTTACGACACCCGAAGGTTAATCAGTAAGATTGTCGTTAATTAGAAGGACGGAAGTCCGACTAGTTAACAGGGGCTTTGCTCGTCGACGAAGTCAATGAGTAAAGATCGAGACTATAGGCTTATCTGCGAAGAGCAGATAAGAAGATAGAATATAGACTGCTGGATAGGCAGAAAGGGATCACTCTGGTGAGAGTAGGAGGTCAAGAACCAAGTAGATTCAAGTTAGGGAATACAGTACATGGTAGCGAGTTTATATAGAGGACAGGAGACGTATTAGTGGGTGATAACTCGTACTACCAAGAGAGGCAATCGGTAAAGGGTATAACCATAAAAGGAAGGCACATTTGCATTGAGACACGGGCAAGGTAGAACGTGCTGGATAAGAAAGTGAGTCAAAGATCGAAAATAAGAAGTGAAATGCGCAGGGGCACGATCGTGCAGCTGCGGAGCTAAGTATAAGTCGCATGTGCGACTGCGCACTGAGTCAGAGATCAAGAAAGGGAAAAGGGCAAAAGGGATGCATTGTGCATCATATCATAGGTTACCGTCCGGACGGTAAGGGCAAGGGGACTGTCCACAGGATCAGTCAGGTGGTGGAACAGAGCATGGGTATGCTTCGTCAGCGAAAGGATCCGGCCAGATGTACTGGCTCTGCTGAAGCGACAGGTAGAGAGCGAAAGGGAATGTGAGGATGACGAGGATAACAAGGGTGAGGTCAGGGTAAGGGTATGATGCGAGGGCTGATACCAGAAGAATGAGGAGAAAAATGGTAGGGGCCCAAGCATCTAGATGTTCTTGTAACAGCCAGCAGTCTATATTCTATCTTCTTATCTGCTCTTCGCAGATAAGCCTATAGTCTCGATCTTTACTCATCAACTTCGTCGACGAGCAAAGCCCCTGTTAACTAGTCAGACTTCCATCCTTCTAATTAACAACGATCTTACAATTAACCTTTGGGTGTCGTAAGCCTTGGCAGATACAGCTCATCGTCTAGCACCCGCTTGACGTAAGCTACCCGATTTGGACATAGGCGTCAAATCTTACTTGCCGAAGCCTCGCCAAGTAAGACCCCTAACCTTGGGCTAGCCCAAGGACATCCTCGACCATTGACGACACACGCTCTGTTTGAGCGTCGCCAACAGATACCATCCAAGTCGTAACAGTATGGATGGTGACGGCGTCTGCTGTGGAATAAGACCAGAAATACAATTTATCATGGATGAGCGTTGTAGTGGTTCCTGAGTCTAGAATCATGTTGAAGCCTGCAGCTACAAGATAGGATAGTGTCTCAGTATCTGTGGGAGGTATGTTTCCATCTGGTAGATCAGTGATGGAAGCACATGAGAGGTCTGCTAGAAAGGTGTCTGCTGCTGTGCCTATTCCCGCAAAAGCTGCTATTGTGGGAGATTGAGCGACAGGTGTGGGTGTGGGCGTGATCACTGCAGCTGCAGTCTCTTTCTCCTTTTTCTTGTGCTTCAGGAGTGTTGCCCAACATAGTTGGAGGCATCGGCGGCATCCTTCATGTGGAGTGCATAGAGGTTCTGTCGAATGACATGCTGTGAACCCATGTCCATATGTCCAAAATGATCTTCCAGGGTCTTCCAGGCATCGCACACGGAAACCTTATGACTGGTCGATATGAGTTGTTGTACAGAGATGGACAGTCGACAAGTAATAATTGCTTTGGCCTTGAGGTCATTAATCAACCATTCACGAATGGCAGTTGTCTCAGCGGCAGTGGGCTGAAGTGGATCCGCGGGAACAGGTTTGTAGGACGCACTGCCTAAGACATCATCAGGATCAACGGTGTCAGTCACGTGACACCACTGATCCTCAATGCCTAATGCATAAGTAACCTCGCGTTTCCATGCAAAGTAAGTGTCCAGGCCTGTGAGCTCCAGGATGTGATCAAGTTTCCCCATGTCAAGGGATTCTCAAGACAGATGTAAGGAGTCGCTAAAACAACAGTGCGCGCGTAGATCATCAGATTTCTTTAGAAATCGAGGCTCATAACCTGTAGAAGCTAACGAACGAACACGCTCAGTGTTTGGAACAAATGACTGATATTGTAATTACCTAATGAATGAACATGCTAGAGTTCTATTGTAAGAGACAGCGAGATAACGAGAAAATAGGAAAGACATACCTCAGTGTTTGGAACAAACGACTGAGGTATGATAGAAGGAAACGTGAAGGTTTAAGTACTAACACACATGACAGAACAGAAAAAGGAAATATGCTATACAATGACGACAAACAATGATGTGAAGTCCATAACTCAACAACATTGCGCATGTAGACTCGACTCTGGATGGGGGACTGACATGTTCTCAGAGTTTGCTGTGCAGGAAGCTCATTGTAGTGTTTTTCCTTCTCCCATGCTTGCAACATCCGCAGGTGGCTCCCAGCATTCAAATTTATACATCTATAGATGGCCCCATATTTCTCTGCAATCAATGTTTAATTGCCCTGTTTAATTGCCCCACTCTCAAGCCCATCAATCTTGTATGATCTTTTCTACTTTTCGTGCCGGAATTTTCTCAATTGTCTACTAATCAACTTCCTGATCCATCTGTGGTTGTCCCCACATATATTTTTCAGGTCTTCATTCTTGCAATTCTCGCCACACGCATGCACCACCATCTCTGGCAGGTGAATCAACATCCACACAACACCACTGGCGCCATCGTTTTGATGTCCGACATCTCATTTGCAAATCCAAGCATGTTTCTTGTAGCTGGCGCATTCACTCTTAGTCTGTGGGACGACATTGTCAGGCAGTCAGCACCTTATATTACTCCATCTCTTGTTCACATTGATGACATGTTCTCAATAGTTTGAATTGCCAGTTGTTCTTTGCAAGTACTCGATCTTAATATCATAGCTCATTTTCACCACCACAAATTTATATCCAGGCCCTGCGAGAAGTCCCCTAGAGCACCATCCCAATGCTGCCGTGTTCCCAATGCCCACTTACCCTTCATGAGATCTCCTCGTCTTCTTCCCTCCTCCTACTCTCATCTGTCGTCCGCACTCATCTGAGCCATGTCAGCAGTTGCTGATGTGCACTGGGCATTTGTGTATGGTGTTTGTGGTGGAGCTCCGGCCCATCGTCTGCAAGCTTGGTCAAACCTGGTTCAAATGTGAACCGGACCTCCTGAACGTGTTCGGTGATGTTCAGTCCAGGGTTCAACCAAACAGCTAAACCGAACCTATGGTTCAGTTTGGCATTCAGAAAATTTGGCCCAAGAACCAGACTGAACCAGACTTCGGCAGCACTACGCCAGTAGCATTATCCATACTGAACTTTGTTACTCACTAGCACGCAGTGTTGTTGATGTGTATCGAGCTGCAATGTCAAGAACTGCGAGCCTGTTAGAACTTCTTCTCTTAGAAGTAGCAGTCTATTGATGTAGTGGCCAGTGCCACATGCGCAGTGTTGAATAGCTTGTATGAATGATGCGGTTACTTCGACTATCCAGCAGCAGCGTGGCATCATCTTATGTAATGAGATGATGTCATGCAGCCACATGCATAAAGTTTTGATTGAGTTAGGGCTTGCAACAGGTTATAACTTATGGCTGAACATTATTTGGCCGAATAATTGGATGTTTGCAATTGACACTGTACAGTTGTAGCACGAATTCCGACAAAGCCACCACTATCACAGCTAGTGGGAGCACTCATTTGACAGCTAGTGATGTTCCGGCTCGGCTTCAAGCCCCGGGCCAGGCCAAGCCGGGCCTGATTCAGCCAGGCCCAGCCCAGGCCTAGGACACGGCCTGACCAGGGCTTTGGCCCAGGCTTCAATTTTGTGAAGCCTAAGCCGCCGGCCCAAGCCGTGGCTTAGCAAGCAATCTATTTCGGTATGTAAGTTTCTGTTTATGTTAATGTTGTTTTCTGACAATCGGTATCAGCTTCTCAGTCAATTGATCATCGATCATACCATGAGGTATGTCAGAATGAGATCACAGTGAGTCGCCATTGTCATGTTATTTATCTTTGAAAGCTCGCTGATATTTGCCCCAGGTCTTGAAAAGAAAACATTCAGCAATCCATGCACCTCTACAGTCTTGCCTGGCACTTCAACTTCGCTGCCTTCGCAAACTTAATCTGTTTTCGAATCACATTCTTTTTTATATATGTGGTACTGTGTATATGTGTTGTATCTACCTAGCAGCCCACAATGACCGGTACAGTCCACACAGATAACGAAGACGAACCTATCGTGCATCCTCGTCCCATACGCAAGATCAAACCCACTGCTGCCCTCCTCCAACACTCGGAGAAGGCCGCCCTTCCATCCCAAACTAAAGCTATCAATGAATTCCGTGCCGCAGAGGCAGCCAAGTGTGCTTCGGAGGTTTCTGCCCAACCCAAGCCTGTACCTCCCCCACCCACAGCTATTCCCTCGTCCAATGTGCCTCCCCCACCCTCAGTTATTCCCTCATCCAACAAGCGCTCGCATCCTGATGATACCTTCGTCGACATCGAAGACGACGAATCTGTCGACGAAGACCATGACTCAGTCCGCGAGGATGCTCGTACAAACCCTAAGCCTCATAGAAAGAAACAGAAGGCCCCAGAGAAGTCCCCCGAGTTGGTTGACGGAGATGGGGTTTTCATTGACATCGATGTCTCGATTGCAGACGCAGGATCGTCTCGGGAAGGCAAAACTGCTGATATCGACGCATTCTTTGGAGTGACGTTTGAGCAAACTGGGGCCAATGGCAAAGTGAAGAAACACCGAAAGTGTAGTGTTTGTCCGTAAGTCTACCTTTGTACTCTCATACTACTCATTCACTCACTCGTTCATAGGAAAAAATGTGTCCTTGTCAATGAAATCACCACCCTTCATCGCCATGCTGAGGCCCATTTTTCCGGCAAGTATCGCAAATGGGCAAACCAACATGCATTCGAATCAATGTTACCTGGCGACATGAAGGCTCGAAAGGAGAACGCTGCACAGCAAAGGATCAATGCCCATCTCACTGAACACAAGGCCGAACGAGTTGTACCATATTCTGACAAGTTGTTCAGACAAGCTGCCATTGAATGGCTTGTCGCGATTGATCAGGTACGTCTGCCTTCCTCAATTCAAAACCATGACTGACAGCTTATTTTTTTAGCCTATACAAGCGCTTGAACACCCTAAATTTCAAGAGCTGATTCATGTTGCTTCTCGCGCAACCAACGGAGTCAGGATTCCGGGTAGGAAGGGCACTCATGCCGAAATCATGAGAATGTTTAAAAACCACCTTACGAGGCTAAGGAACACGCTGAACGTGAGTGATGTCTGTTGTCTGTTTGTATTTGTCTCATTGGGCTTCATAGAGCGCTGCTGTCAAGGGAAACATTAATACCACGTGCGATGCATGGCAAGCGGAGAACGTCGACGGTTATTTTGCGGTCACGGGGCATTGGATTGAAGAGAAGGTACCCATGCAATGGGAAATTGAAAGCTCACTCCTCGGTTTCACGAAAGTCAACAATGCACATAGCGGCAAGCGGCTGGGCGGGGCCTTATTCAAAATTCTCAATCGTGTTGGGATTGCACAGAAGGTAAATCAGTTTATTTGACTACAACATCTTACAGCGCTCATATAACTTAGCTAGGGCATGTCACCTGTGACAACACTGCAAACAATGGGATGACACTGCAAGAATTCGCGCGCCTATACGAGGCTAAATATAACAAAGTGTTTCCCTGGCGCCAGCGCAAAATCAAGTAAGTACTGTCATTGTCCGAACTCGCTATGACACTCATTATTTGTGCAGCTGCTTGGCTCACGTTATTAATCTTGCAACGCAGAGTCTAATCAGCACGTACAGCAAAGCGCTGTATTACAACCCGCACGAACCAAAAAGTCATGAACCGACCACTCGGGATGAAATAGCCCTTGTTCGAAGTATTTGTGTCAAGGTATGTTCGTTTTCGTTAGAATCATATGACACTACTAAGATATATTGATGTCCTGCAGGAACGGTCATCCGCGAAGCGAAAGGAAATGTACCGGAGTGTGCAGACCAAAGCGGGAGTGTCTCAACCAACTCAACTGTTGATTGACATGAAAGTCCGGTGGTCCTCGACATATATAATGCTTAATCGTGCCGAGACAAACAGGGAGGTACATTATTTCTTATTGTCATAATTCTACTCGTTCAAGCTTATTATCGGCTCTAGCACATTGATACTTTTGTATACGAGATAGGTCGTCAAGAGCGTGACTTGGCAAAATGTGCCAAGATCGACTTTCTTCAACTCTCGGCTGGTGAATGGACACATGTCGGCCAATTCGCTGATCTTCTTTCAGTACGAGAGTTTCTAATTTATTTATACTAACTTCTCATGTTAATTCTTTAGTATGCCGATGTCGCACAGCAAGCATTCTCATCTGAACGTGGCTCGACTCTGCACCTCGCAATCCCAGCGCTTGAAACCCTCTACAGGGCTTGGTCTTCGCGTGCCAAAAGGTCTAAGTATGCATGGTTCGCTCCATCGCTTCAAGCAGCCGCTGCCAAGGTAGACGAGTATTATGAGAGGACAACGCAGTCCCCTGCATATATAATGGCAATGTGTAAGTTGTTTATTATAATTCAATAAATACTCTAATGCTTGCAAATGTAGTGCTTGATCCAGTAGGGAAAATGACTTATTTCAAGCGCCACTGGCCAGAAAATTTGCATGATGATGTGGTAAGCACTGCGGAGGAAGTGGTGAGTCGAGCTTTTTTTGCCTTTGCACGATAGTCTGATTTTGCCGCCAGTTCAAAGCTCGTTATCGTGAGCTGAATGAAGAAGCTACATTTTTGTTGTCATCCCAGCCCACGTCGAAGAAAAGCAAGGCAGGTGGTCTCAAGTCACTCATCCGCAAAGTCATCAGTGATTCGGAGGACGACTCACTTATGAACCCCACCCCTACTTCAATTACCCCTACTTTGATTGGCGATCCATCACGGCCATGGAGGGCCAAATTTATGATCTACCTGGAGACTGTTGAGGCGGCTCTACCACCAGGTGTATCTACCATACAATGGTGGGGGGTACGTACTATGGCTTGCACTACTTGGAAAATTCGCACTGATGTCAATTTTGCTCAAGATAAATGCACCAAGATATCCAGTATGGGCCTCGCTCGCACGAGATTACCTATCCATCATGTTGTCATCAGTATCAAGCGAGCACGCATTTTCGCAAGGTGGCATCACGATCAGCAAACGACGGAACCGGCTTAAAGGAGACATTGTGGAAGCTCTCCAATGTGTCAAATGTGCGATACGACATGACCTTCTCTTTCGCGAGCCTGGACCATCCTCTCTCGTGGAGTCGGAGGCATTTGATGACTCTGAATTGGAAGCTGACAGTGAGGAGAGGACTGATGTCACAGATGAGGAGGATGCTTGGGATGCTTTGATTTTAGATGATGACGAGTTTTCTGACTAGTTACTTCATGTATTTTCTTGTGCTACTAAACTACGAATCTACAGTTTTGCATACCACGAAGCCGCGGCCTAGTGCGGCTCAAGCCACGGCTTTGGGCTGGCTTGGGCTCACGGCCTAGGCTTGAAATATGGCAAGCCTAAGCCGGGGGCTTTGAGCCTAAGCCGGGCCGGAACGTCACTATTGACAGCGGGTGCGCTGTGCTGTCTGGCTTCCTTTTCTTAGCGACAGCGGCTGGTCGTAGATTTCCGGTACTAGCCAAGGGTCTGAAGAAACCGATATTGGACCGCGAAGGCATATTTACATGCGGCCCTGCCTTGCTCATAGTGGATGCAGGACATGCACATATATCTGATCTGTAGAACACGGCAAATATAATTGCTTTGAATGGAACAAATTCTAATAGCGGCGCAGTTTACTCTGAGTGACTCTATTAAATAATTCGAGCTGCAGGTGGACCGAATGCACATTGCGTCGATCAACTCGACAAATCACTGGGAAATCGCGCGTCAGTGTCAATGGCGATACTCCACCGATGTGAAAGCAAAAATAAGGCTCACTGTGCAGAATCCCAGAACGCTCTGTCATGCAGGTGAGTTATGTTATCAGGTTTAGGAAATGCTAATACTCACGCATTTTTTCAAAGCACAGTGTCTATCTTGACATTGTGCGTCAACTTCGCAAGACGCGGGACATCCAGCTGCTTCACTGGTAGAGGGGATAGCAGAGCTTGATGCTACTAAAGTAGCAATAACGGCGAGGACAGTTGCAAAGGAGAAATGCATTTTTTGCGACTTGTACGTGAGTTCAGGTAATTCTGAAGGCAATAGTACGAAGACGGCTGGTTTTTATACTGTTTTCTGGAATTACTGTTGCGTGGACGTACCTTCAAATGGATACATATCTACGATTAATCCCAGCACATCGCCATATAGCTAGTAGTGTGGACTACCAGGCAGATGGCAGAACCCGGCAGAACTTGAATGTTTCAGAACTCCCGCACATGTCAGACTCTGCCAGTTCTGCCAGCAGAATAACCCGGACTCGGAATAGTTCTGCGGCTTCTGCCCAGCCACAGCACGAACCCCAATTGGCAAGAAAGCCATAACTACTAAACCTCAAATTTACTTCACAGTTTATACGACATCTCGAAATTCTTTGAAAGAGAGAAGCGCAGGGTAACCACAAAGATGACTGTTGTTGAAACAAGTTGGAAGCTGTACTAGCCTACTAGGCGAGTTGTAAGTAGGCGTACCCAGAACCTATCGACCCTTCATTTTCCGTGAGTCTGGTTTTGATGGCGGTTGTGTGCCTGTCACTGTGTGCATGTGGCCAATAATCTCGCTGTAAAATCAAGCCTACGGTGTTACTGCAAAATTTGCTTGGAGCAATTTTCCGCTCACATCATGATGGTCACGGCATCTATCTAGATCTCGTCGAGCGTTGTTGAGAAACAACTTGAAAGTGGAAGGTAAAGGGAGCTGTAGGCGTCTTCAATTTTGACACGCACAATCGTCAGTTATATGGCTACTATCCGCGCGAGAAAGACCGTGATCATTGAATGCACGACAAGATACACCATGCGCTTCAAACTGTAGTGTTGCCAGTGGCCTGCTCAAGAGCATGTAGTAGTGCAGCGCATCATGATATTGCATTACTAACTCCAAGGGGAAGCTGTTGTAGTGCTTTGGCGAACGGTGGACAGTTTCGCCCTGCATTTGAGTCCATAGCCGGGGAACCTGGCATGGCCTATAGTATGTTATTCGGCTTGGCTCCAAAGTCCTCCGACTTACCGTAGCTCCTTTCGATACGATTTTTCTGTCGCTACGAGCTTGCTAAATATCAAGAACCCAACCATCTATTGTTACATCGAGAGACCGGCGAAGTCGTGAGGATGCTGGTTTGTACAGGTCGACCCCGCATACTTGATAGCCTTGATGCAACTGTGAGTTTGTTTATGTTCGGTATGATCTCTCAGTACGTATCGAGCGACAACCAGATATTCTCCTATGAGCCCAATTACACATGGACAAACTCCAAGAACTAATAAATGTTTGATCGGAGAAAAGAGGTTAAAGTGCTGGTGTGTATGTAGGGGAAAAAGATTGGCCTAGCGTGTGGCTGTAACACCGAGCCACGGAGTTTATTTCGCACGGTTCTGAACAGCTGTTCAAAGTTTCTCATTACTTCGTCTGCGCACATGCTGATCTGATTTGTTAGTCCTCGACTACTTATGTTTCCTTATGATGTCCTCGGATCTTTTGCCGATATCCCGTTATTCCTGTCGATAATGCGAGTCGTGATCCGACTGTGTCGTCTTCTTTTCTGCACGACCGCAATGCGCCACGAACCGTTGGAGTGGCTGTAGAGTCCACTCTTGGGCCGGTTCATGTTCCTACTGTCGATGGTTGGAACAGATATTTCGACCCATCTATTTGAGCGGATGCGATGTCGAACTCGGTTGTGATGGGCTCGCATCTGTGAATGCGAAGTTCGACGGGTCTCGGCTTCAAAGGCCTTCAGAAACAGACAGCATACTAATACTAAATTTATTTCGTGGGTAAGTTTTTCTTGTTGCATTTTATTATTTATTATCATCGACATTCTCGACGGAGTCGCTAAACCTCTCACGCCTTCTCTGTTGTTGGCTCTGCAATTATCTCCCAGTTCCTGTCTAGTCACAAGATAGATCTCAAGCGATCCGTGGAGCTTTCATGCGGCCATCGTGTGATCCTAGAACGTGTTATTCAAGCGTTAAGGCTTTCATACCAAGACAACAACCAAGCATTGATACGAAGGGAGAACAAAAACGACAGATGGTTTTGGGTAAGACGAGGTTCTTGGTGGTCACGATGCTCTAGAGATCGCCCTCGACCTCTCCAGCCAATCTCCAGCAGTAAATTCGGGTGCACACGACATTCACGTAATACTACACAGTTTGTGCCCGGGGACCACCCCCAACCTTCCCAGCAATAGTATGAACATTTTCTTGCCTGCAGATGCAGCATTATGACTGAACCTTGGCTTATCTACATGATATTTCATCGGCATACTGTCATGAAACTGAGAGCCAGGGAGATTGACTTCAATTTCAATCAGAAACGATGGCGTCTAACAATTCATAGGTTGTATCCTGCGCTCTTACCGATCCTGCCGCTACATGAGAACTCGGGTAACAACCGGTGTCGAAAGTCAGGTCTTGTGAGTGGTCAGACTATGTCTGGCTTCAATCTTCTTCCAGAGATACCTATTGTTGAATGTCTTCGCCATGGGAAGCAGCTGGATGATGCATTTTGTCAAGGAGTATAAAACCTGAACGACTGATAGGGAATCATACACTCCTAAAAACGATGGACCCGAATGAAGTCAAGGTTGAAGCCCTCTTGGGCATCATAAACTCCTCCGCACGCGAAGCAATGGCGGAATACAAGGACACTGGACACGGAGTTCCTGGCATCGACGCAGGTACCCTTCACCCCCTCGACCTTGCGACGGATACACTTGCCCTCAGAAAGGCAATCAGGCTGCTCGAGGGTGCATGCGAACAATTGAACACAATACTGGCTCCCCCTCAACACACAACATACAACGTGAGTACCAATCGTAGACGGCCTTATATGCCTTGTTACCCATCTTTCTAGTTTGTTAATAATTACAACTGGGCGTGCATAGACGTTGCCGTGCAATCCCGTATTGCGGACGTCTTGGACAAGCACCCGGGAGGTCTCAGTGTGGATGCCTTGGCGGACGCAGTCAACCTTGATAAGACCAAGATCGCACGCGTCTTGCGAGTTCTAGCCCTCAGAGGTTGCTTCAAAGAAGGTAATATGCGTCATGCTGTCGGTTGGTAATTCTCTGAAGCCTTTGGTCACACAGTCAAGCGAGACGTATTCGTAAACACGCGACTCTCTCTCATGCTCAAGTCAACAAGCAATGTCGGGTCTTGTATACGACATCAGCGAGACTACCCCAGATATGCTGCGGTTCTCTATGAGAGTATGATAGACCAAGAGTTTGCAAGATCGCACACGGTCGAAAAAGCCCCTCGAGCATTAGCTCTCAGAAAAGAAGGAAAAACCAACAGCTTCTGGGAAATGGACGTGAGTTTTAGTGATCAACTGGCCTTTCATACCTTACCATATTGCATAGGATGAGGCTCGCGATGTGCGTGTGGAGTTGGCTGCTTATGACTGACTGACGGCTCACAATACACAGACATTTCACAAAAGCATGATGGGTTATTCTGAGGTTCAGAGCTCGTCTGCAGTGCTGCATTGTAAGCAATCACCGTCTTATCAACCATCAGCGTGACTGAAGCGGGCCATAAGATTACCCTTGGGATAATGTGTCCTCTGTGGTGGATGTTGGATCTGGGACTGGAGCAATGTCCATTCCTCTGGCGAAAATGTTCCCTCATCTCAGAATAACCGATCAGGATCTCCCAGAAACTTTGAAGCTTTGGAGAACTGTGAGTTCAGACTCATCTGGTCCACGTCCAACGGACACGTCGTATTTATGTTTGATCAGACATGGGAGAAGAAGGCTCCTGAGGCGCTGCTCGACGGACGCGTAGAGTTCGTGCCATTGAATTTCTTGGAGGAGTCGCCCGTTGTTGGAAAGGATGTTTACTACGTAAGTGCTAAGTTTGTTCCCATTCAACGCAGGCTGCTCAATAATCTGAAATAGTTAAGGAGTGTCATTCACGACTGGCCGGACGATGAATCAAAGGTGATTCTCCACAACATTCGCAAAGTAATGAGACCAAACAGCCGAGTGTTGATTCGTGAGTCAGCCTCATTTCAAAATGGTGCTTGCTCCATAATCAACGTTCTGTGATAGATGACTGCGTGCTCTTGCGCAAATTCGAAGGGTCTGACATAGGGACTAACTCGATTGCTAAGGTGAGTTTCGATTTTAGCTTGATGGTGTGATCATACATTCAGGATCATAAGGCGCCCGAATCTGCATTATTGAACTTCGGGAGTCATACAACACACCAACTTGACATGGCCATGTGGCTTCTTTGCAATGGCAAGGAGCGAACCTTGGACGAATTCAAGATCATCGGGCAAGTTCCTTCCATGCCTGGATACGTTGACGATGTTTGATTTGTTATAATTCGCAGGGCCAGTGCTGGTCTAGTGCTCACCCAAACCTATGATTTCGTGGGGACGATGCTCTTGGAGTTCAGAATAGCTCAGGACTAATGTCGAACGCAATTTGTAATCTTCTGTTATTGTACTTTTACTTTCCCCAATTGACAATCCCATGATTGGACCACGACGACGAAGGACAAAGGACACTTACTGCTCTAACTTATGTATCTATCGCGCTCAATCAAGACTAAGTCTGCCGGTCCTTACAGTTGACACTGAAGGCTTCCTTAGTGCCAATGGTTCCACCAGAAGCTCCTCAGCGCCTACCCATCATACCCATCGTGGTTTTATCTTATAAATCGTCTGCAATATTGAAAGGCCCAATCGCTGGTTCAATCCCGTGCCTTCTCCGTTGTTGCATTGTGTCGACCATTCTCAGCGAACAGCGATCGCGACGGTGATATGGCTGTTCGGAGTTCAAATGTACACGCATTCGGGAACCGATTAAGGCTCCGAGTTGCAATTGCAACTCGGACCATAATCTGCGGTAACAAGAGAGAACCGGACCCGAATTGAACTGCAGCACTGACCTCAGTCGAATTTATGGTGACGCAGCTCATGAATTTGCAGCTGAACCGCTCGCTGTTGTTGAACTCACCATCTAGATATCATCGTCATCGGCACACAAAATCGTCAGCGTTGAAGATTTTATCAAACCCGCCAGCCCGAATTCGGAGAGGCACGCTTCAGTTTCATTTGTTATGCACAGGTGAGCTACCTCACCCGGGAATTAGTGCTGCCAGCGGGGCCTCCTATCAATCAAAGTTCGAATTGGATGTAGAAGATATGGGGTAAACGATAGGATATTGACATACACCGGTGACCGTGCTGATGCCGCTGCCAGAGCAGGGAATTGGTGCTGCCAGCGGGGCCTTCTATCAATCAAAGTTCGAATTTGATGTAGAAGATGTGGTAAACGATAGGATATTGACATACACCGGTGACCGTGCTGATGCCGCTGCCACATCTATGTATGCTTCTTCGGTCTTCGCCATACGAGATGTATTTAATAGCACGGCGACCCACCCTCCTTTATACTTGCGACTCGAACACACATTCTTCTCAATCTATTGAACTCAAAGAGATTATCCCAAATCTTTATTTTTGAAGTCTAGCGACACATATGTGAGTGTTGAAACTAGTCTTTTTGAACGAATGCTACTAAAGCTCTTTTTGCAGTCCAGCAGCACCATGAAGTGGGCTTTGGTAATCGTACACAACAGCGCCGGCGCCAAGCTGTGGTTCAGCGATGGCGAGCCCATTGGGGCAGTCCGAGGCGGGTCTGAATCGAGTCACAGGCTAATCATCGATAAACAAGGATTTATCGATATCACTTTACCCTACTCATCACTTCCGTCTTTCATCGACCTGAACAACACAGCCACCATGTGCCCAGAGGGCCTAGTGAACATCAACCTCACACTCCCCGGGGATGGTTCTTTCTCGTTCTTCATCACTCCATCTATTCCCGTTCACTTTACGGGGACGTTAAAGCCACTACCGGAGGTGTCGGATGATGATGCATCATTTCTCAACGAGATGATCGACTCGTGCTACGTGCCATACCAAGACATACAAGGCGCGCCAGGCAAGGACGTAGCAGAGATTAAAGCCTTAGGGCTACGTCATTTTCCATTCTCGCCGCACAGCTTTCAGATGGCAATGGCAGTGTATGACTGGACGACTGCATCGTTTGCGCGCATGGTCCTGATGAAAATATTTGAGTACACTAGCATCCCATCGATACCGTATCCTCTTGACTCTCCAAGTGTCGCAACCGCGATCTGGGAGTCAAACTGGGGCTCGTACGTTCCGAGCAACAAGTTCTACATGAATTCTTTTATGATGAAGCCCGCGTCCACATTGCAAGACGTTCAGGATCAGCTTCACGACGTTGAGGCTCGCCTGCAGAGGTTCAGTACCGTTCAAAATAGGTTACTCGGTGCTGCTTTTGCAGCGATGCCCCGCACATCTATCTTTCATGCGCCTCAATTATTCAGCGGGCAGCTTGACATGTCCCAGCTCAACCTCGATCAATTCGGCATCGAAATGCTAGAGTGCCCCCTCAATGCCGGGCCGACTAGCCAGTCGCTTACCGTGTCTTTTACGGCAGCAATGGCAACTTTCGTCAAGGTGGGCAGCATCATCACAACCAAGATGGTCTGGAGCTTCGCGGATTCGATCGACATCGCAAAGCATTACCAAAATGGCCTTATATTGGTTGTCAACCCTCCCGACAACGACTCGTGGGTCTGGGATGGGGCAAGTTATATCACACCGCTCTCGGATGATCCTGAGAAGAATGAGTACACATTCGCTCCGGGGACGTCATTCATTGTAGAGTCACTAGATGTACGGGACATTGATGAGGATGAGAGGAACAAGTCCGTTCAGTTTCTGACTCTGAAGCTGCATGTTCCTGGTTCCGTTCGCGATAGTCGAACCCCAAGCCGACCTCCACTCAATAACATACCCGCGCGCCGTTCCAGCGGCCCCAAGTCCAATCACCACCTCACAAATAAGACGGGTGGAAGACGATGCCACTGTGTTGATGATGCTGAAAGGTATGTCTGTTGGTTACGGCTTTCACGAGATCTGCTGACAAGTTTGGACCACAGGAATTAGCGGGAGAGGCGGTACAATCATTATGAAAGTTCAGTATAGGTCGGACGCGTGCTTGCGGTTTGAGGCTTCGATGTACCAGTCTGATGATGAAGTGTATATATGTAGTGTGATTTTTTGTGCAAGTGATGTACTTGGATCAGTTGTAAGGGTCGTATACCCTCTACGCCCTGACCGATGCTTCACAACAAGACGCACAGACGCAAGTCTTGTCATCCGCGTGACTCACTGATGCGAACAAGTATAACGTTTCGCATCCGAGTCACGCGGACACATTCTTTTTCTTTACTCTCATCGTCTTACTGTTTTCGACGACTAGCACGGTCTTTTACTCTCCTTTACACGATAACTGTCACTTATATCGACCCTCAGACCCTTTTCCTTTCGTCATATTCACCTCGCCGTGCTGAAACTGTCAAAACCGCCACGAGAAACTCTCGTTATTTCACCAAACCGAACTCCTTCATACCGCCACACATTCAGTCTCTCGTACTCTTACCTTGTGCTCTCAACGCCGCTCCCTTCTGCCTCCGTTTTCTCATAATTCGTTCGGTCTAACCATACCCGAGAACCCTTGCCATTTGGTGCTTATATACAGCCTATGGCCAGCGCTTGAGTCAATGTTCAACAATTCCATTTCTGTAAATTCAACATTCGAGTCTCTTGACACTGTGACAGTACCTGCTTGCTGCTGGGTTTCAGAACTTTAGGTGGCTGCTGTTCCGCGTGCTCCTCAGTCTATCATTGTTGTTGGCAGCGGCTATTATGCAAGCCTCTGACACATGACGTCGACATCACGGTATCTAAAATTTGATGTGTATAAAGTATGATAACAATGTTATGGCGAGTTACGGGCACGATGAAACACAGCGCTTGCAGTCTCTTTTCCCATGTACATCGTCGGATTTGGTGTTTTGAAACAATTTTCCCGACCAAGATTAGCAAAATGACAGGGAAGCGAAGGCCCTGCAGGTTGGAGGAATGATGAACTGTGCCTCAAAGTGACAATCACAGTGAATTTGATACGTCACAGATATTAATAATAAACTATTACAGGAGATGAAAACACACAATTAGAACTGTCCTGATGTTTTTTTTTCGTTCACCTCGACAACCGATACTTGATGTTCACACTCGTTTGAATTATCATCATTTTGATTCGACTAAAGCTTTCAGCCACCGAGCTAACTACAGATGTGGGGGGTCCCTGTGATCAATATTGATGATTACAGCACACACGCATTCACAAATGCGATCAAAGTCTTGTTACGAAAACTCTTTGCAACGGCCAGCTGATACAAGGGAGTGAACGAAACCTCCAAAGGTGAGAACCCCAAATCCTGCCTAGCGGTCCCCCATTGCCGGGACGAGCGGACCTTCCAAAACGCTTCCATTCGTACTTCGATTGCCATATATCAACTGACACTATGATAGTACTTATAGTCTCAGGCTAGCCCTATATAAATGCTTAACGCAATGCCTGTAATCACCACCAATCTATCTTACTTCCTCTTCACGGGAGATTGGCTGTGGTTGACAGTCATTGTCGATTTTTATACACCCAGTAACGTTCGATGGCTTCACAAATACCAAAGGTTGGTCATTCAGTAGATTCACTAGCATGCCTGACATTGTGCAGCATGCTCAAGTCCTTGTCGTCGGTGGAGGTCCCTCTGGCAGTTATGCCGCCTCAGCCCTTTCCAGAGAAGGCCTCGACGTCGTTTTATTGGAGGCTGCCAAGTTCCCTCGGTAATAAACTTGTTCCAAAGTATTCAGACATCCCCCTTGACGATCATCATTTAGGTATCACATCGGGGAGAGTCTGATTCCCTCGGTCCGTCACTATCTGCGGTTCATTGACGCGGAGCAAAAATTGGTCGAAATGGGGTTCAAACGCAAGGTGCGACCGAAGTGTTCTAGAATAATAAGGCCTGATACATTGTCATTAATAGCCCGGAGCTGCAATGAAATTCAACCAATTCAAACGGGAAGGATGTAAGTGATAACAGCAATAGGCCGAAGAGACATGCCACTCACCTGTTTCCAGACACGGACTTCGTTGCGCTTGGGCATACTAACAGTTCATGGAACGTAGTATGTACTGGACATCTTTTCTTTCTTGGATGGAAATCAATACTCCAGCTAGGTGCGCTCGGCATTCGACAAGATGTTGCTTGACCACGCGACATCATGTGGAGCAAAGGTGTTTGAACAAACCAGTGTGAAATCTTTCCACTTCTCTCCATCCGACTCTTCCAGGCCTGTAGCTGCTGAATGGTCACGTGCTGCAGATGGGGAAACCGGATTGATTTCATTCGACTATCTTGTTGATGCATCCGGACGCTTAGGATTGATGTCAACCAAATACTTACGCAACCGCCATTTTAACGCATCATTGAAGAACATTGCGTTGTGGGGTTATTGGGTGGGAGTGGGTACATATGGCATGAATACCCCAAGAGAGGGTGCCCCTTGGTTTGAGACACTGAGAGGTACGCATCGTGTTTGCCAATGGTTAAATGCGTCAAATGAACCATTGTACACCAGATGAATCCGGTTGGGCGTGGTTTATTCCTCTACACGATGGAACAACTTCCGTTGGCGTCGTTAGGAATCAAGATATTCATAACGAGAATGTTCGTGACTTGAAAGGTAGTTCTATGGAAGATCGCTACCGACTTGCCATATCCCTCGCTCCAGCACTAATCAAGCTCATTGGAGATGGGAGGATGGTACAAAAAGAGGCTGTCGGGGGACAACCTGGACAGCTTGACTCATTGATAAGATCAGCGTCCGACTTCAGTTACTCCGCTTCGAGCTACGGGGGACCTGGCTTTCGTGTGGTCGGGGACGCTGGTGGTACGACTTTGTATATCTTCCTTGTCCATATGATGAAGCTGATACACGAGCCTTCAGCGTTCATAGATCCATTCTTCTCCTCCGGGATACATCTTGCAATGACCTCCGCACTATCTGCAACAGTATCTATTTGCGCCTCAGTCCGAGGAGATTGTTCAGAAGTCGAAGCAGCTGCATGGCACACGAAGAGGTTTTCGTTGAGTTACACAAGGTTAGTCCATAAATAGATGGATCTGCTCTTGCTGATCAGAGTTCCATGTGCAACGTAACCTGCGTAGATTCCAGGTAGTGGTGATGAGTGCCTATCAACAGATACGAGCGACGGAACTTGATATCCTGAACGACATTGATGAGGATAATTATGATCGAGCATTCGCTGCCATTCGACCAGGTAATAGTTTCATGGTATAGTATGGGCAACGTCAAAGATACTGACTGTTACTGCTGCACAGTAATCCAGGGTGCATCGGAGATGGGGAGCCAGTTGAGCGAGAAAGAGCTTCAGAGTGCACTGGAGTTCTGTGGCAAGTGCTTTAACCCCACGTCGCCTGCGACTCTTGCATCCGCTTCGAAAGAAGCTCTTCCAAAGGATATGTTCGATGTTACAGCTCCACTCATGGATCCGCACGCTATTGACAGCATTATCTCGAAGACATTCAAGCAGACGAATCCAAAAGGTGACGGGGACTTCTCTGGACCTGAGGAAGACCTGAAACTCGCTCTGGACCAAATCAACAGCCGAAGAATCGTGCACCAAGAGTATGCTATCAATAATTTCGAGGCTGAGGATGTGAATGGATTTGTTGTGAGGTTGCAGAAAGGACATCTTGGATTGAACCGCACGTAGTTGAGATGCTATCGAAATGATCATGGAGGATTCGTAACCTACAAATTTGGACGGTTTGTACATAAATGTTTTGAGTTAGCATTGATGATGTAATCACTGTTTATTCACGCCGTAACTACTTAATATAGGCCTCAGTCAAACACCACCAACATCACGTGATGTGACAACGGTGTGACTCTCACTCAAACTTTGCGGTGCATAAAAGCTGAGCGCTGAGCGCTGAGCCTGAGGGGAGAGGGTACAGGTAATAGAAAGGTATATATAGTAGACTAGTAGTTGTATAAAGATATATAGGTGCTTTAATTGAGCTCAGGCGAGATCATCAAAAACAGACAGTGGGAGAGTGCGGTGACCACGATACTTTTTCGTCGCAAATGCAGCTTGCTTGCCATTTAAACCCTTGCGGTATGCGTCCATAAAACGCAGTGATCGTGTAGCAAACCTGTACAACACCATTTAATTAAGAAAGTAGTAATATAAAGATGAGTGTTACTCACTTTCGCATTGATACAAGTGGAACAGCTTCAAGAGAATCAATAATGTTCTGCATGAGCACTGCCTCGGACGAGCTTGGTGGCAATTGTCGATAATGGTGCTTGGCAAATCCCCAGCACTGCTCGATGAAGTTGAGTTCACAATGAAATTTTGGCAAGAACAGGACCTTGTAACCACGTTTTTCACAAGCAAGTTCAATGTTAGATTTAACATTTAAAAAGTCGGGCTGATTATATAGCAAACGTCGACAGCAACAACGATTGATGTTTGGGTTGCACCGGAAGTTTGGGCACTCCACACGAAGTTTTTTGCAGCCTTCGAAACCACGCTCCTTGAGAATTTCGGCCATGCCTTTGAATCTGCCAGCACGTGCATGACCTTCTGGAAAGTAAAAACACTGTGCACTCCCATCAGGCAACACACCATCTGCCATGCGCACTTTTTCGTTGAGTGCTTTGCCATCAGCGCCATGAACTGGCTTGCCGTCGCTGCCTATCATGGTTCTCTCGACTCCAAATGGGACGTTCCCAGGCTTCGTGGGGAATTTCGGCATGCGACGAGCAGAAAGTGCATCGTCAGCCCATTTCGTGTGGGTACTTGCATTGTCGAAGACGAGTACATGCCTGGTCATGTGGGTAGTGTCGATCAAGGATGTCCATGGCCAATTCAGCATGTCGGAGGATTGATGCATTGGTGAAGTAGCTGTCCTGGGATTTTCCCGCGCGGAAAAGTATTCTGGCAGCTTCTTCACCACAACTTGAGCGCAGCCACCCGTAATCGGCTGAAACAAAGTCTGCGACCATCAATGAGGCCCCTTCCCCTTTGGGACGAGGCTTCGCAGTTTCGTTTCCGTGCACCCAGTAAACTTTGCGACAGGTCATTGGCATAGAACGTGGACTCGTCATGGAACCACAAGACAACACGCTGGGTGTGTGGGCGAGGCTCATCACTAGCTTCTTCAAGACCATCCTTCCACGTACGCATGTGTATGAAGAGTTCTGCAATCGACAGTAGGAATTTTTTTTGACGGTATGTAACGACGTCATCACGTTCGTGACCGTCGACATATTGACCTGACGGAGACTTCGTCCAGCGAAAATCCATCATGTGCATCCACTGTTGAGCAGTTGCGAGGGAAATTGTCTTCTTCAAGCCGTGTTTCTGCTGTACATTGGGTTGTGCAAGGTAATCAACAATGTCCTGTGCTCTGACATATTTTCCGATGCTTTGCAGGTGCCTGTGAATAGCTTCGGCAAGGTCCCCTTTATCAAGCAGGGACACATTCCAACTTCCGTAAAGGTTCATTGGGAGGTTGCCATGGTGTTCGACAAATGAACGTGCCCATTTACAAAGGAGTCGGGCTGTATGGGCAGCTTTTTGGTGAGCCTGTGCTGTGTCACGAGAGGCTTCGGTCCATGTTCGAGGGTTCTGTTGATCAACATACATCCATAGGAACATTCACATCATTTCGAGACACTTTCGAAGGATATTGTCCCCAGAAAATGCTAAGTGGCCAGTTCCATTTTTGCGGAGGGGATTCAAGATTTCGATGAGATCTAAGAGGGCTGATTGACATGCAGGAATGGTGGGTGAAACACGTCTATGGCCTTCTCGCAGCTCATTATCTTGCACGGAGCCTTGTATCTCTTCTCCCGCATCATCCGAGGCATCGAAACCCTCATCCTCTGAGTTTTCAGTCTCCATGTGTAGTAGCTCCAAATCAGACATCACCTCTTCTTCAGCTGACAGGAAATATTGCTCAACCACTGGCATGTCTAAGTGGAGAGACTGCTGCTCAGATTGGTTGGCCAACACTTCCCGCACATCACAAAAAGCCCCAATGGATGTGGCCGGCATGTCTGACACGTTCAACGTGTGAAACAGCGTGTTTGACGCGTCGGACGCATTAGGCGTCAAAATTCGCGCTGGAATATTAATCTGCGAAACATCGCATCAGAAATTTAATTTTGGCTGTAATTAATGTGAGTACTTACATTCTCTTTGTTCTCGTTATTGATTTTCTTCTTCTTGACGAGTGCCTTTGCAAGATTGGCATTCCTTGCTGAGTCTGCGCGAGTCCGTTTGCCCATTGCTGGCGAGGCAAGAGGAGTAGGTGTCTGACTTAGTCAGCAAGACCGACCACAAATCGTGTTATTACATTGCTTTACAGGCAATAATGGGAATTCTGTTTCCTGCGAATGGCAGGGGGGTTATATAGGCTGTAGCGCCCGAAAGCCGTTTGCTATTTAATTTAGTGTAGCCTCTGAAATAAGCAATTGTCACGCTTTCCTCCCTCAAAATTGCAGCAGTGTGACTAAATACATCACGTGACGTTGGTGGTGTTTGAGTGAGGCCTATCTTACCGTTTTGACGAAAACCACAGTAAGTAATTGATGTTCTTGACTCGATCGACTAAAGCTCGACTTGAGACTCATGTCAAGCGAACCTATCTGGGAAGCACTACAGTCTGCCACCTACTACTAGAAGCCTCAACTCAAACCCAACCGTGCAGTATATAGTACCCCCACCATTGATATTCTCACCTACCATTGTCTGCTTGTCCAAATTCGCGCCAAGGGTCTTCGAGTCCCAGATCGTGACCTGGGCATGAATGATTTTGCAGTGGTACGGTTTTGGTTTATGGTGTGTTTCGCTTTTACTGATATGTTTTAATGCTGCCTCAATTCTTCAGGCTGAACACAGGCAAAGGATTGCCATGTCATGCCAGAAGTGTTCAACTTTGTACATTATCATAGGTTCCATCTCATAAGGCGACATGTTTCCTTGGTTAGCTCTTTAAATCATGACATCATTTACGCCGGTTCGTGCCAAAACTCAATACGGTAGGTAAGCTGCTTGATCGCGATGCTATCTAACATGTCCTGGTGATACTCCAGATATCTAGGTAAACAACCACCACGCGGCTGTCGGCGTGAGGTCCCTGGCTTTTGGTCCGGCGATTTTGGCAGCGACGAATCACCCTCTGATGACGTACAGCAATCACAGCGACTTAGGATTGAAAATCCAGGAAGTTCACCCCTGCGTCGCACGAGATGTAAAACCCACCACATGGTCAGTTGGAGGCCAACTCATATAAAGTCTGTTGGTGATCGAGGCTTGAATTCGAGCTGATCTTTATCCTTTAATCAGCCTTCGAACAGCTTTCCCAAATGATGTTCCCTTCCAAGGCTTTCCTGTCGATCCTCTTTGTCATGTTGTCCTCTGCGGACGCATCTCCTTTGCGCTCTGACGCTCGCAAGGCAACCCTTAGCTTTGCTGCTAGGGTGAACGCTAGAGGTGCTGTTAACGTCGCTGCTGCCGACAGGGCTCGCGTTCAGGCGATGAAGCAAGCTGGTTCCATGGGCAAGCGTGCTGGCAAATCCTCTTTCAGCATAACCAACGCTGTCGTTACTTACACTGCCCAAGTTGGTATCGGCAGCCCTGCCACCGAGTGTAAGATTGACTGTCGGCTAGCTCAGATAACTTCTGATTACATGGTTTATCAGACACACTTATCATTGACACGGGCAGCTCCAACACTTGGGTGGGTGCAAACACCCCATACAATCCCACAGCTACTAGTGTGGATACTGGAAATACTGTTGTATGCCGTTTTCCTTACTTTGTGTATACGGTATTCATGACAACCTTGTAGGATGTGTCTTATGGTTCCGGTAGTTTCTTCGGAGAGGAATACACGGACACCGTTTATTTGAGTAACACTCTGGTCATTACCGGACAATCCATCGGAGTTGCGAGCTCCTCACAAGGCTTCAGTGGCGTGGATGGGATCCTCGGAGTCGGACCAGCTGACCTGACTGAGAGCACCGTTTCCAACGTTGATATAGTCTCTACTGTCACAGACAACCTCTACAGCCAGGGTGTCATCGACACTGAGGCACTCGGAATCTACTTTGTCCCTCCCGATGCCTCTGATAGTGCCGGCGAGCTCACCTTTGGTGGACATGATAGCTCAAAGATAACGAGCCCAGTGACTTATGTCCCTCTTACGACTACGTCACCTGCTAGCTCTTATTGGGGTATCGACCAGTCTATCTCCTATGGAGGTTCCACCATTTTGTCTGAGACTGCTGGTATCGTCGACACCGGCACGACTCTCGTTCTCATTGCCTCCGGTAGGATAAGTTACTTATAAATGGATCATCCCACGCTGAATTGGAGGATGTCAGATGCGTTCAGCACGTATCAAACTGCCACTGGTGCCGTAATGGATGAGGCTACCGGTCTCCTGACGATCACCTCTGGTCAGTATGATAAGTTGCAAAGCCTGACCTTCAAGATTGGTGGCAAAACCTACGATCTGACCCCCAACGCCCAAATTTGGCCGCGTTCCCTCAATGCTGACATAGGCGGCAGCAGCAGCAACATCTACCTTATCGTCGCTGATATCGGCAGCGACTCTGGTTCTGGATTGGACTTTGTCAATGGTTATGCATTCCTGTGAGTGTTTAGGTAGCTTTTGGCGGTATGAGACTGACGACCTATCACACAGTCAACGTCACTATTCTGTCTTCGACACCACCAACAACCAAGTTGGCTTCGCAAACACCCCACACACTGATGATAAGAGCAACTAAATTAGCTTCATTTACGTATGTTTTATAGTTATAGGGAGTCGATTGGAGCTGTGCGAGTACTTGGGGTAACGTCAAGCTTGTCATTCGTTCGTTGAAGAATGAATATTTTCCAATAGCGATGCACCAATATTGTTCCGTACACCATCGCCACGCGCTAAGTGACTAACTCTAGTTAACAGTCATCATGTGACCGGTAATTCAAATAAATATGAGCGTAACGTCATGCCGAACTGCAAAAGTCAATTGAAAAGACTCATTTTTTGTTTATTATTTAGTTGCCTGGCACTCCCGATAGTGCTGAGCTGGAAGAAAATTAAGGTGACCACAGTATGAATTGACCATGTGGATAGGTGTAATGTTGGGCCATGATCATATGTGCAGCCGTAAAATTTCATCCTCCCAAGTTATTATTTGCCAAGACCTGTTACATGAAGCGCTGGTACTGTCATGCATGCAGTGCAGACCTTCATGTATGGACATGTTTGGTGTGATCTGAATCAATATCCTGTACACCATCCCTACACCCAGCATAGGATTTGTTCTCTCTTCTCTCTTTTATCCTCCCTTCGCAAGGTTTATCTGAATTCCATCAGATCCTTCAAATCGAATTCCAAGCTTTAATTAAAAATCGATCTAGCGATGAGCCGCCAGCCGATCTCGCGACACACCTTTACCGCGCTTAATAGTACTTTCATCGTCGACGGCGAGTACCAGTTCGTCAAGGAGCTTGGTCAGGGCGCGTACGGCTGTGTCGTCGCTGCCCGACACCGCCGATCGGGCGAGGGATGCGCGATCAAGAAGATCACGAACATTAATACCAAGGTACCTATATCTGCTTGTTCACTGCGAAATCAGGCTAAATAGGCGCCGTATCATAGCGGATCCTCACCAAGCGATGCTTGAGAGAGATTAGGTACGCCGTACAATCAGATACACCCCGAGTATACCGCTGATCATAGTACATATCAGATTGTTACATCATTTTAGGGGACACAAGAACGTACGTCAATCGTATGTGCTTGAGGTCTACAATTCACACATTCATTTATAGATAACATGCCTATACGACATGGATATCGTCTTTCAAGCTAATGGGAATTTTGACGAAGTCTATCTCTATGTCGGTTCACCTCATTATTCATCTCTGGCTTCACTGATCCTTACATCAGGAAGAATTGATGGAGGCTGATCTTCATGCCATCGTGCGTCCTTTCCTACTCTTGACTGATCTGGCACTCAAAAACCTACGGCGTTTGCACACAGATCCGGTCTGGACAACCGCTCACCGACGCACACTTCCAGTCCTTCCTTTACCAGACCCTCTGCGGGCTTAAATACATACACAGTGCCAACGTGCTCCACCGTGATCTCAAGCCCGGAAACCTCCTTGTCAACGCAGATTGCGAGCTCAAAATATGCGACTTCGGCCTGGCTAGAGGGTGCGCACGTCTCCCAATGATGAATTTGCATGCGAAATACTAAGATTTTGTATTTAGTTTTACCCCCGGTGGCGGCACGAGCAAGAGCGCCGGAAACCAGGGTTTCATGACAGAGTACGTCGCAACGCGATGGTACCGCGCGCCAGAAATTATGCTTAGCTTTGCGAACTATGTGCGTGTGACACTTTCCTTTTTTGTCTATCATGTCTTTGTCCTCGGTATTCTTTATTATAGCCGTTTAAGCACATCGTTTTACACTAGCTGACACGGTGCCTATAGACAACGGCCATTGACGTCTGGTCTGTTGGCTGCATTCTTGCCGAGCTCTTGGGCGGCAAGCCGATTTTCAAAGGACGGGAGTAGGTTCATTCCCACTCTACTATGGGCAATTTGCGCGTACATTGGATCATTGAATTGATACTGACTATCCATGATCTGCATAGCTATGTCGACCAACTGAACCAAATCCTTCACTACCTCGGTACGCCCTCTGAGGACACCCTCCGCCGTGTCGGATCTCCAAGGGTATGTACTCTGCCAACTCGTCAATACACCCTAGCCCATCCGAATCACACAGGCTCAAGATTACATCCGTTCTCTCCCCATCAAGCCACGCGTGCCTTTCCAGACACTCTACCCGCACGCCAACCCACTCGCTATCGACCTCCTGCAGCAGATGCTCTGCTTCGACCCCGCCAAGCGCATCAGTTGCGAGGCTGCCCTCAACCACCCATATTTGCAAGTATGGCACGATCCCGCCGATGAGCCAGTGTGCGATACCGTAAGTTTGATTTCCCGTTAAAAACCAGGATGCTCAAACTAGGTTGACACACTCAGAAATTTGACTTTTCATTCGAGGAGGAAGATTCTATCGAGGGAATGAAGAGGCTTATCATCGACGAGGTTCAATCGTTCCGTGCTGAGGTGCGCGCCCAGGCGAGGGCCACGGGCCAGATCAAGAGACAAGACAGGTCAGCATCGTTCTTCTCGCGCTTCTTTCCTCTTATCTATCACGAACCTGATAATTAAACAATTTTAGTCTGCCCATCCCCTCTCGGGACGAGATTATCAGCTCGCCAGTGCAGGAGTACGGCCCCGTACACGGCGCGACATCTGGCTACACGGCGCCGTCCCAGCGCCCACCGTCGCCCGTCATGGATGACCCTAGCGATGCGCTCGAGAAGGAGCTTGCAGGGACGCATCTTGGGAGGCGATGATCGATCCACCAGTCATTTAGTTTGAGGATAATTTTTTACTTCACGTGTGTTTTTCTTGAGCGTCGTGATCGTCTGTTAGAGCTCGTAATGGTGTATACGGAAATAATCTGGAAAATGCAACAATGCTACATACATACATGTGTACGTAACTACGTAGATACCTATCGTACTGGAATCTGGATCGTTTGTTGTACTGAGCAAGATATTTGCTGTGTGAGGTTGCACATTGCGTGACGGAGATGATTTATTTAGATCGCGCGAGAATCACTGAGGCTTCGAGGTCTGAGAACTACTGAGTATCGAGTATATGGCAGTATCGCGGACTGAAACCGCTTGTGATCCATGTGCTCGCTTATGTGCAAATTTGGGTATCTCCGCTCCCGCACATTGCTAGCTGGGCCCGGGTCGTCGCCAAAGCCTCCGGCTTGGCGCTCATATATAGGTGTAGACATTCCAGGTAGCTATCTTTATTGTGCTATATCTTCATTCGCTTCACCACCAAGTGATCGATATCAGGGTTTCTGGTGACCACACATACTAACTCTGTTCGAAATACATCATGTCGCTTTTCCTCTGTGTTGACTGTGGTGGATCCAAGGCGTCTGCTGCAATCGCAGACAAATCTGGCACTATCCTCGGGCGTGCCCTGGGGGGCCCATCTAATTTTTCGTACATGTCTGCTTCTGCATTTACAGATGCTGTTCGCGTAGCAGTATCTAATGCACTGAAGACTTGCGTCTCTCCACCATCCACCGACCCTGTCCCACTCCCTCCAAACACTGAGATATTTGCATCCGCATGGTTCGGTATCTCCGGCGTCGACTCCCTAGCTGCGGTCGCCAATGCCTCAGCAGCACTCTCCGCTCTCCTCGGGATACCCCTAGGTCCACGGTTGGTGGTAGCCAACGACACACATCTTCTTGCTGCCCCGCTACGGCTTCATCCTGACATAAAGCATGCTGTAGCTGCGATAGGCGGCACAGGATCTTGTGTCGTTTCCTTTCAGCGCGAGCCCTCAGGCATGCTGAGTGAACTTGCACGCACTGGCGGGTGGGGATGGATTTTGGGAGACGAAGGCGGAGGATTTCACGTGGGTCGCGAGACCATGCGTCAGATGATGTACGATGCTGCGCGCTTGTCGCTGGAGATGGAACCGTCGCCCCCAAGTACCCTCAAAGCGAAGGTGCTTGAAAGATTTGGGATACATGGGGTAGAGAACGCCCCAGAGGTGCTACCAGTGGTGCACTTGCCAGAGCCGGGTACAGCAGAGGCAGCTGCATCTGTTCCGCCGTACCTCCTCGTTGCGCGCGAGAAAAGGCTAAGCGAGCTTGCTCCGCTCGTTTTCGAGGCTGCGTTCAAGGACAAGGACCCCTTCGCGCTGAATGTGTTGAAGAACTGTGCTGAAGGACTTGCGGACCAGATTGCAATGCTCTGCCGTAAGCCTGGAGAGGATCCGAGTGTGAAACCAAGAGCAGTGGAAGCAAATGAGGCCGTGTTATGTTTTGGAGGGAGCTTGGTGGGTATCAAGGATTATAGGGCCTTGATACATGATGCATTGGCGAAGAAGGGACACGTCTTTAAATATGTGGAGTTCGTTGACGATGCTGCGGCTGTAGGAGCGGTAGGGCTAGCGTCTTTAGGGAGAACATGAGAGTATGTCTGCTCACTAGTTAAGTATATCATATGGAACTTGTTTCTTTGAAATTCGAGGCACCTGCCCTAAATATTTCCACGGTCGCCATACAAAAACCAACTTGCATTCTCTTTTTTTCTTCTTTGTGCGGCGACACGGCCAGACCTTCCCCATGTTGCTCATAGCTGCCTATAATCCACGCGGCTGTTCGAGTGTCAGGCCGTGTCCTGAATAATTGGACGTCTTAGCACCCATTATCGCGTCTTCCGACTTTTCTGGAGAAGCGATGGGTCGGTGGTTCATACATATCTTCACGTATTCTTGTCTAGGCTGTCTGGCAACACATGTACTCCGGGACGAATTCATTAATTTCTCACGACAGTATGTCTCTTAATGACGGCGCAATTGAATAACCCATCAAGTTTTCTATCCTGCAGGGATGGCGGGTCCTTGACGACAAGTCTGAAGTGGCGAAACACCTTTAACTGCTCCACGGTGTTGAATCTTGCAATTGAAACGGCTGAGGGAAGGAGAGCTTACTGCCACACATTGCGGCGGTTTATTTGAGCAACAAAAAAAATGGAGTGCGGTAGTTGTGGAAAGTCGTGCCAAACGCCCTCGTCTGTTGTGGACATTATTTTACCGTCAGATATTCTGATGCACGTTACCGAGAACAGTACAGTGCTGCTGAACATGTGCTTTTGTCATCTTTTGTCCATTCGGTGCACTGCCATGTCGAAACAAGCGAAATGACTTCGGTTGTATTAGGCGTCATTTGGAGTCTTGGAAGGTGGTTGAATGGGACCGAAATTTTACTACCTTCATGTGCAGGGTCTGCAGACAGCCAAATCGCTCAACGGTCTACATTATAACAAAAAAGGAGAAAAGACGCAAATTCTGCTACAAACGGTGTAGATCAACCGTGACTGGGTAGGAGTATACGGTAGGATAAATTCATGATCACCAATGTTGGACAGGAGCTATAGGGAGATGCATATAAGGTTGGAACACGAAATGATAGGGATACTACTGCAAGATAAATACTCGAGCCGGAGGACTACATCAGTCTACGAGACGTCAGGGAATGCACATGACATTTTGGCTGACCGACCAACCCCATCAATGCACACGGCTAATTACCAGTGATTCGCCTCCGTACTTAACAACGGCTGTCGTATACTTGCATCTCTCTTTTTCAAGAGCATGTCTTCGAAAAGCATCCTCCCGCGAGAGTAAAGCCCCACATGTCGAACACATCCATCGTACTCCAAGGTGTGAAAGTATATGACGTGGGAGATTGCCCGGCTTCATGTGAGTATTGAGACAACCCGTCCAAAGACAGGTAACCTGTCGCGTATCCTCGCTCGTGGTGCTGGTGTCGATGCCATGATGTTGCTGAAGATGTTTGGAGATATGCTTGAAGTCCACAGCAATGTGCATCGGGCAGCCGTCCCAGTGACATGGGTGCACTATGACGTCTGTATCATGGTCGTGCAGAATATCCCGGTCAATCAGGATGGGATTCATCCTGTTATACCCCTGGGGCATATCATGGGCCACGAAGTTTTCAGACGAGCTGAAATAAAGAACAGTGAGCCACAAGGAAATGGTAGAGAATGTCACCGCTAACCGATCTGTGTTCATACTAGATCCGAGAGGTGTTCGGTTTTCTTCTGGGTTCTGCAGGAGACTCGCTTTTCATGGCTTTTAACTTGACTGATCTCTGGCGCTGTCCACCGCAGCTCGACAAGAAGCGCGAGTGTTGGCTGGAATCGCCAGATCTTCACCAAGATCTTGGGTTTGTGGTGGTGGAATGCTGTTATCCCAGAGCGGATCAAAAGGCAACCCGGTCACTAAAATCAATTTCACATTGGAGGGTAAAATCTGTGAATGATGGGCGTATCAGAAAACCTTCGCGGCACCCGGGTAGATCAATTTTTGATTAACAAACAGTTTGGTATCCATGTCACGTCTCCTGTATGTGTTATGGCGTCTCAAAAAAAACAGGTGTACCGAAGTAATCGGGATGGTGGAGGGATCTGGATCAGTATAAAACTTGTGACCTGTAACATGGAGATATTCATCAATCGGGGGATTCGGATTAGAGCGACGAGGCCGGACCCGACAGGTGACTACCAGTACCGACGTGATAGTAGAAGTGTGAATTCATAAGAACCGGCAATATAACATTTCCCTCCCTTCAATTCCTAATCCGTTGCACTGGGGAGACAAACGAGGGTTTGTCAGTCTACTTCAAGTGAAGGTATTGTGGTAACTTTCCATGAAAGCACAGCGTTGAGGAAGGCGAGGAACCAATGAAACTGCATCAAGCTCGAACCGTGGATGCAATACTGCGCTCCGGGAGTGACCGTAAACCATAGCATCATGTAGACATCGCGTGGAATCCGTAATTTGTCTGGACTCTGGATGTGCTTCTATTAGCATGATGGTGGAAAGCGGACACACGCCGCGAGTTGGCGTTGACGGCAAAAAAAAAACAGCAATCACTTCAGATCGCGTGATAGAATTCCATTGCTGAGCATCTAGCGCTCGAACAAGCCATCGGTTTGGATTCCGAGGCTTAGGGTACTGCAGCAGATTATCATAGATGCATGTTGAAAACAATGAACTGACCTGACTCGGGTCCGGCCCGGCCCGGACATCTGATTGCTGATGCTTTCTGCAGAGCTTGCTGCAGCCTCATGCGTTTCGGAAGATTCGGATTCACGTATCGTTTTCTACCATCCAAAACACATTTCCGCATCATGACACCAAATTACGATTCTTGGTCAAAGAATGAGCTGATCGCACGTCTCAGAGAGCTGGAGGCAAAAAAGCACGCCAAGTCAACTCATTCACCAACTTCATCTAAAAAACCATTCCATTTTTCATCCCACCCGAAGCGCAAGATCGCTATTAAGTTCTGTTACTCGGGCTGGGAGTATAATGGATTAGCATATCAAAATGGTCCTACGCCTCTTCCAACTGTCGAGGATGTCTTGTTTAAAGCCTTTGTAAAGGCAAGACTCGTCGATGAAACTGGTGGCTTGGATGGCTGTGGATGGGAGAAATGTGGAAGGACAGATCGAGGAGTGAGTGCTGCTGGTCAGGTAGTTTCGTTATGGGTTCGAAGTGCTCTCCCCGCCGAAACTTCTAAAATAACATCATCACCATCGTCGGAGGAGGACCTATTCACGGAGGACATTCCTCAAAATACTTCACTCCAGCCTTCTACGAAACACGAGCTCCGCTACGTATCCGTCCTAAACCGCTTGCTTCCCCCAACAATCCGCGTCCTAGCATGGTCTCCCATTTCCCCCGATTTTTCCGCTCGCTTCAACTGCAAACACAGACACTACAAATACTTCTTCACCTCTAATGGACTCGATGTATCCCTCATGCAATCAGCTGCAAACCGTCTCGTCGGTGAACATGACTTCCGTAATTTGTGCAAGCTTGATCCGGGAAAGCAAATCACCAACTTTCACCGCTGTGTCATGCGCGCACAGATCAACCCCCTCCGTCCAGAATCTGATGACGATAACCAAGTATACGTATTCGATCTTGTAGGATCAGCTTTCCTATACCATCAAGTTCGACATATCATGGCTGTCCTTTTCCTCGTCGGAACAGGAGTTGAACAACCGTCCATTATATCAGCTCTTATGAACGTCTCTCATACAGAATCGAATTCATTACCTGAGTCCGAGTTGCCGCTGGTGGATCGTAAACCGGAGTATCAAATGGCAGACGCCCTCCCTCTCATGCTTTGGGACTGTGCATACGCAGATTCAGACGTCACATGGCAAACAGACGGCGATGGTACAGAGAACGGTGCCGGTTCAGATCTCTATCGCCAACTTCATTCTATCCATCAACGCTCCCTCATCCATACAGTCCTAGACGAGCACTTCTTTACTGCTGCCACTCGATATCATTCTCCACCACCTCAATACTTCCCTTTCAGTCGGACAGGACTAACAATTCACACGCTCCCTCGATCAACCTTGGGTCGAGAACCTGTCCTTGGTGTCCCACTCGGCGCGGGGATGTACAAGCGCAGCGCAAAGTACACTCCTTTGTTGGAGAGGAAGAGACTTGATCACGTCGATGTGGCCAACGAACGATGGCGAATAGGCAGGGGGAGCAAGTATAGCAAACAAAAGACGCCTGATGATGAAATCGAATGAGCGGGCGCTTGTGCATGTCGTTTTGCCTTTGTTGGGCAGTTCGGTTACAAACCTGAATCTTATCACTCTATCCTCAGGCGAAAGTACGGAAGATTCAAGTTTATTCTTGCGCTATCTACTGTAATGGTGAAATAGGAGAACATATCAAAACAAATCTCTAGCAAATATCTATCACAGACGTCCAATCAATGTCATCACCCAATCGGCTGCACGATACCGATAGATCCGGGTCGCCCATAAAGTCGGTCAGCTTAAGTGGCATCGCATTAATTGAACGACTAGTACTGCAGTTATGAGCGATAGTGAAGTGGTGGATTATCGGGGACGTCGCGGAAGTTTGTGAGCAAGTTGTCTTGCATCGTGAGGATGGGAGGGGGGTCGAGGGATGCTCATCATTCCCGGTCGCCGGCAAGGAACAGTCTTTGTACGTAGATATTGGATCAAAGCACGACCAAGCGAGAAGGGTGCTTTAGCTGTCATGAATCCATTCACCAGGTCGCTGATGAATGAGAGGACGGCCGCAGTGGGCTGTGGTGCAGGTGCATGTAGTATACGAGTACTACAAACAAGGAGGAGAAATACATGCGAGAACAGTGAGGACGAAAGACTGGGTTGAAGCGATGAATGATAAGGTACGTGAGTGAGATGTAAAATGCTGGTGGCGGCCTACGCATGATGCGCGTGCGCCAGTAAACCGAATGCACTGATACTAGTTCTATATATCCTATATGCTACAGCATAATTTGTCCGTCAAGAATTATTAGAGCTGTAGAAGCTATCTGCAGACTGCAATATGGTAAGAATAAGACGGTCCAACAACGTATCCAAGTGTACACTTCAGCGTCGCAAATCGACCATGACGACCTAGTGCATATAACTCCATATCAATGGAGAGTAATTGTCGATGTCCGTATGGGAATCAATAATTGACAACCCAACCAAGCAGGCAACCAGTGTGTGCAAGATGAGGAGAAGCCAATGGAGAAGGCCGAGTATGAGAGGCCGCAGGCCCAACAATGTCAAAACTCCGTTAAACCAAACCGAAAACTACTCCCAACACAGCCAGCTGAGAGGGGTTTAACTAGAAAGAATGTCTGAGTTTTGGATGAGGATTTTCCGATTGCTAGACACTCACGTATCACATAGCATGCGACAAACCATCTGAGACATCGCAAAGGGGTGGTGGCCATTGTCAGAAAGACGTTTGACTATCGAGACCTGGAATAATGATGAATTCTGCTTGAGAGCAATTTGGGTGACTATGGCGATGTCTGGGGATGGAGTCATTCCGAGCTGGCATTATCGTATCGCACAGAGAACATTTGAATCTGATACCAGTGTGCTTGATGATGTGACGCCCAAAACTCTGAAACCTCAGCTGATCCCCACAGCAACCATGAGCTGTTTTCCAAAGACAGCCGTAGGTTTCTTTGTTCCCAATCCCAATACCATGATTCTGGCGCAGGTGAGCGAGAATAATCTTGGGTGTAGCTTGAAGCTCGTCACCACAAAGGGTTCCTTCGTTGTCCCACCGGCAAAGAAATGCGCCATGGTAGTTATGGGAACGATCATTGTGGTATGGCTCGAAGCGGCTAGTAACACGCTGAGGGTGAAGTGGTAGGTTATCGGAGATCTCATGGAAATTTTCAAGCAAATCGTCTTGCATCTGACGAATAGGTGCGGGAGCGGGTGGTCGAAGGATGCTCATTCCCGCTGTCTGGTTGTTCACCCAGTGAATATCCAGGTACGTTGATCCTAAGTGGGGGCACGGCCAAGTAAGTAGGGTGTATAGACGATCATGAATATTCTTACCAGTCCATGGATAAACTAAGGGACGACTGGACTGTGGCGCATGTAGTATATGAGGAGGAGGTCGTACGAAACCAGCAGCCACGCTTCTGTTTCGACTAGAAGAACCAAATTTTCATTAGTGACTACTAAAATTATGGAGAACGGACGCACCTCTCGAAAGGAACCGTGACTAAATAATCTGAGTCATCAATAGGCAGAAAACTCCCGCGTGAACCTGCAGATTGGTGGGCAGACGTGTAACAAACAAAACCAGGTTCAGGAAAAGAATCAGAGGGATCCATGGATACCGCTCAGCAGACGCTGTTGCTCCATCTTTTAAGGGAAGAATCATGGTCTTCCAGCATGTAGGTACTCGCATGTTTATCATGATGATACCTGCATTAATGAAGAATACTGCGTGCACAGCAGCGGAGGAGCTCGGGTCGAGACATATCACGGAAAGCAGCCATAGAATGCGAGCATGGCGGAATTGTGTAGATATCATTGGCAAAGGTGAACGTGCTTCAATAATCTGCCACCGGAGGTTCTTTTCCCAAAAATTGGGACAGTCAGACGAGCCAACGGAGGGAGCAACGTTGTGATTTCCAGAAAGACGAGTCAAAACCTTGTACGATGACTGCTAGATCTAGAAAGATCATGTGCCTTTGGCGGACTTGCGGTGAAGAGTTGTTGTCGCGGAATTAGATCGAAGTAACATGATCCGGTGCTGCCCTGGTGTATACGCATGCTTGAGCGGCGTATGACATCACGATACCGCCTCAAAAAACGCAGGTAGGCAGGATGCATGCATATCAGGCCGGGTGAACAGTTGTTTTCAACATAAGCGGAGGGCAGTGGTCTCATCTCTGGTCCAAACATCTGCAAACATCAATGTTGACCGTCCTCTCAGGCTTGTGTAATCCTCATTAATGCCACCTCTTTTAGTGGTCTATGTCTAGCGAGATTCAGTCCTTCAACTCTAGATCTAGGTATGTCGTTCATCTTCTGTCACAAGGTCCTCGATTTTCTGGCTAAATTTCCGTCGTCTGCGTTCCCGCGAGACTCGAGCGAGGATAATCAGAATTCATAGATCGTCGGTAAACTGATATTCACCATAATATTCCTGACTACACGTAAACTTGTACGTAATTTATGTAACAGTCAAACCGTTTAAGCAAGCAGTGCACATAACATTCCTGCAGTTGACCTTCACGACAACAGTCTCGATTTCATTGGCATCAAGATTGAATCGGTTTGTTCACGTCAATCAGATATCACAATTAAATCTCACAATGGATGAGCGGTGGCCAACAATGTAGGATCAATCTGAATCTGCACACGCCACAACTTAAAGAAGTTTAGAAGCCTCAGGCTCAACCCAACCCAGGCTCTTCTACTAAGAATTTTATGGTTTCCCCCGTGTGATCGGTGCGACCTCTTACTTACTACACAGCTAATGCTGTTTCTCTTTCCGCACGTTTGTATGGCATGCCGCTGCCACTTTGTGCCCATACGGATACTATGACCGTGCGTGTTCTGAATGGTCCTTGCCGTATCTCTTAAACTTGGTCTAGCCGACCATATTGCACCGGTCAGTTCGGAGGACGGTGACCACCAATCGTCGCTATCGAATTCAATCACTGAATCTGGAAGCTCCGGTCCATGTGCGTGAACAGCTCTAACTACGTTAGAACTGCTCTCATTCTTGGTGAGTAGTGATACATCATTTGTATCTGGTACTTACTCTGCATGTAAGGGGATAGTACCACCTGATGGGGCCCACGACAAAAAATACGTCATACCCTCTAAACTTTTCAAACGTTTTGGGGCTGTCTGTGGAGTGATATCACTGTAAGAATTACAAGCACCGGACTGTCCTCACAACAAAACACTCGGGCCGGAGTTCTCTAGGCTAATGAACATGATCGTTCCTGGTGTTGCAGTTAGGGGTGCCGGTAAGCAGTCTTCCATTGTCGCTTACCGGGTACCTAGTGAGTCTGGGGCCCAGGCCTTTCGATTGGCGCTCATTCTGGCGTCTGCCGATTAGGTGCGTCTTCTCGACTATTTTCTCACGAGTTCGGTGGTCAGATGCAGAAGCTACAGCGCATTGCAGGGTTTTATTCCTATTCCCCTTCGTACAGCGCCGCATGTACCTCCAAATTTCATCATCCTACCGTCATTCATGTTACACAAGACGTTTAAAAAATCCGGACTATTGTAACATCAAATTTCTAGGAAGTTTCTATCTCTATTTTGAATTCGTGGTGACGGCATTTACTCAGCCAGGCGTTGTCCCCCCCATACGGTGACCACTCTCTTTGCAGGCTCGAAGTGACAAGCTTCTGCACTACTTTGGACGTTGGGGTGTGACCTACAAATAGCCAATGACCTCTGGCGACGTGCGTATATAATTTTACAGGAACTCAACGCCATCCGGACATGAATAACAGGTTGAATGGTGCACGCTGTGGTGCTCACGTCAAGTTGGCAGGTTCCATGACACTTACGTGAGGTGCAGGTTGGTTCTAGGGAGAACAAACGTGTTCCTGTGGCGAAGAACTTCGGCAACGAGTTACGAGATCGAGGTGATGTTAACCATCGCTGTGGTGCTGTATTTGTCTGACACACAGATCTTTCGGGGTTCCTTCATGTCACGGTCTTCAATCCAAAGACCGTAGCACGCTCGATGTTCATGGTCACCGTCCGCTTGCCGAAATTCTGTCTTTGTGTTCTTACGCCGGGCTGGCATCACAGTCTCTTAGAAATACGGGAAATGTTGAAGTGGAAATGGAAATGGAAATGGGCTGGACCTCAAATCTGTTGTATACAGATAGTCATGCATTTGAGATAGTGTCAGAGTGGGCTGCTCTGGATGTTGGACTCTGGAGGTATTACTACTGCTCCCGAGACCCCTCCGCTAACTCCGCTCTAAACACCGAATCTCCTGCCACCCGCGACCTTCTAATAGTTCCCTACTCCAACGCAAAATGTGCATGTTTCTCCGTCGTATACAAGACGAATTGATTTTTCTTATCTCCACGGAGACGTCCCCGCTGTTCCAGCTACGCACTGAACACATCTATAAAGGAGCATTTCCGCCGCATCACGATAAGTGCAATGCCGGACCGATTCAGCTGCGCCATATTGTGCTGCCAACCGTAGCAAGAAACCTATAAACCTCGTGCACAATAAGTCCACCGACACTCGAGAAGGGGAACTTGATGAGGCTCGCTATGTTCGAAATTCACAGTTTAGATGCATAAGTGTCATTCGCGCGCTAAATTTATGCATCGGCTCGTGGCGTCGCAGGCCAAGTGTACATCGAACGAGTCGTATAGTGCGACAGGGATGGAACATCAAAATCGGATACAATGTTCTTGAATCAGTATACAGTGTCGAAATTGTTTAAACGCGATGTACATGATTAGGACTTGGCAGACAGTGGGAAACCGTCCCTGCATAGAAATCTCGTAGATTTTTAGATTGAAGACTGGTTGATGTCGTTTAAATACGCAGTACCGTGGACGACCGCCAGGACCGTGGTTTTAAGCTAAGCCGTGTTACGGGAACCTCGAGCAAATATTCAAATCAGTATACTGGTTACAGCAGCTGCAGATGCGAGAAATACCAACCAATTGTGTCCCTCCGACTGGTTTGAATACTAACATAAAAGGTAAGCTCGATATCACGACGAGAAAGGGATATTCAGGGTGTTGCTGTCGAGGAAACAAAAGTGCTTGGCTCTAGCGCGCAGGACCAGGGAACATCGAGCTTGAATTAGCTACTGGCTGGCGCCCAGAGGAACGTGATAAGGGAACAATTATAAAACACAAAGACGTACTTTAGACTGCGCGTGGTGAGTGCCGGAATTCATCCAAACCTGGCGTTGTAGAAATACATGCATTTGCCAGCCTGCAATCACTAGGGAAACAACAAAATAACCCTATCGGGTTAGCGTAGAAATGGTGTCGATGAATTAGAATACACTATAGCCCGAGATTGGCAATTGTGAGAATCCTCAGTGACTGAAGTACTGATACACTGACCGTATGAATCGCATTTAGATCTGGATCTACTTGCGTGTGGGGGCTATAACACCATGGCATGTGCTCTGTCCTCCACGAAAGCTAACTTGTTGAGGCGGTCTATCAATGAGGCTCACCCGTTCTCGGAATATTGGAGGGTATTGAGTGATCAGCATCAGTCTAGTGTGAGCACGTAAATCTAAATATCAATTGCATTAATATTAAGAGCGCAGCTCTAATAATTACACGACGCAACATAGCATGTTAAGGTACCGAACCGTCCAACACACATTGTAATGGAAGCGTGAATATTATCGGAAAGGAATGCGTCAGTCTCTGATAGTGTCAAAAGTTGCCTTAGTGCAAGCTGCGTGGTACCGACGATGCTTAGCAGCGAGATCCTTCCGAGCCGCCATCCTCTTCCTGCAAACGGAACACCTGAATTTAATACCGATGTGGGTAACAATGTGGCGTTCAAAGCCTCCGACCTTGAACTTCCTTCCACAACGGCCGGCGTTGGGTGTGATCCAGCAACAAGTGAACGATTTGTCCGAGTCGACATCAATCTGATGATGTTGGCGAAAGTGAGCAACAATATTCTTGGATATAAACTCGTAACCGCAAGGTGTTCCTGTGTCGTCCCAACTGCAAGGATGGGTAATATGGTGCTCGTTGGAGGAGTCGGTATGGGATGAACTGGAGCTACTAATGTTGTCATAGAGCAGAGCATGGTGAGGTTGTGGTTGATTAAAGATAGGAGCAGAAGGTCGAGGGATGCTCAATCCAATTGCTTGGTTGCCCACAGGCGAGTAAGAGGTGGGTATAGTATCTGGATAACATGTGAGAACAGTTTCCTCAACAATCATTACCCTACTTACTAAGGCATCGACGCTGAGGCTGCGGGGCATGTAGTATATTGGTGGTAATATCCGCCACAACTATGTTTCGACTAGAAGAACCAAATTATCACTAGTGAATCACAACTTATGAGAAAGAAACGCACTCCTCGAAAGGATCAATGGCCAAGCCATTGTTGAAAGAGGCCATATTTGTGTTACTGCTGAGTCTCGTCGATTAAATCAAGGAATAATTAAAATATACGCACCTTAGAAGCTTGGGTACATCCTGCGAATCACCGAGTTGGTGGGCAAGGAGTGATATTGTCTCCAGCAGATCCAGTGATTAGAAATAGGGAAGAACGGGAAAGGTCCATGGATGCAGCTGAGGAATCTCGTTTTTATAGATCACGGGCCTCCGAGTTTGTCGTGACGTCGTCATTAATGAAACGCGAGCGCAGGAAGCGTGTTGCATGAGTGGGCCTGGTGAAGCGCGGGTAGTAGTGCCAAGATCTTGTTGGGAAAATGTCCTCGTGGACGGCCGTTGGCATAAGTAAGTGTTTTGGCTGTTGGAAGTTGGAAAAGGCCGAAACTAGTAGCAATGGCATAACCTTGCCTTACCAAATTGTTAGATATAGTCGTGAAGTTGGCTGAACCCATGCTAGAGTCGTGTATCACGAAATCAATGAAGATTTTACAATTGACCGAAAATATATAATTATATTCTAAGTACATAATCGGGAGGTGGACAAGAAATTACAAGAAAACATGTAAAGTGTACATTTTGATATTGATAAGCTGCTTGCGACTTGAAACAGTTGCTTTGAATTACTTTCAATGCACATGAAAAGACTGAAGTACTTTACCGCGTCACAAATCCGAGGCAGTTAGGACTTCGAACACCCGGCAATAAACAGTAGTAACAAATGGGAGATTTGCGTGGGTATCGTTGGCATCATTGTATCGTTTCTAGTAATTGTCCCTCTAAACTGCAGACTAAAGTCGTGTGTTGGTCTTATCGAAAATACTGAAAATGGGCGTCAAGACGGTGGTGCAAACCCGATATTAATCACCAAAGCTCCAGTCCTGCGTCAACACAAGGAAATCGGCTGGATCAAATCATATCCGTCTTTATCGAAAGAAGGCACACAGTAAACACCTTCCACAACACTCGCTCCCGCATGAGATAAGTACCGCGTGCACATTGCCAAACATGATTAATTCCGTCGCGAGTGCATTAGCCTGTTGTAGAGTGTGCGACGAATGCCGTCGTCTACACGTTGGTTCGGCTTCTCTAAACGGCGAGCAAGATCATCAAATGCCGAGGAGTCGGGAAGTTTTAGAGACGTGAACTCAGAAATTCTTGCGGTGCACGGAGTCCCATGTTCAAGTTACAATTGATATCAAAGTGACAAAAGTGAGTACATGACGATTAGATCTAGCTACGGTACGGCACGAACGCACGCGGTTACAGCAGTTCAAAGTAATGACGCTCGTTCTGCAGTATCTGATTCTTTGTACTATGGGCGCATCAGTGCTAAGCGTCGAATGGCAGAAGAAAATATCGGCGGATCAGATTGAACGTGGCGCCTGCATGGGAGTGAGTACATCCATAACTTGGTCCTTATAATTTTAAATTATACAATTGCGCTTGCTACAATCCTGCCAGCCCCTAAATTCATTGGCAAACATTCAATATAGAAAGCCACTCAATAAAGTCAGTATCGTGACAATTATAGGCAAATATTACGGTTACCGTGAAGCGTTTTCCCGGACGATGTTCACGCTGCACTGAAGAATGCTTCTTTGTATGATTATGTTAATGGGCGGCTAGATGATCCAGATTAGCATATACCTGAATGCGAAGACAAATTTGAAAATGAATCTGTAGGATAATCTGTACAAAATACTAGACAGCAGGCTAGTAGATAGTACGGAATATCGACAGCATCTACCACCATGGGTGATTTGACCATTCAATTTCTAAAGAACGAGGCAGAGTTACTAGATGAAGACGACGATAAAGTTGCGCTGGTCGTTGCTGCCACTGTCCTAGTTGGTGTTTATTGAGCTTGCGCACCAAGATTGTTTTGAAGATGAGCAGCCATGACGTCTATATCTTTGCCATCCACAGCTCCTTCCAGACCCACGGGAAGATACACCGTGGTAGGTCCTGTTTGCCGCTGGACGCTAGCTGTCCGTCGTACGTCGATGGTGAAACACAAGCAGGCACCGTTGTCCCTTCGCGAGTGGCGAGCGCCAGTGTAAGGCTCAGATAAGACATTCGGCTGATTATAAAACTCCAAATCTAAATCAGCGCCTATAGAAATAAGGTGAGTATGTAAAAGTATATGAGGGATCTGTGAAGTGCGGGAGCGGTAGTAAAAGTGATACTTACTAGACACGGCAGTACCCGGGACCAAAGAGCACAAGGCGAGACCGGTCTCACGCACATCAAAATTTCGGTACTGCAGCCGTAGTAAGTACCTCACGGGTTTCATACTCACCGACACTGTTTGTCTTGTAGAATTAGAGATGGAGAATAAAGTGACGAAAACTCACCTCCCGGTCTGACAGATAATTTCCTGCGGTTATTGCTACTGCTAGATACTCAGACTAGTACATAAGGTTCCCGCTGACATACCTTCCATCAAATCTGAAGTATTGTGTGCACTTGAAAATATCATTACGCGACAACCAGCCCATCGAGTCGCTTGAATCCTGGGGACATACTTACACCAAGATGTCAGTTTCAGCAAAGGTTGGATCATTCACAGCGCTAATAAAAAATAACCGGTCGTGGGTAACTTGAAGGTAAAGTAGAGGTGTGATGACTACTCACAGTCGTGGAGGTGCTTTCAATCTCCCTATCGCTTTTCCTGCCTTGCATCCTTCAGCTTAAAATGCATGAATGAGCGGTCTCCATACACCACTTTAAGAGAACTCCTCACGCACATGAATCATTCCAAATTTGACTTCTATAGAGGAGATTGCAATGGATGTGCCAATGAAAGCAAGGGGCACATTCGGCCCTTTCTCCGTATATGCTGAATACGGTGTCCGACGTCGACTGTATCTCTGAACAAGTTAGAAGGGTTTGATTATGCTTGAAAATTCCATTCCTCCGCTCACCAACTGTCGTGTGGAATCCAAGGAGCCCAGTCTGACTCTCATTCTGGCTCGGGCCATCATGATGTGTTTAGTACGAGTGCAAGCGCATGACAACTTGAAGTTGTTAATTTATTGAAGGCCAACTTGAGATGATGGCGTTCTTTTGAACTGTCATCGAACTTTTCCTCCTGTTTCAAGCATGTTCGATCTATTCGCATTTGATATAGCGCGGCAGTGCTTCTTGTTTCATATCTCCTGCGGTAGTACCTGGGCTCATCGGAACCTGTCAGTAATTTGCAACTGTATTTCCTCCGAATCAGGGAGGCCTCCATGGGCGTTTATGCGGTGATCACCATTCCACACAGCATGAATTACGTTCTTGGTCAATGGCAAGTATTATACTCGCGACGCTCCTGCACTGGTTTCAACGTTCGTCCTGGGAGAGTGAGTCAAGTTCACCTGATGTAGAAATTTCAGTTGTGCTAATTATGTAATATGATACGACACCGTAGATAGCTTTTGGCCTTTGTTGATAAGTCTAGTGGGAATGACATTTGCCAAATATTATTTTAGACGCTATTCGGACATGAGGAACAGGTCAAGACTGCGCGTCCCAACGTTGCTTGAGTTGCAGGGTAGCCTCGTGTGCATCCGTTATCAATGTGGTAAGAGACGCTTCTAGCCGCCACTGCATTTCGAGAAATGAATTTTTTCAGGAGTGCTTGAAGTTCGTGTTTTTAATAAATTTGGGTCTGCCAGCGACACGTTGACTGCTCATGGTTGCGGCTTAGTAGCCTCGTGACCCGACTGACGTATACTACCCACACATGCTCCATCTCAAATTAACGCGACTTGTTACGAGGCTAGGTCGCAGCGCCTGCTGGTGGGCAAATTTCTCAAACTTTTCCGCACTCAGAGTTGTATATTTGGTACTGGCGTCGCAGTCTCTGTGAGGGAGGCAAATGACTCCAGGGGAGATTAAACGAGGCTGGAGCTCCGCTAGTAAAGTAGATTCGAGGTATTAGGCCTTGTGTTACACGCGACTTGGGCATGCAGAACAGGCCATGATTAATGCTGCGGCACAGCCTAGCCATTACTCTGAGTCAGGTCGACACAATTCAACGTTTCTTGAGCCGCAGAATAGTCAAAGTTATATGACATACATTTGTTGTCAATGCGGCAGCAAGAGACTCCTGATGGTCGCCTCCGCGGCGTGCCGCGTCACACTTTGTTCTGTGCTCGTGATCATAGTCTCAGCTTGCCAGATTTCTATCCAGGCTCGGAGGTGTGCATCCTTATACTTGGTTGGCATCGTAGCCTCTCAAAGACGATGGGTGGAAATGGAACAAGTCTGGACCTGGATGGAATGAGCACGATTCTGATCAGCGCTATCTTATCAGATAAGTAACTGCAAACGTGGCATTTCCGGGTTCCGCTGGGAAGAACGCAGCTCGTTCGACTGCAAGTGACAATTACTAATTCGGCTTCTAGGATTTCTATAAACTACACCCATTCATGAAGCCATGAGCCCTCGAAAACATGCAAGTTCAAGGCGGGCAACGTGGTTAGCCTTTGGCTTGGTGGCGCTTGCCGCGTTTTCTGCCTCAGCCCAGCCTCAAACAGTCGGTGTTACGATGGCTGTACAGTCATGAATAGTACTAACATTTTTATTAGGATAGTATAGAGACCACCCAGTTGGAGCTGGAGCCCAGTGTGCAACAAAATGCTCAAGTACCAAGTGACGTACGCAGGCAGATTCAAGATATCCTCATGTTTCGACAGTACTCATTCTTGTACAGGCTACCGTATATTCGGAACAAGAGTTAGACCGGAGTGCAGAGGGTGAGTAGGGTTTCCTTTAGCGCTTCGGGAATATAACATATCTAACATATAACGCGCGTAGCGACAAGAGCATACAAGTCTGCTCTATTCACACTTTCTAACCTCACCGCACATCCGCCATCTCATACCCACAACGTATTCTCTCAACCAACTACTACAACACCTTCTCTTCTCTCTGCGCTCCTTCCTAATCCACAAGGCCAAGGCCCTCTAGGGAGTGCAATCCGTATAGCACTTAAACTTCGTCAACAATTCTCTCTTTTCCGTCTGCTCAGTAGACCCAATGGAAGTGCTACGAGGAGAAGGGATGAGGAGATGCATGGAAAAGCAATAAAAGTGGTGGATCTGCTGCAACATTCTGCTGAACTGGGGAATCTGGATGCGCTTTTTACGCTTGGGCATATATCTCTGGTAGGCTTCGCTTCCACGTGTTCCAAAACTCAACGTGTGACTTATGTGTTTAGTTCCCTCCGAGCTCCCAATTTCCGTCCGATCCTAAACTTGCATATGATTCGCTCTTGCACCACGCTGAACTGACAGGCAACGCTTCTTCGCAAGCTCTTCTCGCCTTCTTCCATGCAACAGGTTACGCCGATGTCGTTCCCATTGACCAAGCCCAAGCATTGTTATATTACACATTTGCTGCTCAGGGTGGTCATAAAGGTGCACAAATGGCTCTGGGGTATCGGTACTGGAGCGGTATCAGCACAGTTGAACACTGCGGACGCGCAGTCGAATGGTACGAGGCTGCTGCAGATGAAGGTGAATGAACAATAATTTCTGAGTCTCCAAAGTTCTTACAAAGCATCCTAGCGATGTCGATGTTCTTGTCTGGTCCCCCTGGTGGCCAGACTCTGCCGCAGACCTCAACACGGCTGTCTGACCTAGATGGGGGTGTGTTTGGGCCGGGCGCTAGTGTTGCATCCACCGGCCTTAATGTTGTCAAGCCCGCTGTAAAGGCTGGCCTAGCACAGACTGCTGGCGAGACCTGGGATGACGTTCTGGAGTACTACATTGTGTGTTTTTTCATTTACAATTTCATTTTTTTCTACTTATGTAAGTTTAGTTCAATGCCGACAGAGGAGAAACAGACTTTGCGTACAAATTGGGGAAGATTTATTACCAGGGTAGCATCTACTCTTCTGCGGGTGGGATTGGTTCTGGCTCGGAGGGGGTTGGACGCGTCCCTCAGGACTTCCAGCAAGCTCAGGTTTACTTCCTTCAGATTGCACGGCAGCTTTGGCCTCGTGATCCTACGAATCCCTTACAGCATAATACACCTGGTTACAAGGTTGAAAATGTCAAGCATCCTGGATTCGCACCAAAGAGCGCGGCATATCTCGGGCGAATGTATCTTCGGGGCGAGGGCGTGCAGCAGGACTACGCGATGGCCATGATGTGGTTTGAACGAGGGGCCCAATTTGAGGATAGGGAATGCCACAATCTACTAGGTGTCATGTGGAGAGATGGGTTAGTGCCTGGACGCCAGGATATGAAGGTAGCCCTTGTACACTTCACTAGGGCTGCAGGTCAGGAGCTCGCAGAAGCTCACGTCAATCTTGGAAAGTACAACTATTGTGAGCCTATATTTCCTCAAACGAACGCTTGCATTTGCTCAACAACAAGCAGACCGTGGCGAATTCAAGCTCGCTATCACGTACTTCGAAGCTGCAGTGCGCTTTGGCTCGACATTTGAGGCCCACTTTTACCTTGCGAAGATTCACACCTTGAACATGCGCATTGCAAATGAAGGCTTTGCAGGCTTTTGTGCTTCTGCAGTTTCATTCTTCAAACTTGTTGCTGAGCGGGGAGTTTGGGATGATGACCTTCTGACAGATGCCGAAGCTGCCTGGTATAGCGGCACCGAGCGTGGCAAGGAAATTGCGATCCTCAAATGGTGGGTTGCGGCGGAAAGAGGGTCTGAGATGGCACAAAATAATCTCGCTTATGTTCTAGACCAAGGTACATGACCCCAAATGAAAGTCGATCGTAATCTGATCTATTTACAGACAGGAGCATGCTTCGTCTTACACGGCTCGCCCCTATCGAGGCATCCAATGATACCGCTCTCCTTGCGCTCACTCAGTGGACGCGTTCTGCTGCTCAGCAAAACATCGATGCACTAGTCAAAGTCGGCGACTACTATTATCACGGGCTTGGTGTCCCTGATGAACCTGAGGCACTTAGATGGGAAAAAGCTGCCAAATATTATCAGAGCGCTGCTGATACGCAACTCAGTGCGCTGGCAATGTGGAATCTAGGTTGGATGTATGAGAATGGTATTGGCGTACCTCGGGTAAGAATTTTGACCCTTGGATATTACTTGCCCGTCATGAACACTCTTGACAGGATTTCCATCTTGCGAAAAGGCATTATGACATGGCGGTTGAGACGAATACCGAAGCATACTTGCCTGTGATGCTCTCACTAGTGAAGTTGTATGCTCGTAGTCTGTGGTATACTCTTCAGGGTGGCAAGGATGGTCTTGATTTGTGGAAATATGATGCAGACAAAAGTGTGGCACGTCTTACTATGGTTCATGATCTCGGCTAATATGCTTTCAGTGTCTGTAGCAGAAAGGGCTCGCTTGAAACAGGAAATAGATAGTGGTTCCAAAGACGCTTCTCAGAAAGGTGGCGATGCTCAACCTGCCTCTCACAAGGAGGAGAGGGCCACTGAAGAGTTTGAGGATGATGGGAAATGGTATATAGGAAAAGCTAGCGAAGATTTCCGCAGAAGAAGGCAGGGTGAATCCGCCCGTACAGCGCCTGCTGCTGAGGAGGAAGATGATCCAGTTCAAGTGAGTATTTCCTCCATCTCGCCACACGCTTTCTTATCCTCGAACACAGTGGGCACGAGAGAGAAGAAACGCGGAAAACGAAAGGGACACCGATTTCGGTCCCGAAGACTATTTCGAAGCTGCCATTCGTGGTGGACACGAAAGGCAGGAAGTAGATGAGTTTACGGAGACATTGCTATTGGTGGCTCTCTGTGCTCTTGTTGCTCTCCTGATCTACGTTCGCACGCGTATCGTGCGTAGAACTAGAGGTCAGGAACCGGAACAGCAGCAAGATCATGGGGGTCAGAGAGATTTAGGATTGTTCCCGCCCCCAGGCGATCCAGCCCGGCAGGAATGGAACATCGTGCATTAGCGCATCACACCTTCTGCATCATGCAAGTATATAGTCGTGACAGCACATGAAAACGTAACTTTGGGTCATTAGATCCGATTTGAGAGTTGAAACCTAGCTAAGCTTTGCCGCCACCTATTTGTGGTTATTTGGCACAGTCAGCCCCTTGTGCGAGCACCGCGGGTTGTCCAAGTGTCGAGATTCGAGATAAACGTCAGCCTGGGAATCAGTGTAAAGTCGGGCATAACTCCAAGTTTACGCTTCTTGGTCTGGTGACTGAACCCCTTTCAAACCTCGAGCAGTGGTTAACCTTTACGACGCCTGAGCTGGCACCCAGCACCATTGCCACTATGAGCTTCAACCTGGAAGATCTCGAAGGCCCCATTATGCGCATCCTGACTGCTCCAGGTGTTGATTTGAGCACCATCAGTGCGAAGGGAGTTCGACAGAAATTATTGGAGGACGTCGCGTTGGGCCTGACCGCTCGAGGACTGAAGGAACGGAGGACAGAAGTGGACACTATGATTTCGACTATCTATGAGGTGGTTAGTCGGCAGGCACAGACAGACGAATCGAAGAGGAAACGGGAGGAAGAGACAGACGAAGGCACGGAACAGGATAACCAAGGGGAAGATACGGAGGACCAATATGATGCTGTAGAGGAGCAAGCATCGGAAGAGGAGGATGTCAAAGTGCCAACGAAGAAAAAGAAGGGCGTGAAAAGCGTCGAGGAGGCCGATGCTGAGTTGGCCAGAAAGCTTGCATCGGAGCTCAACTCCCGGTCGCGGCGTGGCGCATCAAACGGTGTATCTGCTACGCCCAAAAAGCGTAAGACGAAGAAGAGTGCGGCTATAGTCGATTCTGGTGCTGAGGATGAGGGTGAAGATGACGAGAAGCCAAAGAAGAAACGCAGTGGAGGTGCAAGAGGGGGTTTCGCGAAGGAATATATTCTCAGGTGCTTCAAATGCCCCTGTTCTATATCCTTTATTACCGTGCGATATCCTCATCTTTTCTTCATTTCACAGCGAACCTCTATCGGTGGTTGTTGGCGTGGACAAACTCTCGCGCCCCCAAGTCGTGAAGAGATTATGGGAGTACATTCGTGGCCATGAACTTCAAAACCCTTCCAATAGACGTGAGATCATGTGCGACGACAACATGCGAGCTGTTTTCGGTACTGAAAAGGTTGACATGTTCCGGATGAACAAAGTTCTCGGACGGTATGTGACTATGTCCACTCCGACTGCTTCAATATTCATGTTTTTAACGGTTCTGTATCTAGGCATCTACATGCCCAGTGAGAACGCTGGGGAGAGGTATACCAAGCCAACGTGTTGTTAGTTCTAGTGGTTACCGGCATGGATAATTTATGGGTTGCAGTCAGCCTCGTGTGTTCGCAGTTGGACCAATCCGAAGCAACAGACTCAACACATAGTACAAAGAGAAAACGTCAGTCTCAAAGCAGGGTCGTAAGTATGGCATGGCTTGCCGGTACATCAATATTACTTTTGAGTATCGTGAATGACTCCAGAAAACCCCAGCTAGTTCAAATTTTGCAGCTTCATCCACTCCTTGTCGTTTGCATTAAAATCTACACCTTTATTCTTCCACCACCTCCTTGCTTTGTCCCCACCACCAATCGCGTCCTCAAGTGCTTCTTCGATGTCGCACATACGATATTGAATCGGTAACCCACTCTTATCCCACCACTCCAGCACTTCGCTACGGTTATGCCGTGTTGCACCAGTCAGCACATCCTGGTCAAAAATAATCTGTAGACCGCTTCCAAGCCACCACTGCAGGACCTCCACCTTCCCTACACAGCTGGCATGGTGCATGACATGACGGTCATATGTATACTCTAGCTGCGACGTCGCCCACCACTTGAGGACATCCACATGCCCCGCTTGACTTGCTAACTCCATGACACGCCCGACCTTCAGGGGCAGATTGTTGGCAAGATGCTGGTACTTCCACCATTCCAGGACATCAATGCGATTTCTAGCGCTAGCGCCTTCAAGAGCAGCTTCTGTATAGTCCAGCGGGAGCCCAGAAGTTACCCACCAGTCCAGAGACCCTACTTGGCCACTACGAGAAGCTCTGTCGATGGCACGAGCAATAGACCCAGGTTTTGGTGGATGCACTAGATCCGGATGTTGCTCGAAGCCATGTTTCCACCAAGACAGCACGTCTGTGCGACCGTGCTTTGATGCATGAAAAGGGATCAAATCGTCTTTGAAGATAGATAAAAATACTGGGCGATATTGCGTAACAAAAAACTCCAACACATTGACGTAACCAAATCGCACGGACGCGATGGCCCCGTGGCTCGAAGGAGGATTAGCTGCAGGATCTGCTGCACGGATGAGGGAAATGCAACCCGTGAGCATGGAAAGGTCGATGGGTGTAGGATTGCTCCATTCGCTAGGAGGAGGCAAGGAAGTAGGAACGCCTAATGCCCGAGAGAGCTCCCAATCACCGAGATGATCAAATATATCAGCCAGAACTTCGACGGGTAGATCTACAGGACGTTCTGTGGTCCTCGTGTCTTTCCCTTTGTCCATGAGAGATGTTGGCGCATCACTAGACATCGTCGGAAAATGATAGGTGTGGAAATCATGCTGGGCTAATCTCGATGCGAGTTCTATGTCCGCGCCCGACGTTGGCAGGTTGCGGACTTTGAGGAACAGCACGAGCTCGTCATGTAGGAGCCGACAATAAGCATTGAAAACAGCGTTAAATGGATTGTCATGATTCTAAAGAAAGTCCTAAAATCAATACTAGTGTGGAACGGAAGAATGATGAGAAAATATTCACCGCCATAGGCAGATGCCCAGAATGATGTGGCTGGGAATGAGAGGCACACGAGGCTGAGAGGAAAACGGGCCACGTGGCTATGCTGAGACACAACGAGCTCCAACTTGCAGCTTCACTCCGTGTAGGGTCCTCTATCAACACTTTATACTGGAACGCTTCTGCCCGCTGTCAAGACCCGAAAATACTGTTGATTCAAATTCGGATCAATTAGTCCAGGCGAGTCCAGGCAGGGTCCCTTGGAAGTTCGAGGCTGAAGGAATGTCATGCCTCGTCTGACGTAGCGCAAAGCGGCATCGCCCTGGTTGAGGTACTAGTCCGCTTGGAAGGCTTACACCTGACCCGCCGGGAGTTCGACTCGGACCTGTCGAGTCACATGGATTTTGTAGAGCAACAGTTCCAGACTCTGCCTGACCACCCTTGGTCTTCTCGGAGAACTATTGACCTGTTCTTCCAGTCGCTTTGGAGCGGGCGCCTCAGGATTGATGAGTGGGAATATCTCTTTATCCACACGAGTGCTATCTTGCCTAGACCATGACTCGGATACGAGGCAGAGCCTATCTCTCTGACTTTTGTCAAATCAATCCAGGGCCAAGTTTATAAAAGTAATAGACATTCCTGTTTGTATATATGACATGCGAACAGCAAGTCCTATACAAAACAATAATCTTGCTGTACGTCCAGTGTCGCACTAGTAGCGTTGCCCAAGAAACCACTCATCCCTACATATAACCAAGTACAGCATCATACGTACATCCAGAACACCCGAACAAAAAGAGTCACGGAAGACTAATAAGACACGTAAGTATTAGAACTGCCTCGGCAATCTTTCATTGTTCACTCACTGACTGCAGCTCTCTGTATCTGAGGGGATAAACTGCCTGGCGCCAACCTTCGTTGTGTGGCGTAGTCCGTGGAATACAGGAAGGGTACGTTGTTCAGTTTCTAGAACACAATAGAAAGCAGTGATGTAGCCTATACTTTGCAGATACTTCGACATTGATTGTGGCGGTCTTGTGGCTGATGATATTATCCAGTTCCTTTCGAATTCTATCGCACAGCAAAATCGATGTGCATGTTTCTTACAGCTCCGGCTGGTTTAATGTCATCAAATATCTTTTTAGATCGTATACGTCACGGAACGAGGAGCCAAGACCCCAAAACCTGTCCTTTACGTTCATGGAGGGATTTTCTCTAGGGGCGGTCAAACGATTCGCTCGAGTGGACACGACCATACAGAAAGTAAGTCGTCGTCTTATCACTCGATCATATCACAAGGTTATTCACTCTCAACAGTGAGCAAGCAGGACCAAGGGTAGTTACGTTCTTATCGTGCTCGTTGCCCGTCATATACAGCGAACAATCCAGCGGCTCTTGCTAAATCTGCAACACCACTCGAGATGTCGGAGCCGAAGTCACACGAGTTGTAACAATATCAAAAAATAGGTGATCAATCAGCGCTTCAGCACTCACAGTCAACTTCGTAGACCCGGACTTCTAACACCCTCATTTTGGAAAATGATAACTTTGGTGTTGTCACGTACCTGCGATGTGTGCAGAATGACGTCTCAGACCAAATGGTTGTTTAATTTTGTTTTCTATCTTTGATCTGCATGTGCCGCATAGCGCGGAGACGACGATCACATGTCAAATATCACAGTTTAGGGCGATCATCACCGCCGTCGAATCACCTAGGTATAATAATAGACCACTTGTGATCTATTGTACACTGCAAGGACTTGGGAATCCTTACGGCTATGATTCTACATGGACAGGTACTGCATTCGATGGCAAAAATGGACAGCCGTCGCTTACTGCTGTAAATCCAGTGATGCTCCTGTGGCGGTGACAGATAGGAACACAACAGGTACTATCATTCGACGGGAAATGCACAATTTACACTTATTGCTGAATAGCAACACAACAACAACACATATTCGTATCGGATCTACTGTAGTGTATACTTTAGGTCTCTGTGCATTAGGCCCAACAAGAATTTTTTAATTTTGTTGCGAGCTTGTTGCAGCGGCAGCACTGGAAGTTGAGGTGTCGAAAACACAATAGAAATGCACAATTTCGTCACACTATGTCACGCGCGGCACCTCGGCCAATACACAATGATATTCACAGTCCGACAGCGTGCAAAGCGAATGAAAGTCCAGTGTTCCGCACCGTTCATAACTTCAAGCTTCAATAACGAGCTCCAAATCAAATTTCATTGAGGGAATAATATCTAGTAATAAACACTAGGATGTGCTGAGTGATCATTATTTGCTGAAACTCTATTTAATGGTGCAGGAAGGCTTTTAGTTTCACCCCCACGCCATGTATCGATTGCATCCTTGATACGTTTTTCACGATCCTCGCGTGTGAGAGGAGGTTGTGAATGTGGTGAAGGGCGGTTGCGAAAAACTCGAGCTGTCCTTGGCATTGGTCGACTGTCCTTGTAATGTAACAATGTCCTCTGGTGTCTTCAAAGGAACAGATGCTGGTATGTGCCGATTCTGCCGAATGCAAAGAAAGCGGAGACTCAACCAAGCCGAGAGTGTGATTTCCCAATCTAGCCTGACCGTCACGCTTTGCTCATGAATCGCGAATAGCATGCTGTGGTGGTGTCCTATTGACATAGAAACACCTGGAGTAGATTCAGGATGGTGCATTTCACATATTTTGAACTTTCTGTGTTGATAGGTTAATGGGATCTGGGTGGATCTTGGATTTAGTGTCCAAAAATCACTCATTTTGGGCACACTCGCACAATGTTTCATCTCGGGAAGGCTTCACAGCACCGATTTTAAAATTTTGAATTGGTAGTATTATTGGATGTATGCTAATAATTGTCCACCAGCTGTTCCGAATGAAATATATGTAGAGTGGTGAGCTCTGGAGTGCATTGTGCATTATCCATCGATTGTGCATTCCGAATCAGGTGATAGTACTGTGACCGGGCGTTTATTTCGCATATATATATTCCTAGTCGCCTCACTGATCATCCAGCTCAGACATGTTGAGAAGACTTGCCAATTTCTTATGCGGAGAACGGTATGTCATCTTAATGGCTACAGTACCAAAACTCCATTGATGTTCGATAACAGCGACCAATATCAAACCAGGGGGCCACAAATCAACCTATATGGCACTAACTCTAAGAAAAATGATAAAGAGTGCGAGATATATCACCGCCAACTGTTGCGATGAACTGACTTTGATTGAAGTAACAAACTACCAAGCAATGTCCGGAAGCCGTACGTACTACCATGTCGCTGATGATTGGTGTGGTTGACCAGGCTTCCAGTAATGTTAATCCGTCCCGGCCGCCTCCAGACCCCACTAGATATCAAAATCAGCCGAATGGTGTAGCCCCAAGAAGGTAGATTGTTTGACCTCTCCATTGTGTCTTGTACCAGAGTGTTAGTGACTGTTGGCTCAGCGTGGTATGTTCGACATCCTCAATCTTCGATCATCCTCTTGTTTATACTCATGAACACTTGATTGCTACCAACAGAAAACCGGACAGTTGTTTTCAGAAAAGAAAAAAAAGTTTTAATCCTTTGTGTAGAAGTTGAGTCCCTTCAGACGTGTATATTTTCTATGCTTTTCCAAGATCCCCAGGCTCCTGTAAACTATTGGGTTTCGTCGAACAATACTATAACACTTTCATTGAATGTTAGACTTCATTCCACCGAGCACATAATTATCGTAAAGCCTCGTGCAGGATGGTGCAGCATACAACGAAACAGCAACGTGCGGAAATGGCGAAATACATTATAAGTCAGCAGTGTCCATTCATATATGACGCTTTTCAAATTTGCTCGTAAGTAAGCAGCCTTCTGCCCCGCTTTCGGGTTGATGCCAAGAAAAAGTGTGTAATGTTGCAGTGGCGGACCGGCATGAGTATACTAGCCGTATCAGAGGACTGGTGGAATAGAAAGTCATACGACGTCGGAAAACCACCGCAATCAACGTAAAGCACCCTGGGGAGCTCACTATATCTCCGAGGGCTCACACATGGGGAACAACGTGGTGCGGTAATGTCAAAATTGCTTTTGTCACACTGGCAGTTTGTCTGCAGTGCATGAAGAAGGCTTTCTGTCCCTACCGACATGCATTGGCAGTTCTGCGCTGGATAAAGTCAAACTCTCGTGTGATACCTCAGTGTTAATGAGCCCCGATCGAGGGAGAAGATGGTTGAAGAGCGGCGGTGTGGACAGGATCCAGTGATACGCGCGACAATTTTAACGGTGGCGCTGTCGAAGCAGGTTATAAGTCATTCTGATAAGGCTTGCAGTGATTGTTCTTCTCCATTATACGAGTCGCATTCTATCATTGAACGAAGGAAGGTAACTGTTGCTTCTATGCCATGCCTTGTCCAGCACGCTGCCGGCGATTACAACGTAGTCGATTTGCCGATTTCTGTCCTCAGCTCAGGGACAATATCTTCCCCGACGCCGCCCAATACAAAAGCTTTCACGTTTCCCAATGCTTGCAGTTCTCTTCTTCTATATGACTCTGCTGACTCTCCTCCAATATGCGGCAGAAGCGTACATCGTGGAAAGGTCAACAAGCGCGGATCTACGCGCGGTTCATCAGGGTATACATCCAACCCGACCGATGAAAGCTGAAAGTTGTGAGAAAAGACGACAGGACGATGAAAGAAGTGTTACATGACCGTCCTCTAGTGCTCGTATCATCGCCTCTTGGTCCACTATTCGTCCTCGTGACGTATTGAGAAGCACGCTACCCCGTCGCAGGGTCCTGATTTCCTTCTCTCCAACCATACCAGCTGTGGATTGGTTGAGAGGGACATGCAGGCTCAGTATGTCAGCCTGCTTGCACAGCTCCTCTATGCTTGAGACATATTCGCACCAGTCTGGTACGGATTCTGCCTTCGTTCGTGAGAAGTATATGATGCGCATCGGAAATGCGTGTGCAAAATGAGCGAATCTCAGGCCGATGCAACCTAAGCCCAAAATACCGAGCGTGCGCCCAGTAGCGTCATGAGTTTGCGCTGCATTATAAGGCGTCTTCCATGTACCAGAGCGAAGGGAGCGTTCTGCCATTGAAAAGTGCCGCAGGCATGATAGCATAAGGTATAAAGCGGCAGAGGCAGTGGCATCATCATTCGCTCCTGGAGTATTCGACACTAATATTCCTGGGACAAACATACACGTTAGAAACAGTTGGTTCTGACTAAGGAACTTGCCTCGTTCTTTGCAGGCTTGCACGTCGATTTCATCGTAACCACTGCTATTCTGAGCGATCCAGCGGACCATGCTCTTATCGGCTAGAGCATGGATTAATGGTCCGTCAAATTTCCCTATGAGTTCAGAAGATTTGTTGAGCCTGTACAAGGCGACAGTCCCTTCATATGGCCCACCAGGCCCGAATGAGGAGAGGAAATGTGAACGAGATTCTGAAACCAGATGCTAAAGAGGAAAGATGATGACACATAAAGTTAGGTGCATTGAGAGGGAAGTAAACTTACTACGAGTTCGGCGATCCCATGAAACATCTCCTTCGACTCGTCTTGGACATACTTAATCTCACCTGAAACACATCAGAGTCCAAATGATCATCTAATAAACCTAGACACCAACCACACAACAACACGCGGGGGAGCATTGCTGTTTATCGCAAGGCTTGTAGCGGAGAACAAGACTCAGGAAACTGTTATCTTTCATTAATCTAACACGTGTTGAGGACATAGGACTAAATTAACTAACCGACATGCCATGAGGTCGCTCACGTTCCACTCCCATAAGAAAAAGCTTGAAGACAGATAAATTTAGACACAATCATCACAGGCATATCAAACTATCATTTTTCACACCATTTTCGTCAGTGATGAGATTGACAACCTCGTTTGATACAAGCGGAAGATCCCCCATTACTGACATTCCTACTAAAATATACCCTCCATCATCTGTTAAAGCAACGTCAGACACTTGCATCGAAGGTATGCAAATATCAGCATGAAACTCACCAGAGTAGCAATTTTCGTTACGCCTCTGATTTTCTTGCATTCCTCTTGTACATTGTATCCGTGGCTACTGTTAAGTGTTCCAGAATCGTAGTGGAGCTTCAAGTACCTAAGAAGCCAAAGATGATGCGTCATCGTCCGTGAGCGGTTGAGATAAGCCGAAGAACAAACCGGAGGCAAACTTCCTCCTTGAAGTCCTGATATATCTTACGGTTACTCTTGCGCTGATATAATTCTCAATATCAAGAGTTGTTGTTGACTATGAAAGAAAAATGGATACCTCAAGTTTTCGCGCTTCCTCCTCGTATGGATGACTCTGGTGCACGAGGAAGTGATCCGCAAGGACATAGAACGACATCCCTGAGAGGTACATCTCGTAGAGACAAGCAGCCTTATTCCCTCCATACCCAATAAAGCGTTCATCGCACCTGGAAAAGATTGTATTAGACAAAGCAAAACAGATTTGTGACTCGGTTTTGATTGGCACCATGGTGGCCCTTCCTTTCTGAAGATCACGTAAGGTTCGTATGCGGGGTGGTACTGCGTGACCTTGTAAACTTCACCAGGGGTGGCGGAATAGAATCGTGGATAATCGGTGCCGTTATGGCCAGGAGCCCAAGTGCGGTGAAACATATCGATCTTCTTCGCCTTGACCAGCGAAAGCAATGTCTAAAATGGTATCGTTGAGTGACTTCCTAGAATATGTCGTTCGTCATCTAGACCTGCTTATCGCGAGGAAAATATTTCTGGTCCAGGCCATCTTGCTGTTTGATATTATTCGAACGCAGGCATCACAAGAGCAGCATGTCCCTCCTTAAGAATTTGTCCAATCTTGGCATCCAGACTAGCCCTGATGGCAGAACGGAAGTCGGTGCAAATGGCAAAGTCGACGTCAAGCATCATGACGAATTCGGTACGGGCAAAGAGACGCGCAGCATTTCGCCAAGTGTTCAATTGACGGTCGAAGGGCGTGAGAACAAGGTGTATATCGACATAGGTTGACATCGCGGGTGTTGACGTATACAGGTCGTGCAAAGCATCCAGAAGGGCGTGTATTGCACTAGGCTTATCATGAACGGTTGCAGAAATCGGACCTTTGACAAAAGAAATTGAGGGAGGATCGAGAGAACAAACGATTGTAAGACCGGAGCAGACCTTGGTAGCGTGTCACAAGCTCGGAAAAGACCTTGAATCGATTGAATGTAACGAGAGTGGTGATGGTAATATCGTTCTGTTCGAATGTCCTCGAAGCCCTGTAGTAGTAGGGAATCACATTAAGAGGGTGCATCGACTGCGAGAATGCCTTGGACAGAAAAATATCTTCGCTCATTCGAATCTCGTCTGTTGCCCTGGCAGATGTATGTTCGGGTAACAACGGGGACGCAGGCCAAAGTAACATTTCCTGAGATGTTTTAACAGCGACCTCGGCATCTTGTTGGACAGCAGCTGTATCGTAGGAGGCCATGTATAGCCTCGCAAATGTCCGTACTTGAGACAGAATATGATTTGTTGTATAGATGACCGCGATCGCAACATAAAGAGAAGCTGCCAGGCGGATAAACCTGAGGCCACGACTGAAATCCGACATGTGCTAAGCAGTGGAATATAGATGTTGCTAGTCTCTGAGTCCCTTGCGTGCAGATGTGCAGAATTGAGAGTCGATGGTGAATCTGGTCGGTGGTGACCGCAGAAGTTCAACAATCTAGTTTTATGTAAGTGTGAGTCACGAACACGTGCAAAGAACGAAGTCTATGCGGGGATCAATTAAGGTTAAGAGATCTCCTTCTTCCTCCTCACTACCACCAGCTCGGCGCAAGCGCTTGTATATCGATCGTTTTCTCCAGTTTTGCTCTCTAAAACATCGATAACTCTAATCAAAACAGCTTCACTGCATCATGAGCAGACTTGTGGTAGACCCTAACCTAGAACAATGACCGGATTTTTCCTCGGCTGTCTTTCAAGCATGCTGCACCCCTTTATTGAGCCCCACCACAGATGTTGCTCAAGTGGCGGCCATGCTAAAGACTATATAGATCCCCACCAATTCCGCCCTCAAAGTTCAATGGCAAATGCAACTTGACTCTGATAGTCTGGAAGCAGCAGAGCAACAATGTTTACTCAACAAAGCTGCCGAACAATGTCTCGCTACTCAAAAAATCCAAGATGCCATTCTTGCTGAGGAAGACAGGAAAAAGAATTGTATCCATCACATTGCAATCCCAGATCGCCCACGACCCAAGTGGGCCGCTGATGAGATCCTGGTGGCTGACTTCACTTTGCGCAAACTTGACAAAGCTCAATTTGTAGAATTATATTATTGGACTAATAAAGGTCTAGCCGATGCCAAAGCCAGTTATCGTGCTTCTGATGAAGACAGCATGGTTGCAATGGCTGGAGTAGACGGCTCTGCCACCTGGATATCTGCAAGCACCACTCGGCCTGCCGCCGGCGTAATTGCTGATCACCTATTAACTCCACTCGACTTCTCTCACGCCATTCCTTGCTTCATCGCTTCCCTTGAACAGCATGGCTGGGCCAACACACGTATCCTTATGTTAGTCAATTTCTTTGGTGCACTGATGTTACACAAGTACTGGACCTCAGACAATGTTCTTGAGATGTGTGCTCTGCTCACCTATCAAGAAGAACAATGTCAGGCATGGCACCAAGCCATTCCACTACCTGCTGGGGCCTGGAACATTTCTATAATTGACTCTGCGGAGTTATCCAGTGTTTATGATCAGCTTTACCATGCTGACTGGGAGAGAGTGAACCAGGAATATGATCTCAAGGTGAGTTAATATCTGTGTTACACTTTGTGGCATGTGGCGTGTGTTGTGCATTGTGCGGTGGCATTGTGCGTGGTGTGGTGTGCATTATGTGTTGTGCAGTGGGCATTATGCAATATGTGTTGTGTGTTGTGCGTTATGTGGTGTGCGATATGCATTGTTGCAGTGTGCGATATGTGACATGCATTGTGCATTATGCGTTTTGCAATGTGCATTATGCATTATGCAATGTGAAATATATGTTTGCATTATGGCTTAGTGTTATATGTAATTATGGGCATCAATTAATCATCTTTAATTGTTCAGTGCATGCACAATATTCACTCTGTTGCATACATCAATGACACTTCCAGCAATCACTCCAAGAAAGGAGCTTCATGCAGTGCAAACACTCCCTATGACCGTTGAAGCACACCCATTGATCAACAGCATAGCTCCTCAGCTTCAGCTCGCACCAAGAACACTTGCAGTGAACATGCAACACATGGAAATGCGGGTTGTTCCAGCGGTGCACATGAACAATGCCCACCAGCCGTGTGCACCATTTGTCTCAAGCAACACACTCATTCCTTCATTGAGTGTTCCACCAACAGAATCTGGGACAACTCCTTCACCTCTGTCAGCAAACGTGCCAATCATCAACTGCTCACTCACACCACCGAAAAACCTCTCTGCATCGATTGGCAATGTGGAAGAGGTTGTGCAACTCGTTCTGACAACGAACACCATATCTGCTCCGGTTGTTTGTCACCCTCACATGGAGCCCAGTACTGCACTCGCACTCAGGTGTCTCCACCCAGTGTGCCCCTATAATGCAGATGTTTGGGAGGCTTTACTGCTTAAACATGGACTTGCTGAGAGGCATCAAAAAATCCCTGCTGGTTTTAGATGCAGTTTTGATCTCCATCTGCCCTGCCTTAGTGTATCACAGATTTCACCTAACCACCCATCACTTGTGCAATACCGCAAAGCCTTTGAGAGTATCATTGCACGAGAACTATCCACAGGACACTACATTGGACCTTGTACACGCTCACACTTATGTTCTCTGCTGGAAGAGTTTCAAACTTTGCCTGTAATCATCATACCAAAAATTGGAAAGCCTGGCAAATTTCGCGTCATCCAAAACTTTTTATTTCCCTACCCCTTGTCACGCTCCACTCCTTGCACTTCCATCAACTCATGTGTGGATTCAGACAATTTCCCTTGCACTTGGGGGACTTTTGATACCGTGTGTTCAATCATATGGAATCTGCCTATTGGTTCACAAGCAGCAATGCACGATGTGGCTGAAGCATATCAGACAATTCCTCTTTTACCATCTCAATGGCATGCAACCATCATTTGCATCGATGACAATGCATTTTGTGTTGATACATGCACATCGTTCAGTATGGGACCTTCTGCCAGAGCATATGGATATGTGGCTGATGCTGGTGCAGATTTATTATGCACAGCGGGACTCGGTCCTCTCACTAAATGGGTTGATGACCATCTTTTCTTCCGCATCGAGCATCAGCATCTCGCTAGTTACAATTCATATTGTCAATCTATACATAGTAATTTATCTCCTAGTGCATTTCATCAGACAGGTGGTAGACTTTGGTTTGAAGGATCTGTCTTCGAGGATGGTACATCTAAAATCTTTGGGGAAGACTTTTGATTTCCAATATGGGACCTTTCACATGTATGTTCTCGGTCTGATATTGATCGGTGTTTTTCTTGCAATTTTAGTGACATTGACCATTCCTCCATGGACCTGGGCATTCCCTGGGAACCTAGCAAAGACACACCTTTTGCATACAAAGTCATTGATATCGGTCTTCTGTGGAACCTCATTCACCTCACCATTGCGCTGGCTGAAGCAAAGAAGGCAAAATATCTCAACACCATCACTGCCTGGCTCTCACATCTGACTCATGTGCTTGTTGAAACACAATGTCTGTATGGAAAATTGCTTCATGCATGTCTTGTGGTTCCCCAGGGACGAGCTTATCTCACATCCCTGGAATTGATGGTCAGCATCTCCAGTGCACATCCATTTGTGCCACATCACTGCATCCAACACCTTATCAATGATCTTGCATGGTGGGCCTCACAACCCTCTAACCCCACCCTCCATCGCCCCATCCCACAGCATTTGTGCATTTTTGATGCCTATAGCTACTCTGATGCCAGCTCTTGTGTCAGAATTGCAGTTGTTATCCATGGATATTGGTGTGCTTGGGCACTGTTACCAGGATGGTGCACACTCGACAGTGCAAAGGACATTGGATGGGCCAAGGCCGTTGGCTTCAAATTGCTTGTCCAGTGCATCATCCGGCTTGGAATTCCTGCCTTGGGCAAACACTTTTGGGTGCATTGCAACAATCTCAGAGTTGTCGATGGGTGGAAGAATGGGAGAAGTAGAAATTGGGTGACCAACTATGTATTTCGGCAAATCCTCACTCTGCTTGAACCTTTTGGACATGACACTTTGTTCCACATCTCATACATCTGAAGCTCAGACAACCCTGCTGATGGGCCATCTCAAGGAAAACTACCTTCAGCAAAACTGCTCCTTCCCCCTATTGAGCTTTCTGATGTACTCTCACAGTTCATCCAAGATGCCTCTGATACCTGCAATGACCTCTTCAACAATGTCGACAATGTACATCAACAGCAGAAACCAACTTCTGACTCATTAGCTGACAGAGCAGCAGAATGGAGTTATGGGGAGGAGCTATGGAAGTTCCAAGATGGTTGGGATGAATAACCACTCACATTTTGCTGTCACGTTGCCACTCTCATGTCCTATTGAGTCCTCTCCGAAACCTTGCCCTTATGTCAGCGCGCTTACACCTCAGCCTTGCTCACTGAGGCCTCATTGTCCAGCAAAAGATCACCTGCACCTCTGGCATCCTTCTCAAAGTCGCATTACCTTGGATCAAAATGGTATTGCACTACCACTGTCTGATCTTGATCTTAACCACATTTTAACTGTAATAGGACATTTGCTCGCCTGCAGGACTAAAGAAACCTATTGTTTGGGTTTGTTAGTTCAGCACATTTTTTGTGATGCACGACAAATTTCCTAGGACCAACATGGTCCTGCATCACATTTATTGCTCCTCAGTTTTATTGTCACTTGTGCAGACATGTACTCCAGGAAGACTCTCAAAAACTATGTCTATGGTATCAGAGCATGGCATCTTCTACACAGACTTGAATGGTTAGGACACTCTGAAGAGATCTCCTCCGCACTCAGAGGTGCGGCATGTTTGGCTCCTTTGCCTTCCAAATGTCTTAAATGTCAACCTTTCACTATCAACATCATTCTTACCCTGCGCTCTGCATTGAACCTTTCGACTCCACTTGATGCCATGGTTTACACGTGTCTTGTCACTGCATTTTTCACCTTAGCACGGTTGGGCAAATTAACAGTGCAGTTGTTAAGTGCCTTTGATCCTGCACTTGACATTAAAGTATCCGACATTCAATACACTGAAGATCAGCATGGGTTGAAAGTAACAGTGCTTCATCTACCTCGCTCCAAGATGTCTATTCATGGAGAAGATCTGTATTTTGCGGTGTAATCTGGTGAGGTTGATCCTCAAAAAGAACTAGAGACACACCTGCACATCAACTCTCCTACCTCAGATAGTGCTCTTTTCAGTTGGCAGCATCATCAAGGCCTTCAGCCACTAACTCACTTGGAGTTTATGCGAAGGCTAGAGCATGCCTATTCTTGTCTAGGGATCGAGCCGCTGAAAGGACATGGGATTCAGATCAGAGGCACACTAGAATACCTACTATGAGGTGTGCCTTTCGAAACTGTGAAGTCAATGAGTCATTGGAGTGGGGATGCTTTCCTTGCATACCTTCATCAACACGCCGTTGTCATAGCCCCAT